GGGGGGGGGGGGGGGGGGGGGTGTCAGCCCGTACATGATCCCCCCTTGTACATAGGCTGGGTGGGGAATCTCCGCGAGTCCGGCCAGAATTGTGTGGGGTCCCCAGGAACCTAGACCTCCCATGGTCCCTCCTCCCCCAGCGTAGAGTTGCTTCGCTCAACTTCTTTGCAAGAATCTCTTCGCTTCAGCTTCTTCCCCTTCTGCTAGCAAATTATTTCTCGAAGGCACTCCCTTTGCGTGCTATTTGACACTGTGCTGCGACTTGCCACCATGTCGTCCCCCGACGCGGAATTTGAGCGTCAGCAGGTTGCTGGGACCAACAAAAGAAAGGCAAATAAGGCGCAACCCGAGACTGCCGTAAAGCGACGTGCTGTCAGAGCCTGCCTCTCCTGTCGCAGTCGGAAGGTCCGCTGCGATGTGACAAGTGCAGGGGCGCCTTGCACAAACTGCCGCCTCGACAACGTTACCTGCCTTCTCACCGAGTCAAATCGCAGCCGGGTTCGTACCTCGGCCGATACAGTCGAACTGACTATGAGAATGAACGAAGCTGCCGCTGATTTTCCGGTCGCACTCACGTTTGAAGGTAAGCAACGAGAACTGCTTATACAGCTCCTTGGCTGGCAACGAGGAAAGGAGAAAATTGCCCTCGCTTACACGGGTTACAGGCTCACGAGGAGTGCCAAGAGCTGGGCAACCCCCTCCACCGGTTGAGAACAGAATCATTTCATGTAGAAGCTCAATCGCCAGTCCTGTGGCCACTACCACCGACCCTTCACCCCCGTCTGTGGAACAACAAGCGCAGGGCCTGCCTTCGTATATTCGCCCGCTCTCAGCACACCTTAAGCCGGAAGACATTGAGTATCTAACAAAGAAGGGAGCATTGACAGTGCCAGACGACCAGCTTCAATGTGAGCTTCTTCGGAAGTACATCCAGTACGTCCACGGATTCATGCCAATTTTGGAACTGTCTGCGTTTATTTCACCGATTGCTCGCCGTGATGGAAGTGCCCCAGTAAGCTTGCTCCTACTCCAGGCAGTCATGTTCGTCAGCGTCGCGTTCGTCGATCTGGAGTATCTTATGGCAAGAGGATATGAGAGTCGCAGGTCGGCGCGAAAGATATTTTTCGAGAGGGTGCGACTGCTCTATGATCTGGACTGCGAGACCGATCGTACCGCGCTACTCCAGGCCTTGTTGCTAATGACTTACTGGTATGAGAGGCCAGAGGACGAAAAGGAAACATGGTATTGGACCGGCGTCGCGCTGTCCCAGGCCCAAGTCCTAGGCATCCACCGCAACCCTGACTACCTGGACGTCAGCCCTGCAGTGAAACGCTTGCGGAAAAGAATCTGGTGGTCTTGCTTTATACGAGATCGTCTTCTGGCCCTGGGAATTCGGCGGCCAGCCCGGATTCGCTCTGATGATTTCAATGTTCCGATGCTGACATTGGACGATTTTGAGATGGCGCCATTCAATGACGATTTATTACGATATCTTGGCCCCCTGCCAATGGCTGACGACGTTCCCGCAACGAGAATCATGTCCATTGCTTGTATTGAGCTTGCACAACTCTGTGTTCACATCGGGAATATCCTTTTCACTCAATATTCGGTACTGGGCAATCCAACCTGCGGATCTGAGGAGAATATGGCGATGATGGTGATGCCTAGGAAGTCCGCCGAGCAAATGAATGAGATGGCGAAGTGTGACCTCAATCTCCGCGGCTGGTTACAAAGCCTCGATCCCGCCTGTCGGTATAAAATCGGCCATCCACCAGTCGGAAAGGAACAAGAAAATCAACAAAACGCAAGTCGGCGAATTTTGCGTGTACATCTGGCCCTGCTATATATGATTTACCTCACGGCGACGGCGGTTTTACACCGACCGCGGGCGCTGCGACCTATTTCGAACTCCGTCGAAAACAGGGTAGACATGCTGCTGTCAAGTGACAAGGTCACCGACGCCGCGGTGGGAATCACGGAAATAATGTATGATTTATACTACGCCAACCAGTTGCGCTACGCCTCTACTTCCACCATTCCAGCGCTCGTGTCGGCCACCCTTATTCACCTGATCGACATCCGCTCCTGCGGGGAGGAAGCTCGGTATACCTCCATAGGGAGATTTTACCAATGCTGGCAAGCCCTCCAGTATCTTCGAGAGATGTATGCATCTGCAGACCACGCTGTGTGGTTTCTGGAAGCAGTCATTCAAAAGGCCAACGTCCACATCCCCATGTTGAATGTGGCTCCGTTGCCAGCAAATGCCAGACCACTACTCAAACCCGGAGGACATCGTTTCCCGACGAGATTCACAAGCGCATCCGTCGATCCACCAGGGGTTGAGTCTGCGGGACCCCCAGTCATGTCGGCCAACAAACATACGACCTCCTTGAACTTTGGGAACACGCCCACAGATACTACTAATACCGACATTAGTGGCTCTACTGTGTGTAACCCCAGGCAGGGATTTGCGATGGCGTTGCCATCGAGTACAGGAGGCTGTTTTCTAGATCCAGATATGGAAGACACTATCAACGTCGACTCACATGATGGCACGTGGACTGAATTTGACGTTGAGGACGATCTGCTCCAAGCCCTTGTTCAGTTTGACGCCGACCCAAAGTTTTTTACTACCACGAGCACCGGATTGTGAGACTTCGGGCCTCGCCGTAAGGCTCATTGCGTTTGCGATCCATCGTGAAGCCATGACCACCGAAGGGTTCTTGGGTTGCGAACTTTGCGTCTAAGGGCACCAATCGTATGTAAACATATCCCGATCTATTGAAGTCATTTTCCCGGCGTGGTGTCTCACCTTGTTTTGAGCCAACCGTTACGTTTCCAGGAACCTGAATTTGAATTGTGAATTATACTATTCCTGGTCAACTGGCTTCCTCTCAACGTTTCTCATATATTGATCCTCTCGGTTGAGGACACCAGATCGTAGCCCTGATGAAGTACGGCGTTTGCCGAGGATTCGGCTGCTCAACCCTCGGGCCACAAGTTCTGCAAACCCGCCCGTTTCGATCTTGACCCAAAGTCGCGGTTTCTGCAGCTCCTGCACACCCCGGAAGCCTCTTACACTACGCCCACATGGCCGTTCGGCTCATCCGCGGTTGAAATTGACATTGTGTTTCTCAACCCCGGAGATTGAGTTTTGACCAGTGAGCTTGAAGAGAAAAGACGGCGAAACCCATTACTTTTGTGGACGCGATATTCACTCGGACTGTCTCCGGAGGCTTTACGACGTTGGGAGTACACCTACGCAGTGTCTAAACACGGCCATTATCACGGGTAGGATACTGCGCGGGTTGACCGACCTCTACTCAGAACACCCTTTGAAAGGCAGATCATTCTGTTGAGCCTGGGACCCCGAATGGCGGGTCGGCATATGTAGCATGTCGACGCACAACCGCGGACGCTCTACAGAGCCTTCGCAGCCCAGGTCCCAGATCGAGCGGGTACTCTCTATTCGTCGATCGACGGACGAATCTAGCGGTGCAGATGTTTTCATCAACAAAGAATCCCTCGAGTGTCCGCCATGGGCTCGTGGGGCTTATGGCGGACAGATTATTGCTCAGTCATTGTTAGCCGCCTACGAGACTGTGCCCCCCGATTTTGTCGTGCACAGCATCTATTGCCATTTCCTGAATGCCGCAAATGTTGACCTGCCCATTACCTACCACGTGGAGAGAGTGCGCGATGGGAAAAGCTTCGCCACTCGAGTTGTCCACGTGAGACAGCATCAGAGACTCATCGTCTCGGCAACAGCCAGTTTTACCCAGGACAGCAAAAGAGCGAAGGTACTCCAGCACGCAGTTCCGATACCGAGCGATGAGAGTCCGCCAGGCGACAATCTTGAAGCCATCACACAGTCCGCCGCAGGCCAGGCGGGCGAAGGCCGACCATGTGACTGTGTGCGCTCTCGCGTGGAAAACAAAGGTCTGCCACATGTGCGAAGGCTTCGGCAATGGATCAGAGCTCGCGGCCGGATTGGGGAGACATCACTTGATGCATATGGCAGCCCGGATGAGTCAAGCTCGACAGGCAGGGGAACTGGCCCAATCTCACAGGACGGACACCGGGCGCACGTTGCGACATTGGCCTACATGACCGACAACTACTTCATCGGCACCGTCTTTCGCGTCCACAATGCTTCTCGCTTCTCCAATCCGCTGTCACCACACCCCATGCTGTCCAGGTCCAAAAAAGACGGAGCGGACGCAGGGACTGTGCAGGAGTATTTCGACAGGCTGGCCCAAGAGGAGAGCAATGACAACAGAGACGCGCCCCAGAATGACAAACACGTCGACATGATGGTGACTCTGGACCACACCATCTTCTTCCACGAACCACGGCACTTTCGCGCTGACGAGTGGTTGCTGGCCGAGATGGAGAGCCCGTGGGCAGGCAATGAAAGAGGTCTCGTGGTGGAACGGATCTGGGGCCACGAAGGCACTCTGGTTGCTACTTGCATTCAAGAAGGCGTGGTAAGATTATCGCAACATCGGAGCGACAGTAAATTATAGTTGGAACGTGTTACAGTGTGATATCTAGCATTTCTTTTGTCTGGATTGTCTAATTCACAGATGGACTTGAGCACCGAGTTTCTCTCGAGTATCACCTAAAGCAAAGTCGTTCCGGTTCTTCTTGCTTCTGACCTTGTCGGCGTCCCTGTCGGTGATGCCCCGGGCCTCGACGGCGGGATTGTAACCTAGCCAGCTGGTCCGCGCAATCTCCTCGCTACTGACTTTAGGGTTAACCTTGCCATCGGCGCGCTTGTAGATATTGACTACAACGGCGCCTCCGAGGCCCAGGTTATGTTGCAGCGCAACCGACGTCTTGTCCACGAGTCGATTGTTGGCCCATCCACGCAGCTGCCAGGTCAACTCGGCACATTGGGCCAGCCCCGTGGCGCCGATGGGATGCCCCTTGGAGATCAAGCCGCCAGACGGGTTCACCACCATCTTTCCACCGTACGTGATGTCTCCTCTCCGGACCATTTCGTGGGCCTTGCCGGGCTCGGCGAACCCCAGGGCATCCAAGAGCACCAATTCATTTGTGGAGAAGCAGTCGTGCAGCTCGCAGACCCTGACATCGCTAGATCTAACTCCTGCTTCCCTCATGGCGGCTTGAGCGGCTCGCTGGGTCATATCGTACCCAACAAGCTCAATAGCACTTCTCTCAAAGGCCTTGGGAGAATCGGTCAAGAATGACTGTCCAGCCATCAAGATCGCCTGGCTCTTGAGATGCGGTCGCACGTCCAAGAATCTTTGCGAGACAATGACCGCAGCTGCGGCGCCATCACTTGTGGGACTGCATTGCAGTTTCGTCAAAGGAGCGAAAATCGTTGGCGAGGCCAGGACTTCCGAGAGAGTATACTCCTGGCGGAACTGGGCATAGGGGTTGCGCTGAGAGTGTTCGTGAGAGATGCGACCAATCTCCGCAAAGTCTTCTGCTTTGGCTCCGTACCTGGAAGACCTTGTTAGCTACCAACCACTCCGATATCGAGCAACTCATGCACGCTTCTCATTCCCGTCAATTCCGCCGTCTCGAAAAGAGGGAGGGGGGCTTACTTTTGCATATACTCCCGACCTGCGTTTCCGAAATATTGTGCCGTCAATGGGGCCTGCTTCTCGACAGCGACCAGTTCCCGCATCTTCGCGGCAAACCGCCCACTGGAACTGGGTCTGTCGTCCCAGACACTCTTGAGGCTCCCTGGCTTCATCTTCTCAAATCCCACCACCAGAACACAGTCCACGTTGCCGCTCCTCACAAGGGTACGGGCTAAGTAGAGACCCACGGACCCGGTAGCACAGGCATTGCTCGTGTTGACGATGGGAATGGTAGACATCCCAAACTGGTAGAAGACGCGTTGGCCAGATGTTGAATCGCCGTACGCAAAACAGGCAACCCCATGCTGAACGTCGTCGTAGTTGATCTGTGCATCGAGCATAGCCTTGACACCGGCCTCGTAGCCCATTTCCGGATACTCCCGCAATCCGCGAGGCTTGATAAATTTCGTCATGCCCACACCGAGCACGTACGCTTGGTTTCCAGGTGGTGGATTCGCCATTGCAAAGGCCTGAGAAGGGAGCTTTGCCTGCAGAAGACGGGGCCTGTTGGGAATGGAACTGGAGGACGAACTTTGTCCTTTTCTTTGCTTGTAGGATCAAACACAATCCACGGCGGAAACTGAGGACTGACTTGTTGATCAGAGGGTGAAAACATTGGGTCTCGTGTTGGAGGAAGTACCACCCTATCTTGGCTTGCTGCTATGCGACCGAGGTAGAGAACGCTTTTGTGGGCGGTACGACCTCGGAGTCGGAGCTACCTATCAAGTCCAGCCTCGCCTTGCCTGAGTTCCGGCCAAAGCTCCCCGCGGGTTTCTGGCCAAACTACCGATGACATGTAGGTACTGATCAGTGGCTGGTAGTGACTGAGATAACCGCCTTACTTAGCAACGGAACATGTTGAAGCGTAACCTCAATGCACGTCAGGACTCCAGCACGCATTCGAAATCTGCCATCGCTTTTAGCATACCGTGAGCAGTGACTTGTTCACAAACTCCTGCAAGCTGATGTGCATTCATGGACTCCGTTGAGGGAGCATCAAAATCCCCTTGGATGATCTGATTCCACGATGCATAAAAGCGTAACTTACTTGTTCGCACCGGGGTGGCGATCGAGCTTCCTGCATTACTCCCCAACCAGCTATCTGATCACTGCAAACTAGAAACCCTACAAAGACGTTCGCAATAGACATTGAGAAAGGCCAAATGAGTTAGACTATTTGTTTGTTCTAAACTTCCATCATGCCCAAAAATAGCTCCTTTAATAATGCCAGAATTCAGTTATGCATGTGAACATCCCTCAGAGATCTCCATGCGATTTTTCCAACCAAGACACAAACAATAGGTTCCATATTGTGACATCCTAGGTAACGGAGGGAGTCAACGAGATTAAGATGACCTATGAAAGGCTGAAAACCTCTATGGTGTTGTTGCTGTTGTTGTCTATCTAACTACAAGAGATGAGGCGCGGCCAGAAACAGGACCACGGAAGTGTCTAAAGTTATTCAACTTTCAGCACATCTGCGCCAATATGTCCTCCGACGACTCTATCATCCATGAATGTCTTGATTGTCATATCATCATATCCAAGTTCCTCTAATATATCCGTGGTATGCTGACCAAGTAGTGGCGGGTCTGATCGAATGGTTGGTTCTGTGTCACTGAACTTGACGGCTGGACCTAGAAACAGACTGTGTTAGCACTGATCTGTCCCTTTGCAACCCAGCCTTACCGAGTATCTTGATTGATCCCGAAACCGCAGCATTGTGGGGTATACTCTCCACCATGTGTCTAGCCTCGGTCTGGGGATGGGCGAAAACCTTCTCCATGGTGTTGATGGGAGCGTATGGCATGCCGCTCCCCTCAAACTCCTGAATCCATTCATCCATGCTCTTTTTGGCGAAGAGTCGATTCAAAATGGAGAAGAGGTCGTCTCGGTTGTTCACGCGATCGGCACTAGTTTTAAAGCGTTCGTCCGAGGCCAGGGACTCCTCTCCCAGGAGTCGACATAGGGTCGTAAATTGCTTGTCGTTCGTGGCGCCACAGACAAAGTAGAAGTCCTTTGTCTTGAATGCATCGTAAGGAACCACGCTAGGATGCTGAGTACCCCAACGCTCCGCCTCTTGGCCAAGGTTCAACCAGGCTAAAGCAACGTTGCTTAACAAAGCTACCTGAGTCTCGAAGAGAGAGGCGTCGATCTTTTGCCCGCGTCCTGTTCTTTCCCGCGCATACAGTGCTGCCATGATGGCTCCATGTGTGTACAGGCCGGTGCTAATGTCCGTAAGACCCAGCCCAGGCCTCACAGGCGGCCCGTTCTTCTCACCAGTCAGATGAAGGAGCCCGGCTTCCGCACCTGCGATCATGTCATAGCCGGCACGCTTCGCAAAAGGACCAGAAGGCCCGTATCCTGGACACCGTTATCGAAGACTCTAGTGCAACCGGACACATGCCCCCTACCTGTGACGCTGGCATGGATAATTCTCGGGTTGAGCTCGCTCAAGGTGTCGTAGCCAAGTCGAAGACGTTCCAATGCGCCCGGGCGAAAATTATCGATCCTGAAAGGTCTGTCAGTTTCCGATCCCTTTGGTCCTTCGAGAAGAGAGCGCAGGAAGGGATAGAAAGAAAGAGAGACTACTGACACTACATCAGCCTGGCGGGCTAGTCTCAAGAAGATGTCCCGGCCTTTTTCGCTCTTGAGGTTCAGACAAATCGACCTTTTGTTTCGATTGACAGCCGCAAAGTAGTAGGATATCGGTCCGGCGTCGGACTTCCCTGATAATTGCAGCAAAGTTAGCATCTGATCGTGTCAAGGCCTCTTCCCGCACAGCACTTGATTTTGAAAGTGATATACCAAGATGTCCATAATCCACACTCTGTAGGGTCCTTGCCGAAAATGGTTGATTGCAATATGACAAAGGAGGAGCAGTAGAGAAATGATAAACAACATACACGAAGACTCTTCTCCAGACTGACGCCAATACCTTGTATCATCCTAGAACGAACGGATTCAGCCAGGAGTCGCATCAATAAGACGCGCAGGACCACACACTCCCCTATCGATGTCTTCGACCTTGATCACATCTGCACCGTAGTCTGCAAGGATTTGGGAACAGTAGGGCGCCTGGAAAGATCAGTACACTCTTCCTTCCATGTGAGGGTAGGGCAGTTTAGAGAGGTATACCGCCAAAACTCGAGACAGGTCCAATATTTTCATGCCCTTCAGCGGGCCATTCGCACTTTCCGGACTAGCAAGGGACGAGGATGTCCTCCGGCTTGCTCTGGTGGCAACTCTGAAAAGCCAACAGGTTGCGGGCGAGGGAAAACGACGCATTGAATTAGATAACCACAGACTACATGCCCTCTGAGATGTAGTGATCTAGAGGAAGAATCATGTCAACAGACTTGCCCTTGTACTTCATGATCATAACCATGACTGCCAATCTGTATAAGCGTAAGGGATTCTTCTGATGCTGCAGCTAACCGGAAGCCAGAGTGGTGACCTCGGTTAGGGACTTCGAAAATGGATACTCGGGTTGATGTCCGCCATAAGGTGCCGCACCGACATCGACCTCCATGGCGAGGTCATTAATCTCCACCGCGGTCAGAGGGTAATTGTGCTGGCAACCACGTACCAAGACCTTGCCTTACATCATACCTATTACGAACTCCATTATCATTAAGTGTGTGCATTACTGTGACATTCGCAATCAAAACGCCCGTGTCTAGTGTAGGATAAGTGGCGACCAAATACTTGTGAGTTGGAGGTGCATGCTTTTCCTCCCATGATACGCTCTGGGTGGTTTCCAATTCTGTGGCACCAGCAAAAGATACCCGTCCTACAACATCAACTTCTTCACGCTTGCTGTCCTGATGAAATCGCAGACTAGAGTTTTTTACAGGTAGGCCAGATGTCCAAACAGAGATCTGCATCCTTGGTAGAACACATTGCAGTCTTTTGGGTAGTTCATTTGTATTGTTCGAGTTGTATTGAAATTATGTCCGGGCCATTGCACAGCATATTCTTCCACGATAGCCTTACCATTCAATCAGCAGTCTATTCCGGTGCTAGGGAGATATGGCAGCTGAGACTGAAGCATCTTCAATTGGTGGATGCAATTTCAAGACCTTTGAAATCCTTGGATGCTCTCCACTCCGTCACAATCCTTGCGAAGTCTTCTGGTCCCTTGGCCCATAATGATAATCGGGCTCTCTTTGCCTGTTCCTTTGGAGAGGCGGGGCGAGCCAGTTCTCCCTCTGCATTGAAGTAGTTTGGCGTACAACCGGCCACTGCCGCGAAGGCTCCAGCCTGTGAAGCAATAAGTTGGGACCATTCCTCCTCGGCCTCAAGTGTTGGTTCAATGGTGAAATGATTTTTATACTTGTCGGGATTGTATCTGTCCTCCCCATTCACCCTCTTCGTTGCCGAGGCGTAAGACAGGATCTCGGAGATGTGGGTCGCAGAGAGATCAACAGAGAAGCTGAAGTTGGGGCTACCTCCAGCCTGGATGAGACCAGGCCAGAAGAGATTGGGAAATCCGTGGCTCATCATTCCATGTAGCGTGGCGACGCCCTCTGTCCACTTTTTGTCGAGCGAGAGTCCGTTACGGCCCTTGATGTCAATATCCACTCGGCCACCCGGGCTCAATAAGAAGAGGCTTCTGTACCCGGTGCTGAGGATCAGAGTATCGATCTTGTACTCTTTATCGCCAACCAGAACCCCGTCCTCGGTGATCTCCTTGATACCAAGACCATTGGTATCGACAAGCTTCACATGTTGCTCGTTAAAGGACTGGAGATACTCATCGTGGAAACAAGGTCGTTTGCACCAGCCTGGATACCAGGGCTTTAGCTTCTCCGCCGTGCTAGGATCGGTCACTATCTCATCGACTCGTTTGCGGATGCCCTCCTGCCGAGGCAGGTCAAGGGCATGGAGCTCCTCAATATGTTTCTGGGCCTCTTCTGGGGTTCGGCAGTTCAAGCCAGTGGTGCCCGTCAAGGCACTGTACGAAGGCATTCGTGTCCATCCATCGCTGACCATATCAACGGGCGGTTTTTCCGGGGCGTTGGTCACGAAGCGATGAAAGTTCTCTATCCGCTCTTTCTGCCAGCCTGGCTTTGAGTTAATTGTGCGAGCCCACTCTGGATCAGTAGGTCGGTTGTCTCTTCGATCCACGGACGAAGGTGTTCGTTGGAACACGTAAAGCTCTTTGGACCATTGTACTAGGGATGGCACCACCTGCATTGCTGTAGCGCCGGTGCCAATGACGCCAACTCTCTTGTCCCTCAGCTTAAGCATCTCGGGTTTAGTGGACGTTCCTCCAGTGCTGTGGTAATCCCAACGCGCGGTGTGGAAGCAAGCACCTTTGAACTTCTCGATTCCGGGGACCTGAGGGATATGTGGGAAAAAGGTCAACCCTGTGGCAAGGACTACAAATCGCGAATGAACAGTGATCGGATTGCCTTCCTTGCCAGGCTCCAGCTGAGGCACGAGGCGGGTCGACCACTCCTTGGCGTTATCATCCCATTCAAGGGACGTGACACGCTGCCGGAGCCATGCATTTTCGTCGAGCTTCCACTTCCTGGCAATTCTCTCGGCGTGCCCTCTTAGTTCCTCGCCGCTGGCGTACTTCTGTGTCGGCATGTAACCGGTCTCTTCGAGCAGAGGCATATAGATGTAGCTCTCGATGTCGCAAAACAATCCTGGGTAGCGATTCCAGTCTGCTGCAGTCAATAGTGACGATCGAGGAACAACAGTAGAGCCTGCAATATCGGTACCAAAACCTTGGGCCCGATATACAGAAAAGGGGAATCACGCACACCAGGTACCACCAAAGCCACCAGCGTAATCCACAATGCGAATATCTTCGAGTTTGAACCCGGCCTGAAGGAGTCGCACCGCAAAGACCAGGCCGCTCCATCCGGCGCCGATGATCAAGATCTCGCAGCGCGAGCCATCCTGTGGCGGGGTAGGGCCGAGTGGACGGGCATCTTCTTCAATCCACAGGTCTGCTTTGAAATGCCGGAACTTTGGGAGGGCATGGAGGTCGATGAACTGAGCAAGTCCATCAGGGCGAAGCCGCTTTTCGCGTTCTTGATTGTACTTCAGTTGAATAGCAGCTGCATCGATATCTTTCAGGCCTGCTTGTTCAAGCTGAGATGGGGAGGAAGGGTCTCCCATAGCGACAGAGGATATCGAAACTCCTGCTTGACGTCTCCCAAACCGATACTACTCAAGCTCTCATTGACAGTCCGAGCTTAATAAGGAGAAATATAAAATTAAGACAAGGACTTATCAATAGCCAAATTTGCTTTTCATCTTGCTCTAGATGGAGCCACTGTGAACCATGTGTTGCTGATTGCCGCGGGGACATCAGGCCGGACGCGGGATAGGCCTTGGGAACTGGCGTGCCCTCGGCTGTGATTTTTCGGCATTTCGTATAGAATCCTGGAGTAGTCTCAAAAAAAAAAACTGCACCGTAAATCACCGTCAAGACAATATCCACTTCAAAGCGCTCGCTTTCAATTGAATGATCATAACCTACATATTATGTAGAAGAGTGTAATGCTGGTATCAAGAGAATCTTGATCTTCTGGCGAGCAAACTAAACTACTAAAAGGTTTTCATTATCACCAAGGATTGTGTAGTAAATTCGCTTTGAAGTTTGCACATCATCTCTCGGTACACTTTTCTTCTGAAATAGGCTCGCCGGGCTGTCTATTGAAGGAATAGCTGTATTTTAAAACGATACTGCTTCGGGAATGAAGATACCTCAGCACGTGTGGTTTTGAAGACCATCGTTGGATTAACAATCGACCCCTCGATCCTCGTCACACCTATCTCAACCTCGGGTGGCGATCGGCTGAAGCACGCAGGCTCTAGCTAATTATACAGGGCTGGACAGAGAACTCGTGGAGTGAGGTGTTTGAAGCCGGAAAGGCCCTTCGAGACATACCCTAGACTTGAAAGTTGGCTTACAATCTCAGAACACCCGACAATGAAAAGGTGGTCGAGATCAACACGTCCCACCCCCCAAATCACAATAGGCTTGCTTACAAATGTGACGACCCTGGTGGTAAGGTAAAATGGGCCTTCCGTCGATGAAAAACGATTGTGTCATGATGTTAGACGTGCAAACAATGCCCACTACCTTCGCGCCAAGACTAGTATATACAATGGATATCCGGAGATAGTAGCTATCTGAATCGCATTGAAGCTCGGTAGGATAGAGGCCTAGTGTTGCGGTTAAAGTGTATAGACAAAGCCTTCCTGACCTTCCAAGATGCGACCTGTCTCTTTGTGGAGCCGATTCTGTAGATGGAAATGCCAGGCAAGTAGCAAGCTAAGACCAATGATGCCAACAGTACAGCAAAGCACCACAATCACACCTGGAGTATAGGACGGGGCATCCTGAGACCTGAACACGGTGGAGCCAATGATGCCTCCCACGGCTCCAAGGGTAAGTTGCAGCCCTGAGATCAGGCTGCGCTTTGTTCGTGTCGGTGCATTGTTCTGACCAAAGACAATGATCATAGGGCCATTGACCAGCGCACCACCGAGGGTGAAGAACAAGCCCAGATATTGAGAGCCGGTACTGGGTCCCCACCGCGTCAATACGATCCCCATTATGACGTTCAGCGAGAAGAAGATTACAAACGGCGACCTCATGCGGATCCGATCGGACATCCAGGAAAGACCAGCAGCCAGGAAAAAGGAGTAGAAATATGGCGGAGTGGTTAGGACCTGACTGAGTGCTCCAGTGAAACCCATTTGACCGTTCAGGATCAGGGGCATGAAATACGCCATACCGTACGTGGTGGCGACGCAGAACATGTACATGATCCCGAAAATCCAGATTTTCCAATCGCCGAGCGTCCGTATCACCAACTTGACCGTCAATTTTTCTTCACCATGCTCCTCCCGATCTTGCGCAATCAATCGGACAGCGACATCTCGTTGTTCTTCTGAGAGAAGCCTCGACTTTTCGGGGTATTCATCAAGCACAAAGAAAGCCCCGACTGCCACGAGGACGGTGATTGTACCCTCGAGGATGAAGATCCAGCGCCACCCAGCGTAGTCGGCAGTATTGATGCGTGAAAAAGCATACGCGAGGATTCCGGACAAAGAAGAGATCAGAGAGGCGCCACAAACGACTAAAGCCAATCGCCTCCCAAAGTAATAACGGGGGTACCATGAGCTCACAACCACAATCACAGTGGGGTAAACACTGTCGAAATCAGCACTGTCGTAAAAAGACAACCAGGACAATGAAACCACACTCACCCAGCTTCACAGATGCCTAAAAAGACGCGCATGGCAACCAGACCAGCGTAGTTACGGATGAGCCCCATCCCCAAAGTGAAAAGACCGAAAGTGATCGAGAGGAATGTGAGCCAGTACCGGACCGAAGTTCTGTGAAGAACGTAGTTGCTGGGGATGACAAAAAGAGCGTAGCCAGGGAAGAAGACCAACAGCGAGATGGAATACTGGTATGACTTGAAATCCAGCTCGGCTGCCATGCCTGCGACCGCAGCGAGACCCATGTTGGAGCGATCGATGTAGCAGAACGCAAGAAGCACCATCATCACCGGCACGACGACAAGGTCCATCCTTCTGATGGTTTTGCGTAGCTCTTCCGAGCTTGCAATCGAATCAATACTCTCGATCTTTGGCTCGCCATGTTCCTCGTGTTGGAATGTCGAGGTTGTTGAACCCCCCTTAAGCGGTGTGGTTGAAGCTATGGTATCTTCTGCCATCTGCTGGTCGCCGTCAAACGAGGTTATAGCAACTGACATTTGTGGATATAAGGCGAAATGAAGTGATTTGCAACCCTTGGTGACTGCTGATACACCTTCTTAAGAAGCGGTTCAAATACGAGATAGCGCCTCTCCATCCTTTCCCCATGGGGTTAACTTCGTGGGCGTGGAGTCAAACCCCATGGGCCCGGGATGCAGTTAACGCAAGCCGAGGGGAACAACATGATGGAGCCGAGGGCCAGTTGCCAGCAAAAGGCATGTAGTACAGCAAGCACTCCGCGCAATATCGATTAAGGTTCGAGGACCATGGCGTGAGATTTCTGCTCGCATATCTCTTTGAGCGCAATACGGCAATTCAGAGTTGAAAAGACCTGTGTGTGTGTGTGTGTGAAGACTGTTAGAGATGTATTTTACTCCGAGACATGGATACGCATGATTATTTGGTTTTCATGATGGCACATTGATTTCATAATAATCGCATTGCAGGAAATCCTAGATGCTTCAGATATCCCCTGTTTCTTCTCCCTTAACCTTGACAACTCGATTCGGTTCAAGCTTTTCGGTGACTGTAATATACTGGTATCCAAGGTCGCTACGCCTATGACTTCGCTCTGGGTACATCCAAGTACACCACCAGCGGAAATGGCCACCAAGTCTCATAGTAAGGTCGAAAACAATATAAGCCCCAATGGTGCTGTCCTGAATTATCAGAGCGGGACGCCTTCCGGGCGAGGTTGACGCCCAGCCGCAGTACTGGGAGGCCCAAGAGGTTTGTTTCCGTAGGGGGTAACGTCAATACCCAGCTCCTCCGCTTTAATTCGAAGCGCGAGGCGGGCCGAGTGAAATCTGCTGAACGAGAATTGATGGAACATTGAGTACAGACCTTTCTGAGGGAGCGGACAGTAATTTATGATGGATTCGCCCTCCGGTCCGAGGAAGAAGGCGTTCCCTTTCTCCCAGCGTTCGTGACATTTCTTAGCCATCTTATCGCCCATAAGAGCCTGGATCGCGCTCTTTGTGTTCATATAGCCAGTTGCAAACACAACGAAGTCAGCTTGTTGGCTAGTACCGTCTTTGTAAGAAACACCATCTTTAGTGAAATGGTCAATCTCCGAATGTACAAGATTAATCTTCTTGTCGGCTATGAGTTTGCAGCAGCCGGTGTCCCAGTAAAAGCCTCCTTGGTCGAAAAGGAACATTGAATAAGCGCCGCCGCCATGATAGCCGTCGTGGAGACGATATTCGACGCTCCTCAGAGACTCCAAGAGATCGTGATCCAGCTCTCGAGCTTTCTGTTGTGCACGAGGCAGGAGCTCATATTCGACCGGGAATGGCTGCCGCAGAAAATTGGATTGGTCTGCAAGCTCCACCGGCAGACCGCCTCTTCGATTCGTCAACTCACGGCTTCGGAAGAAGTATCGGACGCTCTTCTCCACTGACATGACGTGCGTTGCACTCCGCTGGATCATGGTCACTTCGCAGCCATTCTCGGTCAGCTCGTAGGCAATGTCGTGAGCAGAGGTTGCGGCACCGACAACGATACAGCGCTTTCCTTTCCAATCAGGGCCTGTCCGATGACGCGAAGAATGAACGACCAGGCCGCCATTTTTCTCAAACTCGGTCATACCCGGAACCTGAGGAACGTTCGGTAAGGATCCAGAGATACCCGTAGCAATCATCAAATGACGAGGGTGGAGGATGTGTTTACTGCCGTCTCCTCGTGTGACGGAGACCGTCCACCTCCCCTGCCTCTCGTCGTAAACTGCATTTTCACCGTCGATCTGAGAGTTCGTCCAGACGTTGAGGTCCATGATGCCGGCGTATTGCTGTAAGAAATTCGCCAGCTTCTGCGCAGGCAAGAAGACAGGGAACCAGTGCGGGAAGGGAACACATGGCATATGATTGGTAAAGGTAGGGCCATGCAAAGACAGTGAAGCGTAGCGGCTTGCCCAGCTGTATCCAACCCGATCCTCCTTCTCGATGATGAGGTGTGGTATACCGAGGACTTTGAGCCGCGCGGCCATGCCTAGACCAGTGTGTCCGGCTCCTACTATCACGACCGTGGGATCAAATCCGTCCTTACCTTCGATCTCATCCTGCCGAAGTTCTTGATAGCTGCGAGCTTTGCCCAGAGGATCCTCAACCTTTGCATGCTGGTAGCGAATTTTATCGCCGCTCTCAGCGTCCCACCCTTCAACCGTTTCGAGGGCGGTACCAATGGTGTATATCTTCCAATATTTCACGTCCGCCAACTCAGCAGCCGAACCTGTCTTGGCCGCGACCGGGCTGAGGCGCGCAGCACCAATACCGGTGCCATGCGCAAAGTCGAATTCGAAGTGGAAAAGGATGAAAGAGAGATCTTCCCCAAGTGTCTCCAAGGATGAGGGGAGCTGGGAAGAGATTCGAATATTCTTGATCCCAGTCTTTGGAAGCCGCTCTTTGAGCATGGGTCGAATAAGTTCATGCCTGTGAAGCGTCCGAATGTCCCATGTGAGCAACTCGACATCCTTCCAGTAGCCATCCTCGTAGATGAATTCAGTGATGGCATCAACATCTTGTGCTTCAACGGCTTTCGCAAAGGGAGTCACAAAAGACTCGACAATCTTCTCGACAACCACAGCGGCATAATCTGGAGTGAAGCCAAGTTGGCTGTTAGTCGGAAGCGTGGCCCGCTTAATGTGCCCGTAGTAGCCCAGGGTTTCGGACAAGGGTACACCGGCCCAGCCAATCGTCACATCAGCGTCGGGAGGGCGAACCGGGTCGTCGTTCCAGTCAGGGACGGGTTTTTGGATCATGGTTGATCATAAATCTGTCTGCGATAAAGAAATATTACAGTCACGAATCCAGGTCTTTATCAAGAGCTTATACTTGCCAGGCAAGTGCCTCATTCTTCCCCGCATCGACCAAATTCATCCTAGTACGAATAGACGTTGACTGTTTAGATTTGACTTACCTCGGGCCGAGTGCCGACTACGAGCTAATGAGAAAAGGGTTGTTACAATTGTGCTAACCCGTTTTGTCGAGGCGCTAGCCTTCTGCTAAAGTGAATAAGCGGCGAAGGTCTCGGCCTACCGCCCCTAAACCCAATCAATATCACATTTGGCTAATAAGAAGGAATCAAGCCGACTTAGAGTTTCCGAATCTTCAACATAACAGGCGTGGGCATTGGGCGCTCAGGAGTTCGCTTGAGACAAGGTCACAGATGTGAACCATGTAGAACTCCACTGTCTGTAAATTGGTTGATTGATGTAAGAAGAGTCTGTCTAGATTGTAGTACCCTTCCAGCCTGCCAAGGCGCTAGCATCACCTTCCGCCTGAACGCTTGCAAAGTATGATGGTCCGAAACAGAAAGCACCAGTAGGTTTCGAATGTCGAGTCTCGGTTATTCTTCCTGCACGCACAAATTTATTTATGCAGCGCATTGGTACCGTTCTGTCCATTGATCCATCGTATACCCGCACAAGCCGTTATGTAACATACTATTCTATGCATACGACAAATCATGCGTTCTAATTGGTCAGTCATTCGTTCAACGATAATTTGGTGGTCAATTCTAGCTGCTGGCTCAGTTCCACGATAAGTTATATCAATCCTTACGTGGACGCTAACTGTCACTGCGTGATCCGCGCGTCGATGAGGAAAAAAGTCTGGCTGGGCTTTGGAAAAGCATCATTTCTTGCATCATCATAGCGTATTGGATAGTCATCTGGATGGGTTTTAGTTGGTTTGTACCGAATGCGGTGGTGGACTTTTGACTCCGAGTCCATGCTGTCCTGTGTTACCTAGACCGCAGTTGAATTTTTTAACCCCTTCGGCCGCTTACCCCATGCATTTCTCAAAAGCTGGTTCAAATCATCAAAATCGGTCTTCTGACCTCCCCTCGGCGTGCTCACCTGAAGCAGCCTCGCTCCTCGGGAAGGAGTTGGGAAGTTGTCAATGCGGGACCGCCAAATGACCACCACTGGTGATTTGTCGACCCCGTGCTGGACTCTAGTGTAAGTAGCTAGCCAATCTCCAATCGGCATCTTTGCATATCCCAAAGCGCAGAGTCAGGAGCTTAGAGGTTCAAGCCCGTGCTTTGGTCACTCGGCAGCCTGGCGACAGTCTAGCCTCGCTAACGGTCAATAGCCGTCATGCCGGAGGACTCCATATCAGGTGAGCCCTAAAAATGAATTGTGATTCTTTATCAGGCCAGAAGCTGTCGGAGCTCTTGGTGACGGTATACATACATGGTGACAACGATCAACCAGCGTCTGCGCTAGTCTTGGGTCGATGAAAGAAGTTGTCAAATTTGGTTCAACTTAGGACTATTCTTTCTGTCTCATAATGGCTCATTGGCCAAGTCAACATTATCCAATACCTACCCAAGCCCTATGTCTCAACAGGTTCATGGAACTTACGCGACCTGTGCGACCGGTTCTGGGTCAATTCCACGCTCTCCTTGACCTTTTCATTAGTATACTCAGGAATTTCCTTGATCCTATGCCCCTCGTTGCCAGGCAAGATCTCGATGGCCTCGCCAGAGACATCACTCGCGCCCAGCAGAGACTCAAAGGCTTCCACAAGGGAGTCTACGTGTATCAACAGGCCCCTGGCGTCGGCGTTTTGGTAAAATTCCCCTGTGGAGATGTTCGTCCTAACGATATTGGGGCATATGGCATTCAGGGTGATCTTTTCTTCGGGCAAGTATTTGCCAAATGAACGCGCGAAACCGACGACGGCGCTGAAGACAGTTAGATATATCGGGGTTTGGCATTGGGAAAACTAAATGACTTACTGCTTCGAAGCGGTGTAGATAGGTAGGGTTGAAATGTAGTAGAAGGCGGTTGCCGAGGCCACTGCCACAACTGCAGACATCATGTTTTTAGTTACAAGAGACATCGATTAGAGGGAGTTACACTTGGAATTTCGAGCTTACTCTTTCCACGAAAACCGTACTTATTCGGCTGCTGGCGGCGAAACTGCTGGATCGCCAGTGCTGAGGTGTAAAGGGCTCCAGTCCCGTTGACCTCGAAAACAGATAGGTTGGGCTTCTCAAAAACAGTCGCGTTTGGTCGATTGGGAAGCCAAGATGTCTCGGTAATCCCAGCGACGGGAAAAACATAATCGATATGGCCAAGTTTATTGACGGCAGCTTCGAATCCTTTTCGCTGGGAGTCCCAGTCCGCTACGTCGACCTGCACTGCCCAAGCAACTTGGCCGTTCTTGTTAAGCTCTTTCGCGGCTTCTTCGGCACCCTCGATATTGCGATCAGCAATGAAAATCTTCATCCTGTAGGGAGCGGGAGATTAGCAGCTTTCTCACTGTTCATGGGCTTGAAGTATATACCCCTTGCTGACCAGCCTTGCAGCCAGGGAACGGGCGATGCCACTGGCACCTCCTAAGAAGCAGTCATCAGTATCCACTGAGCGAACATGAGCTTAAAGGATTCTTTGTACCTGTAATATAACCGGTTTCCCCTTCGTACGACATTCTGTAGTCAGGTCATTAACGAGTATGAAAGGCAAAGCGAGATGTCCGTAGGTAGTAGAAGGCGTTGCAGAGGTTCGCGAGGTACCGGGCCTAAATATATATGAAGATTGGGGGAATCTGGAGAATGCTCCCGGGTTTCAGGATTGCCGAGGCTTGAGAGCCGATCGTATGGAAAGCAATAAGTATTGATACCTCGGAAAATGGAGATTTGGGGCGTATCAACACTATGTGAAAGAGGCTGTCTAAGAATGAATTGCTGCAAGCGTTGCCAATTCACAGCGAAGGATGAAGAAGTGACCTAACCAACCAGCCAGCGTAGAGCTACTAGACCATTTCCTACTCTTACTATATTGCACATAGAAATCACGAGATCGACAACTAGAAAGTCCAAGATGCAATAGTAATTGGGGAATCCGAGAGCCGCAGGCAAATGGCCCTCCTCGTGCCAGTCTGCGAGTGAGATTCCGACTGAGTTACTCCCTTTTTCATGACACGAGATGGGCCGGTTTTCATGACTCTTCTGACACTGAATGTCGTTACAGTTTCGCCCAGTCTGAAACATCCTTGACAACATGTCCCTTCTCCCCTCTTTTCTCTTTGTCGCGCAACACTCTCCTCAGGATCTTGCTACTTGGGCTTTTCGGTATCTCGGCGATAAACTCGATCTCCTTCACCCATTTATAGCGCACTCGTCTCTCTTTCACATACTGGATTAGTTTCCTCCCGACACCGTCACTGGGCTCCACAGTGCGCTTCAGCACAACATATGCCTTCGGCCGTTCGGCACTGTAATCATCAGGTACCCCTAGCACGGCGCAATCGTCAACATCAGGGTGGCCTAGTAAGAGATGCTCTAGCTCGGCCGGTGCGACCTGTTGGCCTTTGACCTTGATCATCTCCTTGATTCGGTCAACGATATGGATGAAGCCTTGGTCATCGATACTGCCGATATCCCCTGTATGTAGAAAGCCGTCCGCACCAAAGGTCTCGGCCGATTCTCTTGGATTTGCGAGATAGCCCATTGCAATCTGTGGGCCGCTGGCCAGGATTTCGCCTATTTCGTTTGGCCCTCGCTCTTTACCTGTATCCACGTCGATGACTTTCACTCTTGTCGAGCCCAGAAGCATCCCCCCATTGTTGGCATATTCGTAGCTGTAGAATTCAGGTGGGTGAGTTGTGAGACAGCAGCATGACTCCGTCATACCGTAGCTTTGCCTGAACCCTGTCCACGGCATCTTCTTCTCAAGCAGCTGGATGACTTCCTGTCCAAGGGGAGCCGCACCACACGCGATGCGCTTCACGCAGGAGATGTCGTAATCATTAACGATAGGGTCACGTACTAGCCGTATGACAATAGACGGGACAAGGGTGAGGTCCGTGATCTGGTACTTGACGATAGCCTTGAGGAAGGCTTCCATAGTGAATTGTGGAAGCATGACGCATTCGTCGTTACCGGCGATAGGCCAGTTAATGAAGCGCACGAGTCCACTGACTGGTGATGTTAGTATTATCACGGTTGAGCTGCTATTGCATTGCTCATTTCTGTGGACGTTCTTACTGTGGAACAGGGGTAGGCTAGCCAAGAACCTCTTCTTCTCGGGTCCTGCCACGTCCTTCAGCTGTTGGCATTGAGAAATCACATTCTTGTGGGATAGCATCACCTGTTATTAGTAGTTGACAGTTAGCTCATCCCAGGTGCCTAAGACGCGTATTGCTGAATACTCACCGCTTTTGGCAGGCCAGTTGTTCCGCTACTAAAATTCAGAAAACCACAAACGTCGTTCGTCCTGCCTTTTGGGATGCGATAGGCGGGGCTCTGCCCGTCTTTGCCGTAACTCTCGCCAATTTCTAACAGCTGCTTCATCGTAGTGTAGCCCTCGAGCTCCCCTTCTAATAAGAAGATGCGCTCATTGGGGATCCTGGCTTCCTTTGCAGCTGCAAGGGCAACTTTGATGGAGCCGGGCACTGTCATGATATACTTGGTTTCTGCCGTCTTGAGAGCACCTGTCATCTCATCTGGGTTATACGCAGGAGATGCGCCGTTGACTCTTCCACCTAATATGCCGCGTCAGCCTCCGCTTATTCAAGCTACACTCAACCCCGAGTAATTTCAACGTTCAGGGATTAGTGGAGGGACCAATTCTCAGGCATACCTGCTCTCAAGACAGCGAACATAGCTACTGGATACCATATCGTATTCTGGCTAAACAGTGAGACCGTATCTGTCTCTTGCAAGCCATATCTTTTGACCAAGGCTGTACATAGATGAGTCGCATGCTCCTTCACTTGGAGGAAGTCCAGCCGCTCCTGTGTGGCAGCATTGGTGAAGCCAGCGATCTCGTTGGGTGGAAAGTTAAATAGTGGCGAGTACCTTGCGTCGTCGAAAGCCCATTCCCATACTGTCAAATCCGTTGGATCTGCTCACAGAAAGGAGAGGATTAGCAATGCGAAGTCCTAGAGAACAGTATGGGCATACATTCAATATCGGGATATCTGGACCTGAACAGCATCCTGGATTCGTATCAAGTGACTGCAGGAGAGCCGACACCGACAACGTCCCTTTGAGAATTTGCGCTGGCTGCTAACTTTCTGATATGCTCTATCAAAGCGCGGGTACGATCACGAGGGGTCCCGGTTGGGGCCGGACAAATTGTTCGAGTGGCCGAGGCAAATCAGCCTTTGCGCCGAACGCCAGGCCAACTACTCACGCCAGAGATAACTGTAATTTCCCGTGAGAGTCCTCGTCGCTCGTGACTACTGTACCCGTTTCTTTCCCAGAGAGAAAGCTCTCATGTGTCGTTCCCATGCGAACCTAGGGAGAACTTCACACGTGGTGATGCACTCAATACGACGTAACGAGATAGTGCGTATTGGATCTCCCTCTGCTGCAGAGATCCTCGAGGTGAGAGTGCATTGCCGATTTAATCATATCTGAGTCGATTCTACCTACCGGCTCAGTACGTACAGTCAAGACAAGAAGTCCCCAATCCTGGTCTATAGCTCGCCCTGCTCCCGAAGCCCAGGGTTTTCCGGTCCCCATCTACCTACCCTGAAGAATTAGCGCTTTAGGAAAATCGAATGTCCATATCTTTCTCGGCCTGGGGAAAATAATTTAATTTCCGTTCCTGTGAGGTGATAACTTCCTCATCGCGTGACAGGACGTAATGTTTGTTCTTCTAGCCATACCAAAGTGAATCTTCGGGAGGGACCCTCGGCCCTCGGACAGTACCTCCTGTTGAACCAGGTACATATTGGAGTCCAAAAAGTCGTGGTACTCGTCATTTACGGGAGCGTCGCCCTGGTGGAGAAGAGAGAGCAAAGCTTTCCATTCCTCAACCCTCAAAGTCCTGGTTCCTATATATATCAATTTTACGTGCCTAAGCAAAAATCTGGCTGTTGCCTCATGAGAGTTTCTCAGACATTCAGAGTCCTTCACGGTGTCAGTTCTGTATTCACGAGCAGGTAGATATGGCCCCAGATGCGAGTATCCCTGTGAATGGAATTCCAGTAAATGGAACCTATCCAATTGATGAGGCTTTTATCCGCACAGCGATCGACAAGTCCAATCTAAATGCCCTGCGACTTGCCCTGCTCCAGGTGACCGGTGACCCAGACCTTGCCAACATGCACATACGACGTCATGCCATCCGTGGTGGCGCCATGTTTGCACATGTTGTGGCCGACGAAGACATTCCGGCCCTGAAGGAAAAGGCGTTTGTCTATCTCTCAAAGCTCAAGGCCGACGATGCCATCCCGCCACCACCGTCAAAAGGCGAGGCCAAGAAGTTGATGGACGTCTTCGGCGACAAGCCTGTGGGAGAGCGCGAGTTCGAGTACGATTACGAGGAGCTGGCATACGAAGAATTTCCCCGCACCGCGGAATGGACAGCGAAGAAACCTTCGGCCGAAAAGATTGCCAAATTCAAAGTGGTCGTCATTGGCGGTGGCATCAGCGGGATCGCGGCTGCTGTGCAGTTCAAGAGGCTCGGCCTCAACTTCATGGTACTCGAGCGGCAGGCAGATATCGGCGGCACCTGGCTCCTCAATTCGTATCCCGACGCGCGCGTCGACACGTCGAGCTATCTATTTCAGTTTAAGTTCGTCAAGAACTACCCATGGACGGAGTATTTTGCCTCAGCTGGGGAAACGCGGAACTATCTGAAGAACGTGGCTGAGCGATACCACGTTAGGGATCACTTTCACTTCAACCGTGAGGTAGTCAGTGCCGTCTGGCACGAGGATGAGAGCGAGTGGGAGCTCACCGTGAAGGTTACCGATGGTGATACGGAGACCATCAAGTGCAATGCCGTCGTTAGCGGTAGCGGCCTCTTCGCCACACCCAACAAGCCAAATATAAAGGGCATAAAAGACTACAAGAGGCCTGTTTTTCACACCGCCCACTGGGACCACAGCGTTGATTATCGCAACAAACGCGTGGCCCTTCTGGGCACAGGGTCGACTGGCACCCAGCTCGCTCCCACCGTTGCCTCAGAGGCCAAGTCTCTCACTGTCTACCAGCGCACGCCAAACTGGATCATGAATATGGATGGCTATCGCGCGCGTACCGACGGCCATGTGAGGTACATGTTCGATCACATGCCTTACTACTGGAACTGGTATTGCTATTCAAGTCATGTAACATCTCAGCAGCTGCAGTATCTACAGAAATACGACAGGGACTGGCAGGCAAAGGGCGGTCTCATCAACGAGCGTAACGACATTGTGCGCCGAAACCTGACCGAGTACATTACATCCAAGGCAAAGGGCATCCCGGGCCTGCTAGAGAAGATATTGCCCAAGCATGCGCCGCTGGTGCGCCGGCTGGTTGTGGACAACGGCTTCTATGACATGCTGCGGCGCGACAACGTGGGGCTCGTCACGGAGGACATCGACACATTCACCGAAACAGGCATCAAGACGGCCGACGGTGTGGAGCGCGAGTTCGATCTTGTCATCCTCGGGACCGGCTTCAAGGTGCAACAATACTTTTGGCCGTGTAAGTATGTCGGGCGAAACGGGGCTACGCTGGAAGAGCTGTGGAAGAAGGATGGCCCGCGTTCATACCTCGGTCTCGTCATACCGGGCTTTCCCAACTTCTTCAGCTTTTATGGCCCGAACCACCAGCCACGCTCGGGCGGATTTTACTCTTGGGGCGAGATCTGGTCGCGGTACACTGCCACTGCAATCATACACCTGATTGAGAACGACAAAAAGTCGATGGACTGCCGCAAGGATGTCTTTGATGAGTACAACACCAAGCTCGACGCCGCGGCCAAAGAACTCATCTGGGAAGAGGAGGGTCACGGATACTACGTCAACGAGCACGGCCGCCAGAGCATCAACGCCCCGTGGACCACTGCTGACTACCATCACATGGTGCTCACGCCCGACTTTGCCGACTTTGACATCCGGTAAATTGAAATCCAACACAAGGCCCAAGGAAGCCGGGTGGCATGCTGTCGATGGCATATTGAGCTCCCTGCTTCTTGAGCAATTGATCCCTGTTCTCTTTTCCCAGAGAGAGATTGCTCATGATTCTGTCGCTGCTTTGCCTTCTTGGGAACAGAGTTCAGAGGTGTTTTGCTTATATATCTAGAAATATTTTAGCAAATACAGTCTCCTAGCTGCTCCATGTGTCGCATTCCGTCGATTTGACGCTTGCTCCCGATCTGTCTTTCGAAGATGAGTTTGTACAGATACCGTCCAAACGACCAGTGCGTTTCTCTCGCCAGGCCAGCCTATAGTAAACCGGTTTAACATGCATCAAGTTTCCTGATGCTGGATGCCCGAACGTGGTTCCCAATCGACCAGTCCCGGATCTTGGACTTGTAGGTGTCTCGACTTTGGCTCTTGTATTTTCTCTGTAGGCTGTACTTTACCAAAGTCGGGGGGGCAACCAAGCCCAAGCATCTTGCAAGATTCGTCACTTCGCATTAAAGTGCATTGTTATGATTGCAGGAAGACAAGTGGTGTGTGGTCGAACACTGTGATTTCGTAGTTGGCCCTGGCAATAGGTGTTCAATCACATTGTTTTCGCACCTAACCTCGTTCTTCGTGACACGAGATATCAATTCCATCGATCTGCTAACAGCTTGGCAATATCAAGTAGTTGTCCATTAGCCAACTTATCTCCCCTCCAGCCTTTCCCAGAATGCACTCGACTTGAATCAGAAACTCTGGATCGCGTTCAGTCTATTCTCATGCGCCCTCTTCGATGCCGGTATATTCGGTGCAAGCATCTCAAACCCATGCGGCAGACCGGGATATAGGTGGAGTTCGGTTGAGATATTTTCTGCCAATAGCCTCGTCGCATATGTAATATCCTCGTCGCGGAAAATGTCTAGCGTTCCGACCTCAATGTATGCTGGCGGTAGGCCGGCCACACTCTTCGCTCGTGCAGGGGCTGCATAAGGAGAGACGTCGGCATCCGGTTTACCCGCCTTGTCTCCGAGGACTGCTGTCCAGGCCGTAACATTGTCTTCAACCTTCCACATGGTGAAGGGATCAATAGCCTCCTTCGCAGTCGAATTTTGGTCATCGAGCATGGGATAACGGAGGATCTGCTTGGCGAGAGGAGGCTGGAGGTTTCTATCTCGAGCTATCAAGGCAACGCCCGCAGCCAGACCGCCCCCGGCACTTTCTCCCATGACAGCGATTCTTGCCGGATCAATATTAAGTCTCTGTGCATTCTGATACAACCAAACGAGACTGGCATAACAGTCTTCGACGAGAGTTGTGCCACTATTCTCCGGAGCCAGACGATAATCAACGCTGAAGATGGGAACCGAGCTGTCGCTCACCAAGCGCGCTATAGCTCTGGAGAATACTGGGACTGATCCTAGAATCATCCCGCCACCGTGGCAATGTAGAATGCCTGGCCCTGGCTCCGACGAAGCGCTCTTTTTCGCAAAGTGGTAAACCGGAACTTGGTGACCATCAGGGGCATCGGCATGATACACTGTTTGTTCCACATCTGGTGAGTCTGGAAGACGCCTGAAAAACACGGCGAGCCCTGCTTCCCGACCTTCGCGACTGGGCCGAATATCTTGTACGGCAAGTTTGGGTCGAGCCGATAGAAGGGGAATAAGTGGCTCGAAGACCTTCAAAAATTCCGGGTCGAATTGGAGAGGCATCTTGGCTTGCCGATGGGAAAGAACTTTGCCAAAGAGAACATTGTGCGAGTTCGCCTTTGGGGGTTTGCTACCATCTATAAGGTTCCGTCGTATTCAGGAAATCGGCTATCTGGAGCGTCGGTGGATTGCCACCGAGGTAGGCCGGCCACATCCTTTCACTCCCGAATTTAATTTCACCAGTTATTCGGTATCTACTCCGTATATCGTGGGGAACGGAGCATGGCGGTACTTTCTTGTAGGGTTATAGCGCACAGTGAGTATTGTTGTTGGATTGACAGTCTTACTACGAGACCCATTACTTGATCTTGCTATTCAATAACACCACCTACTCATAGATCTGGGAACGGAGGAATAAGCTCTCGTGGGACGGTCTTGTTGACGAAAAGCAGAGCGCAATATAGAGAGACTCGACAATAGCATTCCCACAACCCAGCCTTGCACGGTAGTATTCGCAAGTGAATGGCGGGGACCATTTTTGCCTGACATCGATGAAGCAGACCTCTTTGGGGTTGAATTCAACATCAAGCCGTTCGGTCCTGCAAACGTTTCGGCTGCTCAGTCTTCTTCGCTCTTTCTATGCGAAGAACTAATTGACGGCTAACTCCGCTTGCTGAACGGCGTGGATTCCATTTCATTTCGACGGCCGAAATTTTCATTTACTGTATACATGATCCCCTTGTATCCTGGCAGGAACTCCAACATTGCTTTTCTCGCTCGTGAATTTCGCCTAAAAATTCTCGGGGCCGGGGGCTTCTGCCATCGTTACAGGGGCCCCGGATGCCGGGATATTCTAGTCTACAGGAGACCATTAATTGATATTATGAGAGAAAGGTATTGCCGCAGTAACCTTACGAACCTCCGGCCACGTTAGGTTATCACGAAAGCCATGCCCTTCTGCCAGGTTGCCCCTTTCCATTGCTGGGGATCAGGCTACTCTCCACATATTTCAGCGACTGGTTTATTTCCTCGGGAAATCTGGGGGCGGGCTCAATTCCCATGATGTGTGGAGATTGCTCTTTGGGTTTTGGTCATCAGAACCTCATTGAAGGAAAACCTTCACAATCACCCGGTACCCTGCTAGCTTGACATTGGGGCTGAATCTTCTCAGGCAATCAACATGCCCAAGTAGAGAGACCTGTCCTCGGGCCCGCCAGCCGTCCTAAAAACTCAAATTGGGGGACTGCCTCCTTGGAAGCACCCAAGCCGAGGGCTGTTGAGTGGTCGAAAACTGCTTTTCTTTGTTCCCGGATTACATATCATCTGTGTGCGAGCTTGCTAGGAATTTCACTGCGAAAATCAAAGTCTATGATAGAGGCTTGCTCATGTCCTGTATCTTCGTTGTAGAAACAACCCGAAATCGGTGAGTACGGGGTATGTCTTCCAAAAGCCAAGGAACTTCAACCAGGCAGCTCTATCACAGTAGCGTCATCGCGGTTGACAAAGATTGTGTGTAACAAAGTAGGCATCTAGGGTGATGCTGCCGAAGACCTTCATAGACATCATGGCCTTTACAACTCCCATTATTGCCGGTGCCAACAATGACAATATGATACCTCGAGAGTTTCTCGGTGGACAGGACTTGAGCCCTGTGGCTATCCCGGGAGGATACCTTGGAGTGTCAGCAGCGCCGCTCTTCATGCATCGTTTCTACGCTGTTACTGTCGCGAAAATGCCAACGCTCCATGAGCCGCTGATCTCCACTATGAACATCGAGCGGAGAATAATTTCTACGTTTTGAACTCGTCCCTTACCAGAGGCACTTTACTCATTGGTAAAGAAGAAACATCCCGAGAGTGTTTCCTCTTTGTGGCTCCAAAGTCATTCCACGGGGGCTTAGTTGGAATTTCACTCCGTTTCTTTCCATGACAATCTTCCCTTTCAGTCGGACAAATATTGTACGTGACGGTCAAGTGCAAGGCCCTTGGCTACCTGTACATCAGAAATCCCCAACCCGAAAAAGAGTGAGTCGCCTCGGGCCGTCGGTTATGTGGTGCTTTCCTCTGCTTGAGTTGGGATTCACATAGTCTTAATATCGCTGGGGCTTATTCCGGGTCTGGGAAGCCCTGTGATACGTCACATGCACATTCATCAATGAGTTTTAAAAGCCAAAAAAGGAGACAAAAGCCAGTACGACTGCCACTTATCAGGATCCAGTCAAGGAGACGGCAAGAGAGCAGTACCACAAGCCAAAAATGCGATACGGCAAAGTTGCAGTATTCTCTCGGCCAGGTGAGCCTGTGAAGATTATCGAGGAAGAAATTCGACAGCCAGCGTCTGATGAGATCCTGGTGCGGGTGTCGATGGCAGGGATCTGCGGCAGCGATGTCCACAGATTAAAAGGCGACATCCCAGCCCACTTAGACGCAGTCTGCTTTGGACACGAAGCTGCTGGCGTCATCGAAAGCCTGGGAGCCGAAATAAAAGCAGACAGTGTTGATACGCCGTTAGCCGAAGGAGACATGCTATATTGGATGCCATTAGCACCTTGTGGTACTTGCTGGGAATGTGTCAACTCGAGCCCTATACACTGTCCGAATCTCAACTGGCCTCCGCCCGCCGGAAAACCTAACGGAGCGGGCTTCAGGCAATACGCAACTCTCAACAAGAAGTGCGTATATATCCGGGTGCCTCCTGATGTGTCCCCTGAAAATGTCATTGCGTTCGGGTGCGCAATGCCAACGGCCTTCAGAGGTCTAAAGCAACTAGGTCCCATCAGTCCTCAGGCCGATATTGTCGTACAAGGCTCGGGTCCGGTCGGCCTGGCATGCACATTCTTAGCAAGTCGGGCCGGTGCCCGTTCTGTTATCGTGATTGGGGATCCTGCCGGTCGTCTTGAGGTCGCATCTTCACTTGGTGCGACTTGCACGATGTCCGTAGCCAACACCACTGCGGAGATGAGATTGAAGAAGGTCAGAAATCTGACAGAAGGTCGTGGGGCAAGCATTGTTGTGGAAGCTGCTGGAACGGTCGCTGCGTTTCCTGAGGGTTTGAATCTCCTTCGAACGAATGGAAAATATGTGATTATGGGACTATACTCCGGCGAGGCCACATGTTCAATCAATCCTGTGCGCATCAATAACTTCAATCTACAAATCATCGGGAGCTTGGGTATTGATGTGGACGCATTCCGCCAAACCGTGGACATGGCATCTGAACACGGTGGTCGATTCCATTTTCCAGAGCTAATCACCCATCGATTTCCCTTAGATCGCCTCGAGGAAGCTATTGTATTATCAGGGCAGGGAATCCCCATCAAAGCCATCATTCTGCCGAACGAAGATGTATAGCTCGTCATCTCACAGGAACATCTCTAGCCTCAATGATTCATCTTATGCGGAAAGGCTCCAGTGTACGCTGACTATCAATTGGTACCTAGTTATCCCATCTTGCTACGAATGAAATTTGCAGCCTGAGAAATGGTCTCCTCCGCCTCGGAAGCGTTTCCTGCCATGAACACCCAAACGTGCTGCATACCCTCGCCCAGTTCCATCTGCACCTCGATCCCCGCCGCCTTTGCATGTTGTGCCAACCGAATCGTATCGTCCATCAAGGCTTCCGCCGTCCCTGCCGTCAGATACATGGGCGGAAGGCCTTTGATATCTGTATGAAGCAAGTCCAGAAGCGGGTCATCAAGAGAGGCACCGCCCACGTACAGGTCAGTTACGCCCTGTATAGCTTCTGGATTCATAAGTGCATCTTTGCTAGCATTTGTCTTGAGACTCTTGCCAGTCAGCCTCATGTCGATCCAAGGAGAGAACCCGACAATGGCTGCCGGAAGGGGTAGGCCGAGGTTACGAGCCGCAAGAGAGGTCGCCACCGTCAGATTGCCTCCCGCTGAGTCTCCCGCGAGGGCGACTCGCTGGCTGGAGAAACCCTTGTCATTGATTAGCCACTTGTATGCGGCGACCGCGTCGTCGATTTGCTTTGGAAACTGGTACTCTGGTGCTCGTCGATAGTCAATGACGAGTGCGTGACTTCCCGCCTTTTTGGCGAGATGCGCCGCTGTCTTGCGATGGCTTGCCGGAGAGCCCGCACTGAAGGCACCTCCGTGCAGGTACAATATCACACGTGACGGCGAAGCCGACAGCGGCTTACACCAGATTGCCGGTCGGACAGTTCCTGGGCATTTGACCTCTTCGTAAGTGACGTCCGTCGGTTCCGCGCTCACGGTACCAAGTTCTTCCAGCAGTATGCGATGTAGGTCGAGTCCCACATTCTCTGACCCGAGATGCTTGCTCAATCTGTGGTAGAGATCCTCCAAAGCCTGTGACTCCTGGGAAGGCATCTTTGGTATTTATTCCGCTCGTAGCAAGCTTGAAGTTGTCGTTCGGTGCAAATCATAGACGTGGATCACCGCACAATTTTAGATTGTAAAGGAGGTGGATTATTGTTGGCAAAGGCCGTCAAAGAATATGAGTTTAGATTCATTTATCAAGATAATTGAGGCAACAGTAAACGACAGGTCTCTGCCTGAGGGCACACCATCAGCCTCGGGTAGTTTATACGCTTCTCTGCCTATTAGTTGTTCCTAGGGTTTGAGACTCCACTTCAGGCCAGGCCAGTTGACAGCAGACTAGCTACAGAGTACAGATACTTCCATACTACATCTTTTACACCAAAACCTAGCGCCCACATTTGCCAGGGGGATGGAAATACGATGTGCAGCCGATACAAAGCCGAGTTAGTCATATCAAGGCCGCCCGATCCACACTCGAGTGTAACACTGGGAACCTGTCACCTGGGATTAACTACGGAGAGTGTAGCCACGGGAACAGCCTCGCGTGGACAGGGCTGTGGTGGCTGCATGGATTGCCAGCTTTGGGCCACGTGATCTCTCAAGTCTACTGAACGGTCTTGCATTGCAAACGATCCTCGGCAGATCGGCCCGATTGGTGACCTCAGAAACTCGGAAACCTTGTAACCACAGACATGCCTGAGTGAGTGGTCGTTCTCCTCGGCTTGCGTTTGAGGGGCAATACGTGCTATACTATTTTCTAGACAATATCAGCTTACCTTGGCTATCAACCATGATTTCAATACTTCTTAAAGAGACAGCGGTCAACACATCCTTGTCAAGTGCTTAGACGCCATGAATGTCAGAAGCCTGGTAACTCTGCGCCCTGTCGCTGCGTTCAACAGGTCTGGAGACCGCATTTGCCGAAGTGCTGCTGCTCGCAGACTTGGCCAGCGTTGGCAGACCACAGCATCGTCCCCACAGACACCGGACGTGCGAATTCTGGAAGTTGCTCCCAGGGATGGCCTTCAAAACATCAAGACGTTGGTTCCTACAGCTACTAAGATCGAGCTGATACGGAAACTCGTTGATACCGGTCTGGGACACATTGAGGCCACATCTTTTGTTTCGCCAAAATGGGTGCCCCAATTGGCGGATGGCGCAGCGGTGATGGAGGCGATCTCTCCCCTGGCGGCCGCGAACGATATCCAGTTCCCGGTGTTGGCGCCAAACCTGAAAGGTCTCGAGAATGCGCTGAAGGCCGGAGCAAAGGAGGTGGTTGTCTTTGCTTCAGCCACGGAAGCTTTCAGCAAAATGAACCAGAATTGCACAGTTGACGAGGCCTTGGCCGCCGCTCGACGAGTCATGGAGATTGCAAAACCACAAGGCGTGCGGGTCCGCGGTGTCATCTCTTGTATCTTTGCGGATCCATACTCTGGTCCAACGAACCCCTCCAGTGTCCTTCGTGTGGCCAAAGAGTTCCTGCAAATGGGTTGCTACGAAGTCGGGCTGGGAGACACTTTGGGAGTCGGTACTCCTTTGAAAACTCAGAAATTATTGGAGGTGCTCTTCAAAGAAATTCCACCTGAGAGGCTCGCAGGCCATTTCCATGATACCTACGGCCAGGGTGTTGCAAATGTTGTGGCGGCCTACCAAATGGGCATCCGTGCCTTCGACTCAGCAACTGCGGGGACGGGAGGATGTCCTTATGCCAAAGGCGCGAAAGGGAACGTGGCCACAGAAGACGTGGTTTATACCCTGGAAAACTCTGGGATTTCCACCGGCATCAATTTGGACAAGCTGATCATGGTGGGTGACTGGCTGTCACGGCAAATCGGCGTGCCCAATGGAAGTCGGGCAGGCGCAGCGCTAGTCGCGAAGCAGAGCTCGCAGAAGGAGGAGAAAAAGAGCTCTGCGAGAGAGTGGAAAATCGTCGAAGAGATGCCAGACTACCGAGTCTCGCGAGCTGGTCCAGTCGTGAAGGTCACGCTGACAAGATCGCGACATGGCAACACGATGACACTGCCAATGCTGGAGGGCTTGACCCAGGTCTACACGAAACTAGCCAAGGATCAGACCGTCTTCCATATCGTGCTTTCGGCGGAAGGCAAGTTCTTCTGTACCGGCATGGACCTGAGCGGAGGCACCAAGACCACCGAAACCGATAAGGACCAAGGCTATCACGCAAAGATCCAAGCGCTTTTCTCTGCCATTGACAACTCTCCTCAGATAACCATCGCTTTGATAGAAGGCCCCTGCTATGGAGGAGGCGTTGGGCTCGGCTTTGTCTGCGACATCCGGCTTGCATCTCCCAAGGCTCGATGGACATTATCCGAGATCAAGATTGGCGTCGCCCCAGCCATCATCTCCAGATACATGGCACGCGAATGGGGCTTCTCATTCTTCCGTGAAGCCATGCTCACAGGAAGAGAAGTCCAAGACTCGGAGCTTCAGCGCATAGGAGCAGTTCACGGGGTATCAGAGGACACGGGGAAACTGCTAGAGGACTATCTAGACAAGCTTTCACACTGTGCCCCCAAATCAGCGTCAGTTTGCAAGGAACTTGCCCGTCTGGCATGGACAGATCCAGGAAAGCGAAAACAAGATGACTTCATTGAACATACCTTCCACAAAATGATGGTGCCGGGCTCCGAGGGCGAATATGGCATCCAACAATTCCAAAAAAAGAATAAAAAGATCCAGTGGACCGACTTCCACTTCGGCGAGGCAAAATTGTGAATGCACGGACTTCGCAGAGTCTTTCTCGGCCAAGAGGGCTTGCCGGCATGACTTGAATAGCGATCCGCCTGCCAGTGTCGTGAGAATCTTTCCGCTTGACCAAATTACAAGCACCAGGAATCTGAAGGGCCTAGGCCTGTCGGCCAAATCCTCTCCGATTCGAGACTTAACCTCCACATCCGGGTCGGTGGGCTAAGCTACAACTTCGTAACGAATCAAAGTATTGGAAGAGACACGCATACCCGGCATGTCATTGCTTTCCTTGTCGACAAGGCACACGCAGAATACAAGTCATCTTGAAAAGAGCCTGCCCGACTCTTTATTGCAACGGTCCCTATTGATGGCTGGTTCGATACAATGTCAACGGAGGCCTTCGCCACATCAGAGAGGAACCATCCCACGGAAGGTCAACGGCGGGCCTGGGAACCGTCTAACCATGAATCTTCGCGGGGGTTCAATATAAGTATCAAGTGATGGATGTCTTTCTCGTGTAGGTTATAGCGCTGGCAGTAAACAAGTCTGGCAATATGATGAGAGTTCAGCGAATGAATATACCACTATGGCAAAAACTGAGCGCCGGTTTTACAGCTCTTCAGTCTCTAGTAGGCGGGTCTTGTTACTCGACGACGTTAAAAGCCTCACCATCTAGGCAGCCTGGACTGACACATCGACAATCTGGGGCTGCAAACGTAATCAACATCTCTGCAATTTGAGGTCAACAACCTTTTGTTAGAATGTGTGCGGGAGAGAGTGAACAACATCTAAGGCACTGTCTCACAAGATAGCTTCGTGCGGCAGATGTTGCTCGTGGACAAAGGTGTATTGATGAGATCAAGGGCTACCACTATTGAACAGAATTCTATGAGCAGCAAACACCTCAATAACTCTTTGGCAAACCCAACACCCGCTCACCAATGTAGTTTAAGATGAGCTCTTTGCTGATAGGAGCAATTCGCGGTAACATAGCTTCTCGCAGATATCTTTCCACGTGGTATTCCTTCGCATAGCCCATGCCTCCGTGAGACAGAACGGCCCTCTCGCAAGCCTCAAAAGCGGTTTCGGCGGCAAGGTATTTAGCTGCGTTGGCGTATTCCCCAGATTCAAATCCTTGGTCATAGAGGCGGGCGGCTAGGTATACCATCAAGCGTGCACCCTCCACTTTTATCCAAGACTCTGCCAACGGGTGTTGAATGCCCTGATTCTTGCCGATAGGACGCCCAAATACGACTCTCTCCTTACCATAGATCGCGGCACGGCGAAGCGCCGCATAACCTAAGCCGAGGGCTTCTGCGGCAATAAGAACACGTTCCGCGTTCATTCCGTGCATAATTTGCTTGAAGCCGTCGCCTTCTTTGCCGATCCTGTCCGCGGCAGGGACCCTCCAGTTTTCGAAGAAGATGAGATTCGAGTCCACGGCGGCACGACCGAGCTTTTGGATTTCGGTCACCTGGACCTTTGTGCGGTCGAGATCGGTATAGAAGAGCGACAGTCCTTGAGTCGGCTTCTGTATCTCTTCCAGCGGTGTGGTTCGGACGAGGATCAAGATTTTGTTCGCGGTTTGCGCGGTCGAGGTCCAGATCTTGGAGCCATTCAGGATATAGTCATCACCGTCGCGGCGAGCCTGAGATTGTAGCTTCAGAGTATCTAACCCTGCATTTGGCTCCGTCACGCCGAAACAAGCGCGGTCCTTCCCTTGAATAAGAGGCGGGAGCATTCGTTCTTTCTGCTCTTCTGTGCCAAATTTGACGACCGGCTCAAGCCCGAAGATATCTAAATTAATTCAGAGAGTTAGCCATCCAGGTCAATTAGATGCCCCTTTTTGGTCATTATCTGAGCCTGGGAGCCTAATTGATGTGAAACAAAAGATGCGAACGGCTTTAAAGTCTATCAAAGTCGATCGTAAGGACTTACTCATGTGTATCGACGAGGCGCCGGCCAACCCGGCACCAGATTCGGAGATCGTCTGCATCATCACCGCGGCCTCTGAAATTCCAAGCTCGGAGCCGCCGTACTTCTGAGGGAGGCAGATCCCAAGCCAGCCGTCTCGGGCGAAATCCCGATGAAAGTCATGTGGAAATTCATGGTTGGAATCTTTTTCAAGCCAGTACTCGTCGGGGAATCTTGACACAATTTTGGCGATAGCTTCACGGACGGTTCTTTGTGATTCGGTGAAGTCAGGATGATTTGATTGTAAGAACTCATACGCTCGTGCATGAACTCGCCTCGAGCCAAGTACTCGGCCTGGAAAGGTAGGACGGCATTGTTTTCTTAGAGCAGTGGTCGCCGCACGGGTAGCCCCGTGAGAAGAGTACATGATGGACGAACACTATCGTCGCCCTTTCTTCCAGTCCAATTTCGCGCTGCGTAACCGAGGAACAACTGCGACTGTCACCTTTGGTAGGAAAAACTCGACCTCAGTAACAGGCAGATAGGTGCAAAGTTGGCCATGTTAAGGGGAGCCAGAAATCGGTGCACTAGTCTTCACGAGACGCCAGAGCCTGAGTACGGTCGAGCTTCGTAATAGCCATGTCTCGGGGCACAATTTGTTGCTGCTCCCAGTGTTGGTCCAGCAAAACGGGAACCAACCCCTTAGTTACCGAGGTCACCATCTGGGACGAGCAAGAGCGTCCCAACTTTCAACGAAATGGATATCCACCCATCATGTTCCCGTAAAATACACGGGGGAGGCCGATCAAATAGCTGGTTCCGTTGCCGACATCCTGGGAGCTGAGTCGGTAAGGAGAAATGAGCCGGGGACATACGCCGAGGTGTGGTCTTAAATCTGAGGCTATTGCAACACCCCCTTGTCACTCACTGACACATGCTGCTGTCATAATCCACAGGCTTCCAGTGTTACATGCTTCCTTATTTCCGCAACAAAGAAGGCCGGAGGCCCGAGACTTCGACCGGACAACGCAACCTTCGATTGTGGCGCCGATAGACCGCGCACACCTTGGAGAGCCATGGCCGCCGTGCAAGATACCAACGTGATGCCAGAGCCTTGGTTCAATAGACAGCGAGTGGCACATGCTGTACAGCCTTTCATCATTGGCGGCGCTTCAGGGATCGTGGCTACGACATGCATTCACCCTATCGACGTGGTCAAAGTGAGGTTGCAGCTGGCCGGACCGTTTGGCAGCACCAGCGCTCGGCCCAGTGCTTTCTCAGTTGCCAAGAACATTGTGACGCAAGGCAGACTTCTGGACTTGTACCAGGGCATCTCGGCAGGATACCTCCGGCAGGTAGTCTACGGCACAGCTCGTTTGGGGTTTTTCTACACGTTCGAGGACGCGCTGAAAAGAAGAGCTCTCAGACACAATCGCGAAATAACGTTCCCAGAACGTGGGCTTGCCGGACTTATCGCGGGCGGATTGGGCTCATTGATTGGAACTCCCACCGAGGTGGCATTGATTCGAATGCAAAGCGAAGGAGCGAAGCCGCCCCATGAGCGTCTAAAATACCGCTCTGTCTTTGATGCCCTAGCAAGGATCACGCGGACAGAAGGCATCCGGGCGCTCTGGAGCGGCACCTCCCCTACCGTCATCAGGGCCTGCTCGACAAACTTCGGACAACTCACATTTTTCTCGGAGTCGAAACATCAACTTTCAAAACGCACAAATCTGTCGCCGCAGGCTCAGAGCCTGATTGCGTCAGCGATAGCAGGGACTTTTGCCGCCACCTTGAGCTTGCCATTTGACTTTGTCAAGACGAGACTTCAATTCCAGACCAGACAACCTAATGGAACGGCGATGTATAGAGGGACCTTTGATTGCTTCGTCAAGGTAGCCAGAACTGAAGGCTTGACTGCATTCTACCGTGGCTTTGTGCCGTACTACTTCAGGATGGCTCCGCATGCGTGAGTCGCTGGCCCCGTACCTTGATCTGATACAGCCGAGACAGATGCTGACAGCGTTATGAACAGGATGATCATGCTCACGACTTCGGACATTATCGCAAGGTTTTGGGCCCGATAGCCCGCAGAGACATCAAAGATATACTTATGTCACGTAAGCCGGACGCCGTTCTCGTTAAGAACACATCATTACGAACCCTCTTCTTTTTTTTTCTGGTGTGCGAAATGACTATGCAGCGAGTTTGACTTTTCAACAAAAATATGTGCTTCTTCCAGACTTTGACTGCTCTGATCATAGCTGGAGCGAGACCTCTCTCGAGATTGGCACGGTCGGGAGGAGGTTGATCTGTGGTTACGGCTGCACTTATTAGAGAGCTGTCACTAGACTAGATTCGGTGCACATCCACCGGTTGTTGGCCGCTGCTATGAGTACAACAAATCGACCTGAAGTACTACACCAGGCTACGTTAGACGAAAGCCCCAACCGATATCTGAATGCTTCAAACCATTTCTTGAAGCTTCTTCAACACCAGCATTAATGCAGCAGGTCACTTCGCTTCGTCAGCTGTGAGACTTCAAATCTTGGACGATTTCGCAGCTGTCAAGGCTTTCGTCTCTGCGCGGTAGTTCTTGACCAACTGTCTGATGGCCAAATCAAACATGACATCCTCGGTGCCTCCGGGGATCCGTGCGGCTGGAATTTCTCGGTAGATTTTCTCGACCAGCTCGCCCCGGCCTGTCCTCGTGAAACCATTCCCGCCAAATAGAAGCACTGCGCAACGTGAACATTCGTCCAGCACCAAGCCTGCCTTTGCTTTGGCGAGGGAAATGAGGCCGCCCAACTGGACATCAGCTTCTTCCTTCTTCATCTTTGACAACGCGTACACGAATTGCTCGACCCAGGCAGACAAAGATTCGAGCTCGGCCCCGCACCTGGCAAGGCGATTTCGAACCACGGGCTGCTCTATGAGCGGCTTGCCAAAAGCTTCGCGCTCCATGACGTATTCGAAAGCTGCGGACAGCGCGACGCGTGACGTGCGAGTGATGCCGATGACGATGGCCAGTCTCTCGTGGTTGAAATTGGTGGTGATCATTTTCATCCCATCCCCTTCCTATATGTGGCCGAAACGTTCCATAATCAGTGGCTGGGGTTCAGGGCCAAACAGATTAAAACAGGCGGGGATCTAGGCCAAAGCGACTGCAGTATTCATACCTTTCCAATGAGATTCTCAACAGGCACCTTGACGTCGTCGAGTTCAATGTAAGTGGTGCCACTGGTGGTGCTTCCAGTGGTTTTCATCCGGCGCATGTAAACGCCCTCCTGGCCGAGGAGCGGTACAATAAGGAGCGACAACCCGCCAGGGCCGGGACCTCCAGTTCGGACTGCCATTGTGCAGTAATGCGACCAAACACCATTGGTGATCCTAATGCCGGCAAATGGCTCTGCATCAGCAAATTCATGGGATGTAAATCGTCCATCCACGTGGCAAGCACTCACCATTTCTTGGTCCCATTCACCACATAGAACTTGCCGTCCGCCGTCCTCTCCGCCGTGGTGGACAGATTGGCGACGTCGCTTCCGGCATCCGGCTCTGTGATACCGATGCAGATTCTCTTGTCTCCTCTGAGCAGTTCGGGGAGGAACCGCTGCTGTAGCTGCTTGCTGCCATAGGTGATGATCGGAGGCACGCCATATGCCATGCCCGTCGACAACGAGGAGGGCGGCCCGCCGAGTCCAGCTCTTTTCATCTCGCTGATGTAGATGGAAAAGTGGACGTGGTCGAAATCTTCGACCCTCAACCCCCCCAGCAGTTCAACGATGCCCATGCTTTTCAGCAGTTCCACCGGCAGCGGTGCCGGCAGGTTGGGAATCAACATGTTGTGCTTCGAGAACGTCTCGAACACGTGGTCCGGGACGTCGCCTTCGTTTTCCCATTCCCGGGCGTGAGACGATAGGTGTTCCTCGATGAATGCTCGACACGATTTTTGCCATTCTCTGTGCGATTCATTGTAGTATGGAGATGGCTGACCAAGTAGCCATGGAGGTTCAGAGAAAGGTATCGGAACCGATGGTTCGGTGACCATGCTTTCTAGAGCGTCCGGTTGACCAATGTGACTCAGCGACTTTGGCGTCGATAATTTACAGAGACGAGAACCGTTGCCTGTGTTTTAACAGAGAGCATGAAATTGGCCCAGCAATGCCCTGGCCGGCTCGAACCCGCCCAAAGTGTCTAGCGAACCATGATAGGGCCTTGACAGAAAGTGGCGTAGCCGAGGTCAGGAGAAACGCCTCCTATTGGTCCGTACGCTCCACCTTTAATTCGTCCCACTCCAACTTTTGCGTCCGTATCTGGAAAATGAAGCGAGTTCTTGACAGCTAGCGCCCTTATGTTGCCACCTTCCCCTACTTGCGCGTCCAATGTGTTCCCTTGCTTAGCCGAGGCTGATTCAACATTCCCTTCACTGTACCCGGGAGGGATGAACATAGCGGGCGGTACGTGCTTGCCGGCCAGTTAGTGGAAGCCATTTCCGATTAGCATCCCCAGGGTGAAAAGTGCCCATGCAGCCTCGAGAGTGGGTCGAAGGCGTTCAGCCAGCCAGTGTTGCTCGCGCTTTGATACTCTGCACACTTAGTTCCTTCACTGATCTTTCTTCAACTGCACTATCTGTTTGGGCATGATTCTCAACACGGCGACATGATATAGAGCTGGCACAACTGTAGTCGTCATGATCTGTGCCATTGTGCCCTTAGGGCGGCAGCGTCTGTTCGTTCGGGGATACCATACGATGAGAGCCTTGGTCGTACAGGGACGCGACGTCACAGTAGATCGTGCCAGACGAGTACCCGAGTTGAGAGACGACTCGTTACTCGTCCGGCCTTCAGCGATCGCGCTCAACCCGACAGATTGGAAATCTGTCTCCTTTGGTAGAGCCGCCGATGGGTGCATCGTCGGCTGTGACTATGCTGGCGTGGTGGAGGCAGTTGGCGTAGCGGTCGAAAAGCCCTGGCGACGCGGGGACAGAGTGTTCGGCTGCGGCCATGGAGCAAACTTGATGAACAAGGACGACGGGGTCTTTGCAGAGTACGCCGTCGTCAAGGGCGACTTGCAGATGAGGATCCCCGAGGGATGGAGTTTCGAGAGAGCGGCAACAGTACCACTGGGGGCCATCACTGTGGGACAAGGACTTTTTCGAACGTCATTGAAGTTGGATTTACCGGGCGAGTCGCAGCAACGCAAAGACATCCCCGTGTTGATATACGGAGGGACGACAGCGACGGGAGCCCTCGGCGTGCAGTTCGCCAAGTTGTGAGTGCTTCCCATTATTTCCTCTTATGCCGTCACTATTTGGCTGGTCAGAAGGAAGCTGACTGCTAATTCACACACAGAGCAGGCTATACAGTCATCTCCACGAGCTTACCAGAGCAGTTCGACAGAGTCAAACGCCTCGGAGCCGATTTTGTCTTCGACTACACGGATCCTACCATTGGTTCACAGATACGAAAACTGACACAGAACAAATTGAGATACGCTTGGGACACCGTCAGCATTCCTGATTCGGCCAAAATCTGCGCCGACGCTCTGTCAACCGAGTCCGCTTTGTGCCTCCGGTACGGGAACCTCTTGCCTGTCAAGTGTCTACGTGACGATGTCGAAACCACTACGACTGTCATGTATACCGTGTTTGGGAATTTCTTCAAGTTTGGGGACCAAGACATGTCTGCAAGCCAGGAGGATTTCAAATTCGGGCGGATGTTTTATGAATTGACGGAGAAATTGTTGACCGAAGTGAGTGCCGATTCATCCATTTCCCCATGCTCCAGATAGTTTAACACCAGTTCCGCAATCGACAAGTACGCCTCTGACTGACCCTCGGCAGGGCAAGCTGAAGAATCATCCCGAGCAAGTAATGCCGGGCGGCTTGGATGGAGTTAGGGAAGGGTTTGAAATGCAAAAGGCGGGCAAGATCAAGGGTGCCAAGTTGGTGTATCGCCTTGCCGATACAGCATGAAGTTTGTAACATGTAGCAGGCTCGTCTTAGGCTGTGAATGTACCTCCTTCAAACAGCCCCTTTGCGACCAGAAACCCAATGCTTGCTCGGATCGATGGGGGCGTGAAAGAACCTCTACGAAGTAAAAGACGAAAATTCAGTCTAGCCAGGCTGATGACATCCGATAAATTTGTGACAGTAGGAAATATTACCTCCATCGATATGCAGGTAGTGTATTTGACACACTACAACAAAACTTGCTTATTCAATATGATCTTAAGAAGTACTCTTTCGGCGCACAGGCTGATAAGGGGAATCCAAGGCATTCTTAGCTCATAAGTACACTACCTGGCAGCGGGCGCCGTCCGTTCCGTCTCCCACGGCCACACCCATGATCTATGAGTTCATCTGCTTTCTACTATCTCAGACAAATATCTATTCCGAAACCATTCGTTGGGTAACTCGTGATGCCAGATCATAGCTTGAATCCGGAAGCTAGCAATTCTGCCCCTCCACCGCTGATACAGAGCTTCCCCGTCTCCTTGATCCTTGTTTGGAATAAGACCATCTGTCCCTCCTTCCACGTCTCGACCTGGAGGGTTTGGCCCGGAAGCACAGTCCCCGAGAATCTCACCTTGATGTTCTTGAACGCGCCATAGCGGGCCAGGATATGCTTCCCGGTGAGTCCGAACGAACATAAGCCGTGGAGAATGGGCCCATCCTTGAAGCCAGCAGCCCCGGCAATGGCAGGATCAATGTGCAATGCGTTTCTGTCGCCGTTCAATCGGTACACCGCTGCTTGATCTTTGGAGGTCTTTTCGACCGCAATGAAGTCCGGTGCTCGATTGGGGACGGTATAAGAAGCGGCAGCTTTCCCGCAGTTGACAGTGGGGCTTCGAGGGCCGCCAAACCCGCCGGATCCGCGGATGAACAGGGTCGTCTCGTTGTAGAACAGCTCTTCTCCAGTCTGCGCATCGAGACTGGTCGCCCCAGTCACGACCACGGCAGCGTTGCCCTTGTCAGTGATGTCAACCAGTATGGGATGCGATCTGACCCGCGCAGAGGTGGGAATGGGCCATTTGCGGATCTCGAGATACTGTTCGCCATGCAGAAGCATCCTGTACGAGAAATTCGGCAGCAGCTTACCCAGATCAAAGGGCTTTTCCGCCGTATATGGCACAATCACACCGTACGTGGGTAGCACCTGGAATTTAGGATGACCCTCGTAGACCAGGTCGAGTTGATCGCTGGTCGCGCCCAGCGATATGTTGTACAAGATAGCATCCCGGTCGGTATAGGTGAATTCTGAGCCTGAAGACTTGGCTTCCTTCGCTGCCTCGATAGCAACAAGGTATGGATTTCCCTTGGCTGAGGTGGAAGAAGTGGTCTGCGTTTGACCAATGAGCCGCCTGACAATACCAATTATGTTCTTTCGTCCATCGTCGGGGGTTTCGGGGTTATCGGCGCGTCCGTCATCGAAGTTCGTGATTCTCCCCCACTGATCGCGAATTAGTTCTGGGGTGAATTTGTCGACATCGAAGGTGTGTCCACCGGAGCGCTGCCATCGCGTACTGCCCTGCCAGCCACAGCCGACTTCGTAGAGACCTCCAGTCGGTCGTTCAGGCACCTTGTCGGAACACAATGCGAGAACCAAGGGTGCCACAAATTCGGGCTTGCGTGCGTTGACGAGTTCTTCGCTCAGAACTGAGCGTGTCAGTTCTGTTCCGGCCGAAGGAGCGATGGTGTTGACGTAGATGTTGTACTTGGCTCCCTCCTGCGCGAGCGCTCGCGAAAATCCAAGGATACCCATTTTCTAATCATCGTCAATGGTTGAAAAGCCTCGTATTTTGGTCAAGGCTGGTGACTCACCGCTGTTGCATAGTTTGCCTGGCCGTAGTTTCCATATATACCGCTGGTACTGGTCGTGTTGACGATTCGTCCGTATTTCTGTTTCACCATATAGGGATAAGCCGCTTTCGTGCAGGCATAGGTGCCTCGCAGATGGACGTTGACAATATCATCCCATTGTTTCTCAGTCATGTTGACGAAAGCCTTGTCTCGCAGAATGCCGGCGTTGTTGACCAGAATGTCGACCCTGCCAAAATTATCGATTGCTGCAGGAACCCGATTGATCAACACCTCTCTCAGCAAGGAAGTATATAGGGAATAGAGGCTAGCTTTGCCATCCCGCCCCGGAAGGCTGAAGGAAAGGAAAGCCGTGGGCATTGACGACCGTGGGGCAGTGAAATTTACCTGTTTTGATAACTGAAGCCCCATCCTCAACAGATGACTTGTTTCTAACAGCTTTCCCTCCAAAGGCGCGGATCTCTTCCACCACAGAGTCTGGGTTGACGAGATCATTGACCACAACAGCAGCACCTCGTCTCGCAAACTGGATACTGTAGGCACGTCCTAGACTGCAGACATGTGGAGATCAGCTCTGCGTGAGATATATATTAGAAGAAAGTATTACCCAGCACCACCACCAGTAATGACTGCAACTTTGCCATCATATCTGATGTCCTCCCCTGGATCGTTTCTCTCCTGTTTTCGTGCGGCTTCAAGGTGGGCCACCATATTGGCAGTGTTATTGGGATGATCAGGTTTAGAGAAGTCATTGATGTCCGCCCATCGCTTCAATATAGCGCCTGGGGTAAAGGTTTCGTCACCTTGGAATTTGGGAATCAGTCAGTTTGGGCTCAACAATCTCAAGTCTTCCTCCTGCTCCTCCTCTGCGACATCGAGCTATAATCTGGGGACTCTCCTGCCGAAACTAAACTCACATTTCAGTACAGCTCCTGGAGATCGTTCCCATCGAAACTTGGAAACATGGCCGGCACCGACTTCAAAAACGGAGCCGGACTCCTTGTTGGTGGAATGGACGAGGAAACCAACCAGAGGAGAGACATGTTCAGGACTCAGGTATTGCAGCATCTCGGGAGACATGATGGTTGCCGTCATCTGGTTGGCAGCGACAGGTGCAATTGCATTGACAAGGATATTGTACTTGATGCCTTCCTTCGCTAAGGTTTCTGTCAAGCCAAAGACGCCCAGCTTAGCTGCTGAATAGTTACATTGGCCAAAGTTGCCAAAGAGGCCCGCCGCCGAGGATGTCATGACGATGCGTCCGTATTTCTGTTTGCGGAATATCTGCCAGGCGGCATGGGTGCATTTGAAAACGCCTGAAGCCCGGTGTTATTCGAGGAACGATATGGTACATTGTATTTGGCGACCCAAAGGGGTGACTCACCTTTCACATGAACGGCGTCAATGTCATCCCAGTGCTTGTCTGTCATGTTTTTGAAGCTAACATCTCGTAGAATGCCGGCATTGTTGACCAAGATATCCAACCTTCCAAACTTTTGGACGGCATCCTGAATGATCGCGCCGCCATCGAGAACGCTGTTGTAGTTGGCGGCAGCTTTCCCGCTAGCATTGACTATCTCGCCCACCACCTCATCGGCTGCCTATTTCAATGTCAGCTCAGGGACTTGCAAAGTTGGCTGCACATTGCGTACCTTTCTTGAGACATCATTAACAATAACGCTGGCTCCTTTCGAAGCAAGATGGAGGGCATGTGCCTTGCCCAATCCACCACCAGCTCCTGTGATGACGGCGACCTGATTGTCAAACCGCAGTTCTACCATGTTGATAACGAGTGTTGCTGGGTAAGGCGTGGTATTAACAGTGCACGAGCATCTTGTTACTTTGCGAGATTATGCTCATTCCACAGTGAGTGGTCGTTCTGGAACGATTATGTGTGGTTGTCGGAGCCAATCAACAGTGGCATAGAGTTTCTCGTCAAATTTTCCCATTTCACCTGGATCAGGTGCCGAGGGAAGAGAGAGCAGTTTGTAGATACAGTACAGAATTATAGAAGGTGCTGGAGCAACCGCCCTCGGCCTACCGGGTAGCATACCCCGGCACCGAGCAGCGCGGAAACCACAACAATAGTCAGATTTGCCATTGGAGAGCTTGAGAGCCACAGTCCTAGGAACATTTGGCGTTTGGATGATCCTGACATACAACGGGTTTCGTGCATACTTCACAAATTGTCCGTAAGTTAACTTGATCAGACAGCCATTCGAATGGACGTTCGCGATTTATGCTCTAGCAAAAGATGGCATTTTAAAACACAACGCTGTGCCCTGCACAAGTAGAAGATCGGTGCGAGAGCATAGTGGATTCACAAGCAAGACTTGTCATAGTATGGGCCATTCCAAGTTTCCAGGACTTGTCTGTGCTCGCTGGTATACATGGTCTAGACATCCCCGGGGCCCTTTGTATGTTCAACCGGAGACGCTTTTCAACTCGCTCAGCCCCCCAAAACCCTGACAAGACTACACCACCGTCTGTGAAGACCACAGTTCCAAGTATTACCAGCTTTTCTCTTCTCGGCACAACTTCTTCGATCTAACGAGAATAAATCCTGCTTGTATAACGTGGACCTTCGTCGAGAGTTGATTTCGTGTTCTTCAGTAGACTACCACATGCACAGCTTGCCAGTTGGCTTTGTTTGTTCTCAGAGAGTGGTGATAGCTCTGAGTCTGTTTGTAAAGGCCTGCTTTACCACATGCGAGGCGGCACCCCACCGCTGGAACGCATGAATAACGCCTGGATACACGTGCAGCTCCGTCTGAATCCCGGACGCCAGGAATTTTTGGGCGTATGCAAGGTCCTCGTGGAGGAATATATCCAGCTGACCCACGTCCAGATACAGTGGTGGAAGCCCCGTCACATCATCGACTCGAGCAGGCGAGGCAAGCGGTGATACGTTGTCCGTGCCGTAGGCCTCACCGAGATAGGCTGCCCAGCCCGTGAGGACATCGTTAATACTAAAGACGGCCAGGCCTTCCGAATGGTCTGTCACGGTCCGGTCGTCCAGCATGGGATATATTAGGATCTGTTTCGCCAACGGTGGCGAGAAGTTCCGGGCTCTGGCAAGCAGAGTTAGCCCGGCGGCCAGACCTCCTCCTGCACTCTCCCCCATGACGGCGATTCGGTTGACGTCGATGCCCAACTTTTCTGCCTGAGACCGAAGGTATAGCAGTCCAGTCCAGCAATCTTCCACCGGCGTTGGGAAAGGATTTTCGGGAGCCCACCGGTAGTCGACCGAGAAAATGGGTATGCCAGACTGGGAAACAAAGGGCACGAGAGAACGCAAGACATGGCTCGCGCGCACAGATATGAATCCTCCAGCGTGAATGTGCAAAACAGCCGGTGTACGTTCGGAGAGAGTGTATGCGCCTTTCTTTGAGAGGTGATATATCGCAAGCTCGTGACCGCCGGATGCTGGTGCTTTGTACACTTTCAGCTCAATATCTTCCGGGACGGTATACGTAGAGCCAACGAAGAGCTGCTCGTATCGGACTCTCCTTGTTGTCACATCATGCACTGGCAGGACTTCTTTCTGCGCTTCTAGTTTGGGGCCTGCCAGGGCGAGCCATTCAGGATCATATTGTAAGGGCATCTTTTGCTCCAACTTGGAAGACGTCTTGAACGATATCAGGCTCCGGGTCAGTATATGTTTCGTGTCTCGAGGAAGACTCCTAAAAATGGTCAAATTACGCTTGTTCACGTTATGTGGGGCTGAGAAAACTCGTGTCCGAGGCCCGAAGATTCCTCGGGAATGTCATCTTCATAATGGTTTACTAGGAGGAGTCCAAACAACCTTCAACACTGACACGTTAGAGATGTTAGAGCGGTCCATCCAGTACAAGCTTCTGGCGGTGAGCAACCCAAATTATGTTTCATCACGACTCTTTAGACTTTGCAACAGTGTCTAAATAGACGCCTTGGTTTCGGCGTACGACCAGATATGGCCAGTACCTTCGTTTGAAAACATGAGGCGGTTCTTCGGCATATATCACTACCTCGCAGAGCACGGACGCAGGTAGCCGCCAAGCAGGAAGAAATAGGTTGTGTAAACAGTAACTACCGTTTACTTGTACCGTGTAACTTGTCCGACTCTCAAGTCTGTCCTTCTGAGCCATTCAAACAACCTTTTCCCACTTCGTCTCCGCCTTCTGTAGATCATGTCTTTTATCCTAGCTATTGTCTCTCGCGGCACACGCGTGTTCCCCGGTATTCTCAATGGTCTGTATTCAAATGAGCTCGGAGTCAAGGATGCCGCCGATAAGTCGCCATAGCTCCATTCGGACAGATGGATGCTGGACGACCATGTGACAATGTGAACTGTCGACGTCGTGTCAGTGCATGGCTTGAAAGCATGAGAGGAGGGCTTGGACGACTTACAAAAGCTCCCATTTTGCCCTTGGGCATAAAAGTCTGACTTGGCTCAGCACGCCATTGATCGCCAGACGTACCCCTTGTAACTGGAGGAAGAACAACATCCCGTCGCTACCGAGACAACGGTCCCAGTGTCAATCTACAACTTGGTTTCGCCCTTGATGGTCTCTTTCTCCCCTGTTGTTTTATATCCAAACAAGTAGGCAGCAACTTTCCGAATTTGTACCTCTTCGCTTCCTTCGGTAATTCGGTACCGTCGAAAATGTCGCCAAATATGCTCGAAAGGATAATGCCTCGAATATCCATCGCCGCCGTGGACTTGAATCGCCCGATCGGCCGATTGACAAACTACCCGGTTCGCAAAGTAATTACACATACTGATCTTGTGCCCGAGTTGTTTCTCAATAGCTATCCACGGCGCTTTCCCGGTTGCCGTCGCCTGGGCGGTGACTTGGTCCATTTCCACAGCCGTGCGAAGAATCAATAGCCTAAGCATCTCGATCTGAGTTGAGAGTTCCACGAGAGGCCACTGAATAGCCTGATTGGCGGATAGAGGTTTTCCAAAAACCTTGCGTCGATTGGCATATTCGACACTTCGATCAACGCAGTATCGTGCAGCACCACAGCTTGAGGCAGCTTGACGAATTCGATTCTCGTGAGTGAATGTTTGCGCTATTGCTAGGCCATTGTCAGGGGGGCCTAGGATAGCTGACGCTGGAACGCGAACATTTTGGAATGTAACCGTCGCGTGATCGGTAGGCATATTTAACGTCCACTCATACGATGCAACGGTGATCCCAGGAGAGTTTCGAGGTACAAGAAATGCGGTAATGCCCTTTGCATCCCCGGATTTACCAGAAGTCCGAGCAAAGACAATACAGTAGTTGGCAGTGTGCATACCCGTCTGCCATTTTTTATTCCCGTTGATCTCGTATCCATGTTCGCCTGAAGGAAGGGTAATAGCCCGAGCTGTTGTATCCATATAGGTGGCATCGGAGCCGTGGTGTATTTCAGTTAATCCAAATGTAGCTCTGAGCTCTCCGCGAATACTGGCAGGAATAAGTTCCTTCCGCTGCTCTGGAGTGCCGTAGTGATAGATCATAATAATGAACGGATTGTTGCCCACAACACTATGTTCGCTCTGTAGGTCGTTGGCCAGACTGACGCCGCCTCCGTACACAGGATGAGAGGTAAGGTGATATCGAATAGCGCACATATATAGATTGAGCGAAGCATTGCCTGACCCGCCATATTCTTTTGGACATGCGAAGCGGTAGAAGCCTGCCCGATCAGACAGCTGTTTGGCTCGGCTCAGCAAATTCTCCCAATCCTCGGTCGGTAGGCCATGGTTGGTCCATTGCGTCCGTGAGGCCTCGCGGCGATGGTCAAAGAAGCGGTCATTATCATTCGTGCGTTGTAAAGGGAGGATGGTGTCGTTGATGAACCTATCGAGCCGTGATAGGTAGTCCCTCACCTCGGAAGGGAGCTCAAAGTTCATGACGGTTGCTTCAAATGGATTCGAATCAGAGCATCGCATCGATCACGGCCAAGGGAACTGGTCCAGTGTTGGGCAAACGGAGGTGTAAACTGGGATATATATTTCAATACTTCAATGGGCTATCACTCATTTTTGATTGTTTTAGGACTCAATCTGCTCCAAGCCAAATGGGAGAAGCGCAGCTACTGGATCCCGAAGGCCCTCGGGTTCCTCGGCAACTCTGTGCATCGCCCAATTTGGCCCTGAACTGAACAGCAATTACGGACAATAGCAGCCTTCTGCTTATTAGCGTTCGCGTCCTTGCGCATCTCACATGTTCCCTGAACAAATATCAATTATAGCATTTGGCGTGCATTGTCCTATGAAAGATATTGCCGGCGGGTGGGTGCACAGTCCTTTTTACTGACCGTCTCTGCACAAAATAGCGGTGCTTGCATCCATAGGTCTCCCTAGCCCTTGAATACCATTTCAAACAAGGTACATCTACGCCCAGTATCGACAGCCCTTTCCGAGCAGGTCTGAATTTTCTAGACCTGACCTTTACCCGTTATGGTGCGCATTAGTGGCTCTAAGAAACGGGTTTCACCTCTTTTCTAGTACAATTCCGAACTTCTTATGAAGAACATTTGGGCGGCAGACATTGGCTAAATACACAAGTATATTCTTTAAAAGATCGACACGTAAGAAGTGCCACCATTTAGGTCCTGTATTATAAGTATAACGGACCTACGTCCAACGCAGACACGCCCTATCAACAAAATCCTGCTGTTTTCGTCACGTTGCCCCATGAACTTAGAATGGGCCCAGTGGTTTCAAAGTGAAAATCGAAATTGGTGTCTTCAAAATGGAAAGAACCACTCGTTTGGACTCCTCTGTCAAAATAACCGACCAGACATCTTCGGTCAAGATCGCTCCCTGAAAAGAGACAGAGTCGTAAGCGGCACTTGCCTCGTCTAGACATAAAGCGTTGCGTACTTCCGCTCGGCCGTCAATGTCGTAAGCTTGGACGATTTTCGAGAGCTGGCGCCGTTGGGGAGTCTATCGCAACTCGGCTTTTCTTCAGCAACTCCTGAGAGGCCTCATAGACATCACGGAGGACTGAAGCGCACCTTCGAGCGACAACGATCGTTTTCATGGCTTCGAAGACATCTAGCGCCTTTTCGATGTCTGCAGAAATCTCATCAACTGAGCCTTCATGCACCCGAATGAAGACAACAACGAGGGCGACCATAGTAGCATTGAACAAGTAGGTGGTGTCGTACCACCAAGTTCGGAAAAATGATTCATGAAGATATGTGTCGAACAAGAGCCGAATCGTCCCTTGGGCTGCTTCCGGGCACTGGTTGACCTTGTACGTCGAGTCAGATGGGAGAGGCGGCATTGACCATGTCTCTAGAAAGCCGCGATACAGCAGGACGTGTGCATTGTGGAATCGTAGCTTGAGCACCACCTTCTCCCTCCTAACATAGTCTGGGTCGGTCAAAGAGACTCGATCGAATTTGAAACGTACTGCTCGGTAGGTGCGCGTAGGTAGGCAACTTCAACGTATATTGTAAAAGCCCTGGGTTCGGGATATGACCCGATATTGATGGGAAGCTTTGGCGAGCTCGACCCTGAGGCAAGCCGATTGCTATTGCCAATCTCACCGCCATTCCATTTTACAAGTAGCAACTGTGTGGTTCGAGAGTGTTCTGACTATATACAGAAGCGGCAATAATGTCTGTGAAGAAGTAGGTTGAAGTTTCCGCCCAAACCAAAGGCGCCCCAACCTTTCTTTTCTCCTCCACAAACTGTATCATTTCTCTTCCATTCGGCGGACAGGTCAACTCATGTCCCATAGAAACGAAGGTCAAACGCAAGGTCACCACACAAAATGGCGAGCAGGAAAGACTTTCATTTGCCAAGCGCGGGCGGAACGATTCCGAGGACCATCCCATGGGATTCATTCCGTCATACTGCGTACACTGATGAATTAGAGATGCCAACGATTATATTTACAGTATTAAGGTGGCCATAGAATTCCGAAGCAGTCGTCAAGGTCTTCTTACTCCCCAGCGAATTTCAATTCTCTTTGATCAGAGTGCCAGACTTGGGGGAAACTCCGCCGCAGGTACCCTCTGACTTCCCAACAATAAATACTCTCGACGAGTACAGGGTATCCTCAGCCTAGCCCAAGCATGAAATCAGGGCCTCTTGAGTCCCAGAAGGCTGCAGTTCTAGACCACGGTGGACACCGAGAATTTTAGCATCTCGTTGGCGGGTATCCTGAGACATGTACTCCGTATCTGCATCTATGTCAGCGGTCCACAGCCGGGGGAAGAGTCGGATAAATGACCTACTCTTCGGCTCTGGTCCAGGAGTGATTTCAATGTGGGATACCCGGATTTCTTCACCCATCATCCAAAGTTTGCACAGGAGCAGTTATCGCCATGAGACCGTCGGGCGGAATTTCCGGACCCAGTTTTTCTCAACTATCATCTGGAGCGGGAATCCAGGCCAAAGTTACCCCATGGGGTTCAGTTCAGTCCAATTTGGGAAAGACGGATTCCATTAGCGTGGCCAGGGGGTTCTTATGGCTATCCGGTGAAAGAACTACTATAACAGCCCAGTCACGCCATTCATCAGGAGTGGTCTCTTGCTACTAGAGTCTGCCTGACCACTGTATTCCTTCGCACAGCAAAGGCACTGGACAGCGAACAATCACGATGGCGTCCCAGCACATTGAAAGCTCAGCCGATGCTGAGCTCCCGCTCCCCAACGCTCAAGAACTCGTGAGCGAGGTGTTGCCTGGAACGGAGATCATGACCGACATTGAAGGGGTGCATTTCGTCCACGGCCGGGATTCCAACCACGTCGTGCTTGTCCCGCAGCCTTCGATGAGTCCCCACGACCCGCTTGTGAGTTTTCTTCCACCGAGAGTTGTTTTGGGCCTCGAGACACTAACCAACAACCATCTGTGGACAGAACTGGAACAACAAATGGAAATATGGCGTGTTGATCAACCAGGGCCTCTTCGTCATTTTCAGCGTCATCACCAACCTTTCCATCGCCCCCTTGACGCCCATCTACATGGCCGAATGGAACAAGAATCAGCAGCAGATCTCCCTCCTGGTGAATGAATAGCCCTCTTGTTGAATCCTCCGTTGCATCCTGGACAGACTCTGACCTGGGATAGACTGGAGCCACGATCATCACCCTCGGCTACGCGAATTTCATCATCGTTCCGGCCTGCGATGTCTTCGGACGCCGTCCCGTCATCCTCATGTGCGGTCTGATCGTCCTCGCGGCCAACGTCTGGTTAGCTCTCGCCGGTTCTTACAATTCCTTCCTCGGGGCGCGCCTGGTCAGCGGCATTGGAGCTGCAGCAAACGAGAGCATCATGCTTGTGGTAGTGGCTGATGTATTCTTCCTCCACGAACGGGGCAGATTTGTCGGATTCTATTTGTGAGTAATTACGGCTGATTGGCACGCAAATCATTTGTGGTTCTTTTTCTGACATCACCATAGCTGGTGTTATTTCGTTGGCCTCTTTGTAAGCCTCCCCGTTCCTTGCAAGAATGGGAGCCCGACGCGACGTCGTGGCTTGCTTCCAGGGTTTTCAAGGCCGAGGAACTAACTAACTAGCCACATGCATTTGTTTTTGGGTCCGAGAAACTGACTGTGCATCTTATTTAGATCGGCCCAATCATCTCGGGCCAGATCGCTTCCCGAGTTTCCTGGAGATGGTTCTTCTGGGTTTGCACGGTGGCTCAAGGTCTCAATACGCTCGCCCTTCTCCTGTCGTTCCCCGAGACTCGTCGAACAAAGGACCAGTTTCCTCCCGTTCAGACAGTAACCGCCAATGTCCCCATCCGAGAAGTGGGAGTGGGAAACGACAAGACCGAGGTGGAAGTTTGCGTCGAATCCGCCAATTCAAAGCCCGAATCGTCCGAAGAGCCCGCTGCTCCTACCGGCCAGGGCACACCGTCCCGTGCTCAGTTCAACATCCTCCAGCCGCCCCAGATGGACGCGGTCAAGATGATATTCCGCCACATTGTCACGCCCATCCAACTGTTCTTCTTCCCGATTGTCTGCTGGGCCGCGTGGGCGACCGGATCCGCGGCCAACGCGCTGCTTGCGGTCAACCTGACACAGTCCCAAGTCCTGTCGGCTCCACCATACAACTTTTCACCCGCACAGGTCGGATTTGCCAACTTTGCCCTGGTGGCTGGTGGGGTGCTGGGTCTTGTGGCCGCCGGTCCGCTGAGTGATTGGGTGGCCATGAGGTCGACGAAGAAGAACAAGGGCATCCGCGAGGCGGAGATGAGATTGTCGGCCCTGTATCCCTTCATCGCAGCTGCTCTTGTCGGCATGGTCGTAAGTGGACAGTCGATCCCCCTAACCATGCTTGACTTCTCCAAGCTAATGAATATCTTGCCAGATTGTCGGCGTCGGGTACCAACAGAGATGGGCATGGAAGGTCATCATCATGCTCGGTTTCACCCTCGTGGGCGTCCAGGTCGTGGCAATTCCCGCAATCAGCGTCGCTGTGAGTATTCCTACATACGATTCATTGCAGCCCATGCATGTACCCGTGTGCAATTCTTATCTCTGACCTGCGACACAGTACGCTGTTGACTGCTATAAGCCGGTGGCCGGGCAGATCATGGTGATTGTCACCGTGACAAAAAACACGTTTGGTGTATGTGAACCCCCAAGTGCCCCCCCTTTTCAAAGATTCCATTCCCGCAGTGTCCGACCTGACCGATGTTCTATCCGACAGTTTGGCATGACATATTTCATGAACGATTGGGCCATCAAAGACGGCTTCATTCCTCCCATCTTTCTCCTCATGGCCATGACCGTCGGCTTCACTCTCATTGGAACGGCCCTACTGCCGTTCTTCGGGAAACAGTTCCGGGTCTGGACGAGGAATGCTGTCGTCCATACTTTCTAGAATACGGGTGACGGAATTTTCCCCGAAAAAATGATCCCTGCTGCAAGTGCGAGACAAGGGGGGAAATTACAATTGTTCGCCGCGTTGGAGGGCGGGCTAGCTTGGGACACGCTCCCGAGGAAGAAAATATGGACAGACACAATGGGGACTTCTGGGGGATAATATCGTGAGAGATGTAGCTTTTAGACCTCCTTGAACGATGGTTCGGGGATTTCTCATCAAAATTCACACCCGGAAACCACCTCACCTCCTCTGATTAAATCTCTCTCCGATATTCATTATGAATAACCCTTGGTACGCAGGTAGCGTAAGTGTATCAGTGCTTTGGTACATTTAATGCATACGCTTACAATTAAATTAATGCACTATTCCAAGGCCCATTGTGTATAGGGACCAGCGGAAGGGCCTATCTCATCATACCCCTCCGCAAACCCGCGTGCTGAGCTCCTCGATTCAGCATTTTCGGTCATGAAGCTGCTTTCCTGGGCAAGACCACCGCTGCCTAGGAAAAAGTTCTGCCTTTCGGATCCAAGGTCGTAGTTGCTGTAGTCGTGGCCGTGCAATGCGCCATAGAGCTCAGTCTCGAGGCCGCCTAGCGAGATCGGGGTCGTCATTACGCAAAGAGAGTCTGGGCCACTGACAGGGGAGTCGATGGTACGAGCATCGCCATCTAGTGGCATACAGGCGAAGCCGGATGCTCTAGCATCCTTTGACTTGGAGGCCGCAGTGGAATGATCCGCGGCCTCGGACCAGGAAATGGAAGGAAAGCAATAATCGACTGTGGGAGCCGAAAGGGGCTCCAGCTGTGATGTAGTAGGTGTAAGCTGAGCTTCCGGCAAAGCCAAAGCAGGTCCGTGCTTTTGTCCAGTCGTGCGCTGTCCCCGCTGTGTCCGCCTGAGCGACACCTCTCTTTTCTGGTGTGCGCCCTGCTCTGCGAATCCTGTTCCTTGGGAATCGCGATTGGAGGTGTTGAAGCCCTTCTGTCGCATTCGGAGTTTGCATTTATCCAGAAACCTGCGCACGACTTCGGCACAGCGTTGTGATGCTTTGAGTTCGATTTGCTCGAATATCCGGATTCCAATCTCGCAACAGCTCATGTCTGTTGCTGCTTCCGCGAGACGATTAGCCTCGCTTGACGCACGCTCGTGAGAAGGGGGACGAGCACAAGGTGCGTTGTCGTCTGCAATAATCTTTGTCAAGAGAACCAAGATGGCTTGGAGACAATAAAAGCAATAATAGCTCCATCGCCTGAGGCTCGGTGCCAACCTGAAAATGTGATGGATATGCTTTACCATGTCCCGCGCGGCGCTAAGACATGAGTCCTGATAGACGCGAGACTGACAGCCATGGTCCAGCTTCTGCTTGCTAAGGGAACCTCGAAGGAGGATTATGATTGCAAGATTGTAGTCTGGATAGTTTAATCAGCAAGTATAGGACAGACTCGTAAGGCACTCATCGGACAGATGCTTACGTATTCGAAGACTGCTCTGCTGCCTAGCTTGCCAGCTACACGGGGAGGCATAGGTGGAGGCATCATCCGCCGGGGGTTCATGGAAACGAAGGTGCTGGGGTAGAGATGCATACCACGTCTGAAGGTCGGTCCGTAGCGCCTCTGTCTCGGGGGCTATGGAGCTCTCTTCCAAGGCTTCGGTGTGGTTGACCTATAAATTACTGGGATAAGTACATAACGTATAGGATTGGTAGTGCGCGATCCTACCAAATTCAAAATGCTTCTCATAATTTTTGCGACCTCACCGAGGTACCGGATGAACACGATCTGTGACTCTTCCACGATGTCCCCGTTGCGATTTCTCTGCCGCCAAAAAAAATAGTCAGATTTCTTTCGACATGATCAAGTAGGCTTTTGGAGATATACCTGAGGCACAGGGTAATCCATGTCCATGTCTGATGTTCGAATTGACATTGGCCGCCCTGAATCCAAACTCAACTCGACCTCTTGAATATAAATCAACCACCAGGTACGCCTCACCTCCTCTGCATGAAATCGACCAGAGCTGTATATTGATGCTGTGTTCAAGCCGATCGAGAATGCCAGGCGAGCTGCAATGCCGTTGAGGATATAAGCCACTGTTGGATTCTGTCAGCCCACTTTCAAAAATGAAATCTCGTTCCACTCACGATTCGGCTTGATGGCATGCTGTGCATATGCTCCCTATGTGGGCAAAATGGATTACTACTGGTTTCCTGCAAGACTTTTGGGAGGTGAATGGCTTGTCTTTACGTACCATGAGCATCGCAGCTTGAACCAATTCGAGATTTGCCGCGTCGAGAAGATGACCTAAACTATCTTGCGCCTCTGCGAAGTACCACGAGGCCCATGAAGAACTGTCTTCTTGTTCATCTTCGTAGAGGGCTCCGAGAGCGAGAACGGCATAGAGGAGGCATAGAAATTGTTGGCTCTTTGGGTATTCTGGAGAAGGGAGAAAGAGCCGGTTGTCGCCAAAGAGCGGTCTTAGAGCACTGTATCTTGTTCTGAAGGCCTCCCTATCGAAGATTGGAAGAAAGATGTGGATAGTGTCAAAAAACATTTCGAGGTGTCTGTCAGCAACACTGGCCCGCAGACGCCGGTGGTGGCGCAGAGCATTAGGCGGTGCGACATAATCGCAGAAACCAGTCAGGTCGTCTAGGCCAAGGTTGTCGTACTCTTGAGGTGGAGGCGGTGATGGTTGGAATCGACGTTGGCCGAGCGGCCGTCTGGACGGCGGTCCGACTTCAAGAGTCTTCTCCAATTGTCTCATTCTCTTTCCCAGTGACGAGGCGACGACGAATGTAGAAGTGCCACCTGATTGACTGTGAGACTGATGTGTCAAAGATATAGGATGTCCAACAACTTACCGTAATATTCAAAACATCCCGTCTGCGGGTTCAATTGAGCAAGCCCGTTGGCAGAGAATGGGGTGCGATATCTCGTTACTTTCGCTTCGTCAACCGCAAGACTGTGTCTAGATGAGCAATATATCTCACCGGGTCTTAATAAAGGGAGCGCGGCTGGAGCCTGTCGCTGGGCCGTCTGTTCTTTGAACAACTGTTCGAGCCGGTCGATCCGTTGGAGTACGGTATCCAATTTTCTGAATGCTTTAAGCTAGGGTCTCGCTGCGATCCTTAATACCTACTCTGCCAATACATCTTGTCCCGTGGTAGGAACACAGGTGAAGATGCACTGAAGCTCCTTTTTGGAGCATTGAGCGCAAGGTTGAGTACCGCTACACTGGAGACACTAAGCCCAGATACTACAGGACAACAGGACAAACAACAACACGCACCTTGATCCTTTTTACTCTGCACGGCTCGCAGGCAGCCGCTGTCTTCTTTCGGATCAATTTTGAAATATTGGAAGACAAGGGCCCATCGTCGGGAGGTGAGCTGGCCATCTCGTGGCTCTTCGGGGAGGTCTTTCCAAGGAGTCCAAGACTTGATATTCTGTGCTTCCAGTTTCTGGCCGCTGGCTTCAAGTATTGCGATTTGGACGAGCGGTATGTCTAGGGTTGATCCTGACTGAAGAAAATTCACATCTCGCCACCGATCTGGCAGGCGATCTCGTTGGGGGACTGACGCCAAGCCCGATTGCAAAATAAGCGGGACAGTTGGATAGCAGGGCCCCCCGCTAAAGCACGAGCCTCGCGCTTGATGAGTCCGTTAAACGGGATTAGGTTGGCTGCAGGTGGTCGTCGCAAACAATAACTAAGGTGCAGGCGTCCCTCGTATCGAGCGCCATCTCCTGGTGTTAGTTAGTTAGCACTGCCTCGCTAGCCTATCTCTTCGCGCTGGAGTCCTCAATTTCCAGCCCACACCCCGCAGGCCCACCGGATCCCCGGACCGAAGCTTCGGCTCCCGCACCTCGCCCCGAACAACGTGGATTAGGAGTCGTGGGGTTGTCGAGTGGCTCAACATGCTGGTGGCTGGCTTCTTCAACACTGAGCCACTTCGCTCTTGCTGGTCTAATCACTTGTACCAGGTAACTTTTCGATCACCGAGATCTCGCGGGATTTCCGGGGCGACTGTCAGAATTGTTCTGGACCTACCCAAGAGCCTACAACCAAAACGTTTGACGGTTGATGGCTCATTTTACGGTGTAGAAGCTTCAAGCAAGAGCAGCCGCGCCGAGTCTGCCAAAAGCTGCACAAACTCCGCCAAAGGACTCAGTACTCAGTACTCAGCGTCTTGCTCAGGGTACAGTAGATAGACTTTTCCTAGGTACTGTATTGACTGAATTCCACCTCATCTTCCGAGAAAGAGTCCGTCCAAGACCATACATAGATGAAGCGCTGTCCAACTACATATTAGAGAAAGCTGCTAGTTAGAAATAGCCTCCTACCGTCCAGGACAAGACAAAGACACCGGAAATCCCGCGAGCCAATCACACTCTCGAGTCTCGACAGAATTCCCCCCTGAGAACGTTAACCTCCATGTGTACGTACGTGCGATTCAATCTTGACCAGGCTCTTCTCATGTACATAGTTAGTTAGGGCTATCTAGATTCGGTGGCGGGGATATCGGCCCAGCAGACTTGACATGTCCTATGGGATATATATATATATACACCCCCGAACCATGTCCTCCTGGCTCAAACAGGCGGGAGGACTTTCTCGTCTTGGTACAACTTGAACCATTTGCGAATCATGTCGTCGGTATAGACCGTGTCCGAGAAGCCAGCCCTCCGGATCTTGATGCAACTCATCAAACTGGTTTGAGTCTCTGCCTTTGCCAAAATGAAATGGGTGAACTGGCAGCTTTGCCCCAGGAACTCGTCCAATCCAGGAGCCTTGAGACCATGGTTTTCTCGAATCCGATCCCATTCCTCGCTGAAGCTTGGAAGGTCCTTGGTGAAGGAGAACGGCTTGTCACCGCCCGGTTGCATGCCGAGGGCTTGGGCAACCAAGGGCCAGTCTTCCTGTAAGCTGGAACTCTCGCCGTTGGTCAAGTTGTAGATTTGATTCTTTGCCTTGGGCTCGTGCAAGATCCATTCGCAGGCCTTGGCTATCAAATCCGCGTCGGTCGACTCGAAGACGCCCAAATCGTGCCCGGGGAAGTAGAGGGGTTCTCCCCGCTCCTTAAGGACGGCAGCGTAGACACCGATCGTGCCGTATAGATTCATGGCACCCCCGATACTCAAGCCGTTGATGAGTGAAGGTCGAACAATGTTCCAGCTCCAACTCTCACCTTGCTGTCGGGCTTTGAGGTAATCTTCCTGTGCCCAATAGAAGTTGGGCACGGCTCAATCCTCGTCGCGATCCTCTCGCGCTCCGTGGCGCATCGGGTGGACATGCACCCCATAAGCCTTGGGGCCTTGCAGGATCGTGACATTGCGGTGTCCCTTGGCATACGGCGCAACTGCTTCGACCGTGTTGCGCAGCATGAGTCCATTCCGATCGATTTGCTGCTTTTCCAGCCACCCGGCCACCAGGTTGTGCTCCTCGTGCAGGGCTGCGAACACGATTTGCACGATGCCCGTCAACGGCGACAACAGAGCCTTGCACGCGGCTTCGTCTGACAGATCCAGCGAGTGCCACGATGCGCCATATGGATTCAAAGGCTTCCGTCGAGACACAGCAATGACCTTGTATCCCCGCTCACCATAGGACTGCATAGCAGAGCGTCCCACCACTCCAGTTGCACCCGTGACCAAGATCTGCTCGTTTGCAATGTTGCCTGCTTGGTGGACGAGTATCTGCAGAGGTTGGAATGTCGCCTGGTTGCGGTTCTATACCCATCTGGCCCGAGGAGCTCTACGTCGCCGCCAACAGGCTCGGTATGTCCAGATACAGAATTGCCGAACCCTCCTTGTCTGATCATAATCATTTGGCCCGCTTTCGATCACTGCCGGTCACGCGTTGCCGGATGATTGGCCGAGAACCGGAGGCCGCTACGAACTTAGGTAGTCAGTCCTCCTCTTCAAGAACGAAAGGGTCACGACGAGGTTGTCACCACTAACTGATTAGAATTATAAACTACGATACCGAGCTGGCAGAAGCCAGTGCCTCGATGTTTTGGCTGGTATCGTGAAGCAGTGACGTACTATGTGTACTTATCGGATATGACGTTCGCATATGTTAGTTGCCAGGCCCAAAGGGGACCCCTGAGCCCGAAGCAGGTTCTGCGAATTGGTATCAGGGCCAGCACTCCTTGTGGCTCGTCTAGGGGCTCAAGCGCGCTCCACCGTACTCTGCCGTGGCTCTCTTGTGCTCGGCCAGGCCTCCTCAATGCTCGATCACGTGCCAGATTAAAGCGGCCTCGCTCCCTTCCCTGAGCGAAAATGGTAATGGATAAAGGAGAGTTCGGGGTATATATAACATATATATATAATCGAGAGGAAGGACCGGATCTTTATATTGAAAGTTAGATAGTACTATTTCTTGTTGTTTGGTGCCGAATGACCTTGACGCGCGCGCGGAGTCGGCGACAATCTCGGTTGAATACTTCAGAGGAGGTATGTAGGTGGGTATACGAGGTACGGATCGTATGAAGCCCTCGCGCTCCGGCACAGCCAGCCAGCCACTTGCGTCGGCCATCTTGCCGCTGGACGTGAAAAAACCTATCACGGTTCCAGAACCATCCGGCCCCCTCGGTGTCGGGGAGGGGGAGGAGGATAGCTGGAATTCCCGGCCACAAATGACCTGGTCACTGAGGCGAGAAGTTGGTGCCGAATGCCACGTTCCATTGACTATCCTATCTCTCCTCAAGACGCACGGCATGGGTAACAGTGGTAGTGTGGCCCCATACCAGTGACGGGTCTGGGTTCTCGTGGGATCAGCCAAGCCGTCGAACGCATCTCTGACATCGTTGCCGCCATCTGGGGGCAGATCTTCCAACAACAAGCCATTGTTTCCAATCAAGACAAGATCTTTCAGAGTTTGCCCCTTGGCGGATGCAGGTCTGCGTTCCCGTCCTGACGAGACAGATAAGCCTTTGAAGCCAAGGTCGTCACCAGGGACGCCGTGAAGGAAAGGAACCGGCGTAAACGAGGGAGGGGAGAGGCCAGTGGTTGGTCCATGCTGCTGGCTACGGACCGGGAGAAAAGTCTGGCATAGTTCGACCCTCACGACGAGATTCCGGGGCCGCCCTTGTCCACGCACTTCAAGTTGGAGTCTCAGAGCGAGAGTCGGTTTGGGGTGGGAAGTCGTCTCGTCGCCCCGAGGCGGGGGTTTACAATATTGAGAGCATTACTGCGTCGTTGCGTATATTATGGTGCCACTGCTTTACGTCGCTTCGAGCATCTAGCGATCCTACTACTGATAGGAAATACTTATTGCCTAGCGGAAAATACGATGTATCAACGTCTCCATTGGTCGAATGTCACTTCATCGCGTATTCCCAGTCTTCGCGCAAAGGCACCACTACCCCTTCATAGAAACGCTCTCGGAACTCCTGGTCGCTCAAATCGTAGGAAAAGGAGTCGAAATTGCAATGAACACAACGGAACACCGCCTTCGCATAATTCGGCAATTCCCGCAAATGGATTTCTTTGGCTAACCGGTTCGCGGTGGAGTATTCAGTCATGCTGTCGTGGTGGCCGTTCTCATCGAAGTCGAAAGGTTCCACCAGATCATGGAGGGGCTTTGCATACGAGAGCTCGAAGAGGGCTATGCCCAGGGCTAAGACGATCTCGTTCTTCACCAGCCGTCGTCGATGAGCCGGTTGAGCTTGATGCAGGCCACCTGCAGTGATGGGTAAGGAGACGAAAGGCCGGTCCAGGAGGTAGTTTCCTTTCGTGTCCTTCAAGAAACAGATGTCTCGGAGGCTGAACGACTTGACGAGCCAGGGAGTATCATAGAGCTGGAGAACAGCCATAGCCAGGGTTAGAGCGAGTGTACACCTGTTCGCCGTCAGTTTTGTTATTTAGTAAGATGTATTAAAGCAGTACATACTTCATTTTGGGCCCGAGGACCAGTTTATGGGTGTCAAGGAGGAGGTAATGTAACGATACTTCTGACATGATCTGATTCTGTGTCCCAGGACCCGAAACCAGGAACAAATGATGCCGTCGGAGTTGGTCCTCGAAAAATCCAACACAGCAGTTTTGCGAGGCTTTAGAAACAAGGGACTGGCATAGATCATTTATCTTGGACGCTGTCAGGGTGGCTTTCTGGCCAGACAGACACTGCACCGACTTTCCGTCTAGAGACACCTGTTACCGACGGAGACGTCAGGAACCGCACAGTTCCTCGCGGTGGATTAAACGATCTATTTCCGGTCAGCTCTATCAAAGCGGTGAGCCCATGGGATCGTGTGCACTTACGCAGTTTGCGCAAGACCCGACGATTCAATCTCTACGTCTTGCCATCTGCATGGCACGGGCGGTGCTGAAGCAGCGACTTGGTCAAACACAAGGAGCAATTCGAAGTGGCTTTGCTCATTTTCGTCGTCTACATCAGCATCATCGTCTCCTTGTGCCTTCAAGAGCATATTAGCTCTGTGGGAATATTGGCACGAACATAGGCTGGGCCATCGTAGGCATAAGAGCTCGGAAAGACTCTGGGCGCTGTCTCGAATGTTGGCCCAAACCCTTGCTTTCATCCGACGTTTCCGGATCAATCGAAGGGGCTCGACCTGCGCGGTGAGACTGGTAAGTTGAGCGATTTTTGAGATGTCTCGGTCGATTTCTTGCAGCAGAAGGGCGCACTTGTTTGACTCGAAACCTCCTCTAATGCGGACCCAGGCGCTGCTGAAGAATCTATTACGGGCGTTCTCATCAACCGTGCCGTCCTTTGACACCCAGGGTGGCTAGACGAATGTTTTAGCACCAAAAACCCGCATAGAACGTGAGAGGAGGGCTCGCCCTAAAGTCTGGCCCCAGCTTCAATTTGTGTGCTAGCTTCAGGATGCGTTTGTTTACATTGACGACAAAGGACAGGTATGTTTTGCAATGAGGACCCAGTCGTTTCGTCAGATTCTGCTGGAGATCGATGTCTTTCCAGGCCTTCTGCATTTTCTCGCCGTCTTCTTCCATCAGCAAGGTTTTCATCTGGGCATCGGGCAGGCTCAGAGGAGCAAGTAGATTATAACACGACTCCGTGTAGATGCCTATTGAAACCGCAAATGAGCTATTGATATCCGCGAAGACAGAATCGTACTGCTTCATGTTCTTCATAACCGCGACCTGCGACACTGTCAGCCTCGCGGCGCCTTGCACCTGCTGGCCGGCTTACGCCTTCCGCATAATGCTCTAAACCACTGATGAGCAGTGGGATTGCTCCCAGTACCAACCCTGCCACTTCGAATCCCGACATTTTGAATTAAACGCTGATATCAAGCTTTCCGGGACGGCGCGCTTATGGGTCCTGCCCCGGGCCGCCGTGAGGGTCGTTCAGTTTCAGCGAGATAGACATTCGACGCAATCACTCAAGCCACAGGCTAGCGCTACGATGCAACAGTCGTTCGGAAGAGTCTTGCTCTGGGTGGTAGCTGTCATGAGCGATGAAATGGCCGGCGAGGCTGGCATACAACCCCGCCTGCCTTACCCCGCTCCGGGCTCCGGTTCCGCGCAGCGTTGAGACATCACTTCTCGTGTTCGATAATGCCAACCAGTCGTGATTTTCCTTCCTGTAGCAGACATTGACAGGTCGATTTCATAATACCATCAACATTGAGCCCCTGATATCTAGTCTATATGCGCAATGCTATCTCAAATTTGAGGAGCTTGTGCAAGCGGTGCCCAAGGACGCCACTCGAGCAGCATCATCTCATTCATCTCATCCGTTCGCAAACGCGAATGACGAATTCATCAAGTTCAAGCTCTGGGCAGGCAATCTGGGCGCGGCACACTCGGGCCGCACTTATGAGCTGTCGCTCGACTACCGTCTGAGGGAGGCGTCATTCTATAAGCAACAGGCGAGTCTCACTTTCTTAGTTCCAATGGGCGCATACAGCCATCCCGAGCTCTTAGTTAGAGTACACCCCTATTTCTAACGGCTTGTAGGTGTTGAAACTTCTTCGCATTTTGACAAGTCATCTCGAACAGGCTTTATCTTCGATAAAACAGGAGCACTTGATCACCTGCTACAGCGCGTCAAACTCCATATTAGACCCGGACAACGCCGAGGTTGCAGGTAATGAAGAGGCTTCAGCTGAAGACGATTCGCCTTGGGAGATATCTTCTAGTTCGAGTAGAGGAACTGAGGATCTGTTTTCAGACATCCAAAGCTCTGGGAAGGAAGGCGGTGAAGGCTGCAGGGGAACGATCTCATCCCCGTCTCGTGGAAAGGGCAGTGTCGCGGTCCAAGTGGGTGGTACAACAACTCCTGGTTCGGAGACCGACCGACTTTTCTCTTCGATCAAATTTACCATCTCGTGTCTTTACAGGCTACCAATACGAAAGCCAGCTCCACTTGATCAAATAAAGCACCGCACCTCACTGGATACATCCCCATACCAACATTTTGATGCATTATACATTAGGGACAAGTTTCCTCAGATGGATGCTGAAGTCGCCACACGCCTTGGAAAGATGATCACACGGCGTCGACAACTGCTGCGCTATCGGCAGACGCACCACGAGAGTCTCCAGGGGTCACGCCGTGCAACACGAGTCGATCTTTCTGAGGGCAAGAAATTCCAAACCTGATGTAGACGACTTTGTTGGAGGAGATACCGAAATTGTGCCAGAGCGCTACGAGACGGGTAGCAGCAAATCCACCCTGCGGACAAAGGCAACGACTTTGAAGATGGAGCATGCCTCCACCGAAGAGCAGTTGTATGCGCCTTCTGTCGCTGAATCCAATTCGACAGTTGCATCCAGTTACACCGGAAAGGAGCTCCACGTTGCAGTCCTCCCTCGCCCAACAGCCGAAGATGGGACTGAACTTGAAGATTTCGAATGTCCCTATTGTATGCTCATGAAAACCATTCGGACAAAACATCAATGGAAGTATGCCATTGCACTAGTTCCTGCTTTATCTCCTAAGTGCTAACGGTGCAGGAAACATGTCATGGAGGATATCCAACCATATGTCTGCACATTCTCTGGCTGCGACATGTCAGAACAACTATTCGAAAATCGAGAACAATGGTTTCGGCACGAGTTGTCGGCCCACCGAGCTACATGGTACTGTAATGAGGATGGCCATCCAGAATTCGAGGCACAGATCGACTTTATCAAACATATGTCCGACTACCATGACACACGCCTGACGGAGCAGAAGCTACAATTGTCTAAAGACATGTTTCAGCGACCCTTAAAGTCCGTCGGTGGAAAGTGCAACCTTTGTCAAATGTTCTCCAGCAGGCTTAAAAGCCACGTCAGCCGCCACCTAGAGCAGGTGGCTCTCTTTGCACTGCCGAGGAATAACGAGATAGAAGGTAGCGGCAAGGCCGAACTTGATGGGTGCAGTTCCCGGCTTGGGGGCTCAAGGGGGAGTGGATCTCAGTCTTCTTCTGAAGATTCTGATGATAAACTTGCCCCGAGCCAAAACGCAGCAGGTGAAGAGAGTTTAGCCACTGAGGGCCCTGAGCCCAGTCCACAAACATATTCTGTCGTAGAAGAAGAGGAGGAACAAGTTGGCGTTCCTGAGTTGGCGATGGGAGTTGACTGGGACCAGTTAGGGATGACCAAACATTTACAAGCTGAGGAGAAACAGTCCCTTCAAAGCTTACCTCAACCTACTCACGAAGCTCCCTCAAACAAATACAGCCCAGCCCGCCCGGGGACTGTCGGCTTCTGTGCTTTAGATATCAAAGCCAGATCGAGGCAAAGTCGCCAGCTCTTGACACGCCAGCTCTCCCCGGGCGAGCTTGAAGTCGTCGTCTTTGGCGACAAGGTCATCCTCGACGACGATGTCGAGGATTGGCCGCTGTGCGACTTCTTTCTTGCATGGTACTCGGATGGCTTCCCCCTTGAGAAGGCAATCGCATACACGCGACTCCGGAAACCATTTGTGGTGAATGATCTCTGGATGCAAAGCGCACTATGGGATCGCCGGCTCTGCTTGAGGATATTGGATAAACTCCAGGTGCTCACACCAAAACGCCTCGAGATCAATCGCGACGGAGGGCCCATTTTTGCATCTACGCAGCAAGCTCAATATGTGCAGCGGATGACAGGAGTCATGCTACCTGGCCCAGAAGACAACGACGACGGTTTTGCGTCAGCCCAGTCTGTTTCCATATCCGAAAATGGCGACACTCTTTATGCAAATGGGAAGTCTATCTCCAAGCCATTTGTTGAAAAGCCGGTAAACGGAGCAGATCACAATATCGTCGTCTACTTCTCAACTTCTCAAGGCGGGGGTGCTCGACGACTGTTACACAAGCCTTCCAATAAATCCTCCGAGTTCGATCCCCATTGCACAATCCCAAGGTGTATTACAGAGAAGACATCGAGTTATATCTATGAAGAGTTCCTGCAAGCAGACAATGCTGAGGACGTTAAAGTCTACACGGTCGGACCGCACTATTACCATGCAGAAACGCGAAAATCTCCCGTCGTGGATGGCATCGTACGTCTTAACACATATCGAAGAGAAATTAGGTATGTCAGGACGCTTAGTTTGGCTGAGCGCGACATCGCCGCCACCATCGCCAAAGGTTTCGGGCAATGTGTCTGTAGTTTTGGCATGCTTCGGGCCGGGAATCGCAGCTTCGTTATCAATGTCAAGGGTTTCAAGTTTGCCAAAGACAATGACACTTACTTTGATGAATGTGCCAAAAACCTCCGATCGATGTTTCTCAATCATTTGGGACCAACTAATGTGCACGTCGGACCAGAAATCAGATCCGACATGCCGGCTCAAGAAGCAGCCAGCTCGTGGAGACTCAAAGGTGTATCTATGGCCATTCGGAATGGAGACCACACGCCAAGACAATCTATCTTATTTCTGTCCTCATCTGAATTCCTTGTCGGAAAGGCAACGGATGACGGGATGATCTCACTTGAAAATGATGAAGTCGTGGCAACCGTCATTCACGCCACGCGAGAAACTCTAGCTCGTCAATACGGCATCATGCATGCTGATTCTGTCGAGTATATACTACGCACTTCGAGACGTGCTCAAGTCAAGATGATTGAACAACACCCGTCTCTGGACCTACTGGTTGAGTTAGGCTTCCAGGACCCAGGGATCGTCTTCCAAGTCCCTCTGCAGTCGTTGTTTGAGCTGAGCTGGGGTGAAGAAGCACTTCACTCTTTGAGGTATCAAAGCCAAGATCTTGGGACGAGCATGCGGAAAGACTATATCTTGCTTAACAAAGCAACACTGGAAGACGTCAGGGTTTTCTGTGGGCGAGATAAAGCCTCTACTGTCAGCGCCCAGATTTGGACGGATGCTTTCCTCGGTCACAGTAGTCTACCAGAGAACTTCATCACCGTTCGCACAGATCTGCTTAGCAATATCAGTTCTTTCGCCAGAGACGAGTTGGTGCAAGCAGAAAAGAAGCTCCAAGACCTTCAAGAGTTCAAAAACCTGCTGTCACGAACGATTACTTGTGTACAAGAGCATCAACGTGTCATCGACTATAACTCCGCAAAATTAGATGGCCAATCTGACGGTGCAAGAGCAATCCAACGTAGGTGGTGTGCGGGAGAAGATTGGCAACTGTTCAGATTAAGATGGGAATTGCTCTTCCACAAATTCTTTTGGAATCATGGTAGCTGTTCCCGGATTTCGAATCTGTATATCAACATGAAGCACGATGCCTTTCACAACTTGCCTATCTCCAGCTGGATTGCTACAACACCAGTCCGTACCGACTCTACAGAAATGTCAACCACGGACAATTCTGGTGAAGGCGAAACAGGACCTAGGCCCCAAAGCCGATTTCATATTCTGGAATCACCTTCCGAGAATGACTTCACGTCACCCTCTCGTGCAATCTCTTCGTCGCTCCAGAAAACCTACACTGCTGTAAAAGCCTTGACGGATTATGTGAAGGCACGCCAATACGGTATCACTGACGACGAGAAACCCAGGATCGGCCTTCTAATATCCCTTCCTTTGCTTCGAGAAGTAGTGGACGACTTTGAGGAGCTCCAGGCATCGGGCGAGGCAAAAGCATTTATTTACTTCACAGACGAATCGCATATGCGGGGGTTGTTCGATTCCATTGTGCTAGGTTTGCCACAAACGAGGATCAAGACGATGCCGGAATTCGACAACTTATCTCAGATGTGCTTTGAGCTCTGGGAATCGGCGACAGAAACAGAGGATGGTCCAGAATACAAGTACTCTATCCAAGTCTCGGTCAGTCCGGGCTGCCACGTCGATGATCCATTTTCGATCGAAATGGACAGCAAGCATTTCATACCGTCGCAGCATCGCGTGCCCATTGCCAGTCACTTGGACTGGAAAGAGTTCATGACTACCTTGAAACAGAAATATAACACGGTCCAATTGCCCAAAGAGTTCTTGCCCGTAAATGTGTCAGAGGAACACAAAAATGCGACCGAGGATCGGGCTAGGTTGCTGCTGAGCACGGAAGATCAGCATACATCTTGATGTAAACACGCACTTGAATTCCAGGGTCTTTAGTAGAAGCCACGCGACAATGAAGTCGAAATTCATCTGCGATCTTGTAATCATCACAGCATGGTGCAGAACGTAGAAGAGTCCGGCAACTTTCGACTGCCTGCTTCACTGCTTTTACACCTCTATCAAATTCATTAATTTGTGCCTTCTAAATTCCTCTCTTCCTCAGCGGGCTCACTTTCAACACTGCTCACCCAGCGGCGTTTCAAGGAGAAATTTGACGAGGCAATGCCGTTATCAGCTTTTACTTTCAGATCCCGAACAAGGTGATCGTAAGGTCGAATACGACAAAACCATACAGTGTAATCGAAGATTGTTTAACTCGAAATGTTCTCTATAGGAGTACATATGGTCGTCAGTGACCCTGAACCCACCCGCATGGTGGCATTTGCAATAGCAGAACAATATCCCAGGGCACACTCGTCACTTGAATGCCAGACCTCGTATCTAACCTGAGGGTCACCAAAAGTTGTGCCAAGAGAAAAAGTGCCAATTGGACTGCGGATGGGATACAGGTGCTGAGCTCAAGGACCTGTTTGAACTCGAATGGTAATTCCTCATACTCTTGCCCCAGGGAAGGCTCGGCATGCAAAGAACTACAATCATCACCTCCGGGCATCACGGTGTACCCTCGCTGATCGGGAAGAACAATGAGGCTTTCGGCAGTCCTGAGCAAAAGCGGTGCGAGATCACGTGCGACAGGAGGGAGGTCTACAGTATAGTTAGCCGATCGCAACAGGCCAGATTCGGCCCCCAGTGTGTTTGCTTAGGGGGTAGCAAGTACTCAGGGTAGTGGTCAGCTGCGGCCCAAAGGGGACCCCTGAGCTCGAAGTAGCTTCTGCGGATGGCGCGCTCCCTCAGCGCTCCCCCGTACTCTGCCGTGGCTCCCGTGATGCTCCGTCACGTGCGGGATTAAAGCGGCCCGGCTCCGTTTCCTGAACGAACATGGTAATGGACGAAGCAAAGTTCGGGGTGTATATAATGTATATATATATATATATATATGGTCTAGTATTACTTTGCGTCCCTTGAGTTGCTCACTGCTCAGTGAGTTATTAGTTAGTTGCTCGGAGAGGAGAGGAGAGAAGAGCGCAGGAGGAAGAGGAGGAAGAGGAGAAAAAGCGTCTTCTTGTTGTTGACTTGATATTTTGCTAAACACTACGCCCCCCAGCCTAAATCGTAATGTGGTAGAATTATAGGCTATAGTTTGTGTATGTATGTATGCATGTATGTATGTATGTATAGCCAGCTACCCAGATAGGCGAGGGGCCCTCGGGGCATTTATTACACTTGCGTACTTATTTACATACCTATATACCTCCCGGCCTACCGTGCCGCCGTACTTACATATCCCTCATATCGACTCGCTATATATCTACAGTTCCGTCCGTGACCTATGTATGCATGGCATATAAGCAAGGGATGTAGCAGAAATATCTGAGTCGAGGGAACGAACCTACGGAAGCCACGTAATACATTTAAAACGCAGCGAATAGATGGTGCTGGTGTTGTGGTTGTGGATCGATACTATTATCGTATGTGGGTTTTTCCTTTCTTAGGAACTACTGCCCCCTTTTTGGTAAACCAAAAACCTTACTCCTTTGGCCCTCTATTCTCCTCGGAGCACCGCAACCGTCGTGCGGAGTGCTGTGGCGTATGATACCATGTTATTTGATCTATTCCAAGCCCTCTTTCTCTTCGGAGGCAGGTTGGCGTAAGTGGTACTATTCGTCCAAGTGTCCTTTGCCCCTGAGGTACCAAGGTACATGGCTCGTTCCTTAACTTTTCAGTCCCTTTCCATCTCTGTGTTCATGGGATGGGGTTTTCTGGCCCCATGGCTGTGATCATATGCGTATCCTCTGTCATGTAACTCTGTGGCCCAGTCGTCTATGTCCTTGACGTTCCACAGTATTTTCTCATATGAATCCATCATGTCATGCTGTTGCACGCTGTTGTCATGGTGCAGGTAAAAAGTAAAGTGTGGCTCCTTGCGAGAGCTGAATGCCTGTCCAAAAATTTCTGGTAGTTTCAGAATATGTAGCCACCCATTTCACGGTATCGGGTGCAAAATGTGCTGATCGAATATCGGGGGGAGGGGCAAGAATAAACAATGAAGGGGGCCAAGCGCCCGCTGGAGATGCTGAGATTCGATCTTGATGCTGTCGAATGAATGGCGATATACAATCCAGCCGTTTGCGGCCCGACTGCTGTTTCGACGATGGCAGGAAGGCAAAAGTCGACTCGTTCGTAGGACCGCCACCTAGCCCTTCTCGGAGACTCTCGGTTCCGGATTGTAAGTATGGCACTTCCACTAATCCGGGAACAGATTCTTCCAACAACTACAATGAGGTCGTCGCTCACTGCAAAAACACATCAACGCCGACCTCATTGCTCCATCCAGGCTCCAGCTCCATCTCATCCCATGCCGAGGCAATGTCGATTTCGAGGACGCCACTTCCTTCGGGTCCGTATTCTGCATCAAACCCAACAACATGTTGCGGCACGGCCTGTCCTTGGATAATGACCATCATATCTTCCACCTTGCGCTGTCGAGACTGGGCGTCTGAAATCCAAATGCCAAGTACACCAAGGGCCTTTAACTGCACATGTATCTTGAGTCGAGGAGTGGCAGAGTGAGATTCTACTTCCGCATGGTTGAAGCTTGACTCGACGATTGCACATGCGCCAGTGAATTTACCCAGAAGGCCCAGGATAGCGATATCGACATCGGAATTCGTGGCTGGGAGATGGAAAGAGTGTACGGGGAGAGACGTCCAGACGTCGTAGCCACGCGGCAGTAACGTACATTGAAGTAAGCTTTCTGGTCGAATCGGATCGGTGGGATGGATTGGGGGCGTGATGCGTTTCGAGATATGCGACCGGACTATCCATCTCCTGCTTGAAACCTCCGTTCCTCCGTGCGTCGAGGCTGTTGCATTCACGCCAGGGAATTTCGTGATTGGCAGGATGAAGCTGGTTTCCGACTCGGCGATATTGAATACCCCTAGAATCCCGGATCCGACCTCGGACCTGCCATCATACGCGCCAATCTTGAGAACACCCTTCTCGTCATACTTGTCGTAGACGCCCATAGTTTTGCCAACACAGCTAGGACGCAAGATGACTGTTTGTCCTCTCGGATTCAGAGCAGTCATTTGATGGATCAAATCCACATCGTGTTGCCCGGGGGTATCCGTAATATAGATAGGCCCACCGGATACACAACGTGCCGCGGCATGGAAGCCACTGTACGGGTGACTTGACTGGAACATGTCCCAATCAGGGAGTACATTGAGATGCTGGGTGAATAAAGCGTTGTGCGCGTTGACAAAGACGTGCCAGGCGTGAGAAGTCGGAACATCGGGAAAGAAATCGTCACTATTACGGAGAAGAATCCTTGGTGTCGTGACGGGAAGGAAGCTGTGGAAGAGGATTTGAGGGATCATCGACATGCACGAGATGGCCTTACCAGAAAGATGGCGTAGGTGTGCTTGCGTCCACGCAGATTGATAGGCGTTGGTGAAGGCCCGTCGATCAGGTGTGTCTGCAAGGAGGTCGAGTGCAAACTGAACGTCAGTTTTGACGCCAGTGACTCCGGCATGAGACAGGAAGCGGTAGAAGTCATCGTACATTCTATGGATGTCATCCGGATGGATGGTGAGCTTCCGTCCGGCCATGGGCGTTCCGTCGCGGAATGTGACTTCGAGCGTCTTGTACTTCTTCGCAATGTCGCCTTCCGGGGAGATCCCGCCCCAGTACCCCATCAAGGCGTGCCAAACAGCAACGTCACGTATCTTTGGGTGAGTCTTTTTGATTTTGTCTATTGACGATTTGAGTCCGTCGGGGAATCCCAGTGGATTGGCTTCAAAGTCCTTCCAGCCTCGATGGAACTGGTTGGTCGCGCCTTGAGTGCCATCAAGGGACTGCCAGTTGTCGTCGATGATCAAGGTCGAGATATAAATCTGGTGTTGTGCGAGGGAATCCAACCCTGCCATGATCTTTTCGGCATTCAGATCTTGCCCAAGGGAATTCCATGTACAATACGCAAGGCTGTCGTACCAACTTGCCAACCACTGTGGATTCACTGTAGGGTTGTCCAACGAGTGCTTGTCGTGATTGACCAGAACCGTGTCCGAGTCGAGAGACTGTGACCTGATGCTCTTCGGCAGCTGGTCCAGTCGTTCAAGGGTTTGCTGATAGGCTGCTGTCTGTCGAACGAGCTTTCGCATCTCATACATGACGGCGGCGTTTGCGACTTCGAACTTCCATGCCGAAGCCGCCAGGACCTTGAACTTGCGACCTCGGCCGGAGTCATTTCTTGCTTGGACCACGATCTCGCCTTCGTGCGTCGACCCAAATTGAGTGAGGACGTCGTCAATACCGTTGATGGCCAGGATCACGACATGCAGACCATCGTATCGCAGGAAGGACAGTAATATCGCCGGCTCGGACAGATGGAGTTGATGTTCGCCATGCCGAGGGGCAAACCATGGTTCCCATATCCGCACCAACGCAAACCATCGGCAGAGTTGGGTCACTCTGCCCAGGACAAGTGACTCGACTTTGGCATTGCCTTGACTCGGGGAAGGGATCGGGTGAGCCGATTCGATGGTATATAAGCGCGCTTCTGGCGCATCGCTCGGAGTCTTCCTAAGAGTCCAACCTTCACCAACTTCGACAGGCGATGCGCCGAGGAAGTTGGGGTCGACCGGAGGTTGTAGAATGAGCTCACCATCACGGATACCAAAATTGTGATAGACCCAGGACCATTCTGAATTAGGATCTACTCGGTAGCGGACGGTAAACGGAACTCTTCGACCCTTGTAAGTTTTGTCAGTCGAGACGAAGGGGCTGTCAAGATCTCCCGAAAATGTGTAGCGGTAATTATCTGTTTGAGTGTCGTCATAAAGGACCGCTGGAGTGTTGTCGACTAGTTTCAGATCGAGTGCATGCCAGGGAGCCTTGGTTCCGGAGTAGCTCGTGTGATCGTACCATATCGAAACCTCCCACGGTCTTTCAGGCAATGATTTCGAGGACTCGAGGACCACTGTAAAGTTGAACTAGGGGAATCGTCAACACGACGAACAGGGAGGGAATGACGTGACCAAAAAGACGTCATGATCGCGCATGAAATAATGCCATTTTGGAATCATACCGCAGGGCTCCCGGTTAACTGGGGAAAGCGACCGCAGGAGAGGAGACAGCGGACTTACTTTGTCTCTTGTCGGAGGGACGACCGTGACCTGGGCCAGTGGAGGATAGGTTGCCAGTTTGGCGAAGAGGGCCATTTGCGCAGGGCGATAGAACTTTATCTGGGTCGGTTTCGCAGGAGGGGAGGCGGGAGAGGGAGAGGAAGAAGGAATGGCGAGATTGGAGTGCGACATGTGAAGAAAAGATGCATAGCAGGACTTGGAAATGATAGTCCAGTTGTGCACGAGTAGCGCCTTGCAGGAGACAGCAATGAAAGACGCGGCGATGGTCGAGGGGAAAACGACACAGGGCTTAACAGGGCCGGGGGATCCAAGTGTGGTGAGCTTGTCGGATATGATAGCGGGACCAATAATGGCGTCAGGCCTGGATAGAGACTGGATAGAGAGACGGGCAGCCAGACGAGCCAGACGAGCCAGACAAGCGCCACAGAGCTTGATGGGACCCAGAGTTTGGTAACGAGAGGGTGTGGTTGGTTACAGCCGCACCAGCAGACGTTCTCCGTTGGTGCCGTAGCGATGAACTCCCCCAGAACTGCTATTCAACGCACCATGACATATTCTCGCAGCTTCTTCTCACGGCTGTAAATTCCGTCCCACCGCGCCAGAAGGGTTTGATGTTTGCTGAGCTGATGAAGGCGGGGACACTGGGGGGACGCCAGGGGGAGAGCGAGGGCCTTTGATTTGAGTCTCAGTGTGTTGGAGCGCGGATCGTTGGGCCGTGGATGGAACAGATTGCTCGGTCCGCTTTCCGAAGAGAACCTTGAGAGGCAAGAGATTTCTCTTGGGTTTTTGACTTTGATGGGCGTGTGGGAGAGGAATGATCAAGGGTTGTTGAGTTGTCGAGCAGAGTTGACCAAGACTTTTGAAGGAGCGGGTGAGTGGTGAGGGTACCCAGTGAAGCTAGGTCCAAGTACCCAGTAGTGAGGGCAGCCAGTCACGTGGCGTCAGAGGCTGCAGCTGCAGCTGCACATGTCATGGATTGGATTTTATATGTTCCAGGGAAGAAAGTACTTGTACTGTACTGAGTGTGTCTACGGTAGGCAACGTGTCTTGGTATCCTGCAATGGCGAGTGGCTTTACCTCAGGCACCCCTGATAAGTGCGCTGTAAAACTCTATTCAATTCTGGAGCCCGTGTCTGTCGTGGTCTGATCCTAGTGAACCGCTCTGAATCCATCGCCCCAGGCTGGTGGGCTCCGGTCGGGTAGCAGTACATAATACATATGCCGCTCTAGCCTTAGACGACTCTGACCTCTGATAACTATGTACCTACCGGCTATCGCCCTACCGAATCAAACGACAGGGGACTCTCTCGTCCACTGACCCGGCACTTCATATGCCGTAGACATCCTTCAATTCGTCATCTTCCGATGCTGAATCACTGCCAAGGTCCACGCCGCTGTCCTCGAACCCAGTCTCGGCGCCGTCTGCGCCCACATGGTTCCTTTCGCGTGGCAGCTGGTACACCAGATATTCCACCGGCGCCCGTTGCTTCTTGCTCATCACTTCCTTCATGTGTCCTTGCACTACCGGTAGTACCTTCGCGGCTTTGGCGATCGTCTCTATCGTTCGGTGGTTTCTGGCCTTGATGCTCATCGTCACTGGCTCATAGTACTCTTGCTCCGCTTGCCATTTGCCTTCCGTTTCGTCCTGTTCGCCTGCAGGCTCGCCGCCAGCCATAATCTGCGAACCTTTGCGTTCCACCAAGAACGAGCAAATCATCTCCAACCCTCCCGGACGCATTTCCAACACTGCATATTCCGGGAAGAGCCATCTATCTGGACACGCAGCCTGATTGCCAGACGGTATACTTGTCATCTCCATCACAATGTGCTTGATGACGGGCTCTGGCCGAACTGGAGGCGGAGGAGGCGGATATATAATGTAGCCTCTCAGTGGGTCTCCACGCTCAGTTGGTGGAGGCGCATGTGGAAACGAATGCATCGCCCCGGGCAATGCCCCTGGTCCTAGTGCTGGACCTGCAGGCGGAGGACCAGGGAGAGCGGTATTGGGATGCTGACGTGGCTGCGGTTGTGAAGTATTGAACGTTGACGATCGCCCAGAGTCTGTTGCAGAAGATGGATTTGACGGCAACCCAGGAGGTGTCGGATTCGGGGTAGCCGGCGATCTTGGGGTTTCTGCCACTGTTGGCGTTGATGCCGGCTGACTGGGTGGGCGTGCCTCACTTTTCGCAAGTCGTTCTGCTTCCCGTCGCCGGATCACCTCATTAAATTCATCGATATGAGCTTGGAACTCCTTCAGCTGTTCAGGTGAGGCCCTTGAAGTTGCCACGATCTTCATCAGCTCTTTCAATTGAGGATTAGACGTAGCCCGCGCAGCCAACATTTGGATGACTGGATCTGGTCTTGACTCCGGACGTGGCGTCCGAGACTCTTCGTGCGAGGACTGGACCCGCGGAATTTGTGAAGGAGCTGGAGCTGGAGCTGGAGCTGGAGCTGGAGCCGGACCGGGTCTTAATTCTTTTCCTTGTTTGATCTGGCCCAGAAGAGGGCTACTTTGGCAGCGAGGCGGAGGTGCTGAAGGTGGCACTCCTCTGACCGGCGCAACCGATGTCGACGGTGGTGGCGATGCAGACGGAGGCGGTGGCGGCGGAGGAGCATGGTTATATGGACCATGAGGGGGATAACCGGGGTAGGGAAAGGAAGGCGGCGGTTCACGAGTCCCGCGAGACATTATGCGCTCCATGCGCGCCGCGGTATGTTGATTTGGATGGGGCTGGTACGGCAGAGGAGCTGCGAGATCTCGAACTGTGTAGAAAACTACATCGAACGTATGGGGCTCGATGGTGATAGTCGCAGTGCCCAACCTTTGCATTGATTTGGACTCGGGGTTGTTGGGGGGAGCCTCAATAACACCTTTTCTCTTGACGGGCTTGACCCAGTACTTTTCGAAGATGCCATGGCATAGCCACTGCATACGAGAGCGATGGAGGGATGCGATAAGGGTGGCGCTCTCAGCAATTGACTGATATTCACGAAGGGACAAGTCGGAGGGCTGCTTCTCCTTGGTCGTAGGCAGCGGCTGGTTGGCCACAATCCGGGTGGGCAAGACATCTTCGCCCACGGAAATTGACGGCGAAGAGCGCGAGACCGAGCTTGGAGTTTGAACTCGGACCAGACTGGCTCTTTTCTTGTACGGACGCTTCTGGCGAGGTTCAGAGGATGTGGCGGAGGTCAGCTTGCGGGCAGCGGGAGTGGACGCAGATGCAGATGCAGATGCAGGAGGTTGCGCTGGCACGGACGCTCTTCTTTTCGCCGCAGAATCTCGTCTGTCACGAGGAGGTAGTACTCGTTTCTGAGGAGTCACGTCGGTCATGACTGCGCCAACAACGACCTGAAGGTCGATGAGCCGTGCTGCGAGCCCAAATGACCACCGTGTGAGTGCACTGTTTGGATGATCGAGATGGTTTGGCCGCAACAGCGGCGTGTAGGGTACACAATCTGGAAGGTTGGCCGGCGCGTCATGTCGCTGGCGTCATCAGGCTGACAACGGCGATCTATGTATGTATGTATCTCACTATTATCCACAGTGTTATCAGTTGAGCACACCAAGTCCCGACAGCTTTCGCCAGCTTGTACGCGTCCAAAACCCTGCTCGTGCAGTTGGGCATTTCTTGCTAGTCCAACTTCCACGATGGATGTGTGAAATCGGCCCCCGTTCCCGTCTTGCGCCAACACTACCGGGTATCTTCTTGACAACGAACAGCACCCAAGATCTGAAGACCAGCCTTGATACTGTGATGGCTTTCGACAACTTATTCCGGAAGGCCTTCTGGGGTCTGGCTGGGTGTGGATTGGTCTATGCCTTGGCTATGGTTGCTCTGACATTGCCAGTGGTCCAGCGCAATGCCACCTATGTCCACCAAATCAATCCCACCTACTTCCAGGATCTGAACAATACCGAGCAGTTTGGCTTTCTCCATCATCAAATCCAGCCCTTCACCATTGTCACTCCTGACAACGTGACCCTCTTTGCCTGGCACATCCTGCCAACCCATCTGTTCTACAAGCATGAGAAAGCCTTGACTGGACAACCAGACTTTGGCCTGAAGCCATTTGAGGTTGCTTCCAAAAGCGTCGGCCTCCAACTTCTTCTCGGTGATCCCACTGCAACTGCCGTGGTGGCTTTCCATGGAAATGCTGCTCATCTCGCCTCCAACTACCGCCCTTCTGCATATCAGCAGATGTTGGGTGTGTCGACACCAGCGAAACCTGTCCATGTCATTGCTTTCGATTACCGGGGCTTCGGTCTCAGCACTGGTAGTCCCACGGAGCAGGGTGTGATTGAGGATGCCGTATCATTACTGTCTGCTCTGACCGGAGAGTCCGACGACGGCAAACAGCAAAGCGACACAGGGCGCCAGTATGTGGATCCGTCCAGAGTCCTCTTGGTGGGACAGTCCATGGGCACGTTTATTTCGACAGCCTTTTATCACGAGTGGGTTGTGAAGCTCGGCAGAGCTCCGTTCAAGGCTTTAGTGCTAATCGCCAGCTTCACTTCATTGCCCAATCTACTTGAGTCTTACTCGTTCAAGGGCCTCACTCCCCCCATTCTGTCCCCGTTGATGGCATATCCTCGACTCCAAGAATGGTTGCGCTCCAAGATCCAAGACAAATGGGACGCAAGCTCCAGGCTCGTGGAATTGGCACAGACGCCAGAAGTTGAGCTCAATCTGGTCATGCTACACGCTCGCAACGACTACGAAATCCCATGGCGAGAGGGCCGGGCCAACTGGGAGTACACGTTGGACGCGGCGTCCGGGGGTAAGATCGATTTTGCGCGAAATCTGGATCGAGAGGAATGGAGGAGCGAGGATGGCAGAAAGCGTATGCGATGGGAAAGAGTTCGGCACGGAGGGCATAACCGAATTCAGACCAGTGAGCAGGTTAGATTGGCGATATTGCGACTGATAGAAGGCGAATAGACGAGCTAGAAGGGATGAGGGAAGCATTGCAAGCCCATCCGAGTATTAATCCCACTTAGATGCGGGTGCTGACAGGGGCAGCCAGGGTTAAGCAGGCAGAGGGTATGGGCTGCCCCGGAGATCTTCTTGTTGCTCCCACAAGGACTCCACCCTGGTCGAATTGAGGAGTTTGATGACGCGAGATGGGAATCTTTTTCGCTCTCTTGTTCGTTGGGTAGTAGGAGTAAATATGGCAGCCTACTGGGGTAGTTTGTGTTGTACCGATGTTGATGGGAGCCGTGCACGTCATGAGGCTATGCCCTGGCCATATTCGGTACGAGGCGCTTGGGTGTTAATATACGACTTTGAGTAGGGTCTGCGATCAATATACGAGGTACAGTACTAGGTATCTAGCACTTTAGCTTCTGTACCGAATGCTCCGTACGGGGAATGCTCAAATCGCATGGAGGTTCGCGTGTACAGGCTCGCAGGGTACCTTTGAACAGCCCAAAACAGCCCTCCGCGCAACCGTCCGCCCTTAGCCGATACCCACAGAGCCACCCTCGGAGTGACGACGGCTAGTTAATGACTACCCAGTACCCGGTACAGGTGACTACCACCCTTACAGGAAGGTGGCTGGCTGCGATTGGGGCTTGAATGACGGATCGTGGCATCATCTCTGCCCAAGACTCTTGACTGAGGGCACCAAAGGGTGGGTTTCTACATCCAGTTAATCGTTGACGGTTGTTCATGCAGCTTGCAAGGGCCAAGTAACCGCCATCCAGAATCTTTTTGCCGACTCAGCAATCCGCATTGCGGCCTCTCTGTGCTCTCTGTGCTCTCTGTACTCTTCTTCGTCCGCAATTCCCTCCAGCATTCACACACCAGACCCCCAACCACTCTCGATCTGCCTTGGGCAATCATACCGCCATCACCACAGCGTTATTTGGGTCATATTGCTGCTGCAATGATCCCGTCCATCCCTGCGCGCAGGAAGCTGCGATAGTCCACCTGCGCTCCATGGGCAGGTGACTGAATGTCGACTTCTACGCCTCCTAATGGCCGAGCTGCCAGCGACGATGCCGGAGAACGAGAGCACCCGGATCCCAATCACCTGTCTCTGCCGACCTTTCACTCCGTCCGCGAATCTTCCAACGAGCGAGAGGGTCGGGGTTCAAGGACCGAGTCAACTGCTTCAGGTTCTGCCAGCCATCGAAGTAGAAGTCGCAATCCCGACCCTCGACCTTCCCGACTACTAGAGCGTCTTTCCTTTGGCGGTAGCAGTGCTCAAAGTGATGGGGACTCCAAGAGCAAAGAGAAGGAAAAAGCAAAGGAAAACGACGCTCCCCGCCACAATGTCTCCCGACGTTCTGGGGGCTTTCTTCTCGAACCCGTCTCAAATTCCAAACGTCTCCCTCGCGGATCGCTCGTCCCTGCTCGAGAAGATACAGAGGCGAAACGAAATAGCGGCGACTCAGAATTGACGCTCGTGAAGAGAAGGCACAGAACCAATGGCCACTCCAATTCATCCTTCAAAAGTTCTCCACTGGCGAGCGAGGTCAAGCAGGATCCCATCATACATAACTATCCAAGCTCGGAGCAGCTTGTGCCTGGCACTGACGTTCGGCGGTCTCTGTCGTCCTCGCATAAGGACCATCGGTTCACGGGCAGTCCGGCGTCAACCTCGCGTAATTTGGAAGCGCAAAGAACGCCCATGGCCAGGGTTGGCTTCGACAATGACCCCGCCCAGATTGTCAATATGGCCTTGAGTCTAAGTGAAGGTCGACGTCGCCTCGCTTCGGGAAGGAGATATGTCTCAACCGAACAGGGCGAACGTCGTGTCGTCTCCGCTGCGCCAACCACAAATCCGAGCAATACCGTCCGGAAAAAAAGCATCGCACCCTTTCTCGCGACAAATCGTCAATTCTCCCAGGGTGGCTCTCCCAAAAGCAATGTGTCGGCCAAATACCGTGACCCAAATGGGCCAACGGCACCGACCTCTGTCGATGTATCTGTAACTGAAGTGGACCCCAATCTTGACGTCGACCCGGATTTCCCTGGCCAGATCTCGCCGGCCACTGCAGCCCGAGTTGAAAAGGCAAAGACATATTTTGAACTCGCCCATGAGCATCGACGCCTTCTTCCACATCTGCCCCCAATACGAAAACCAGGAAGCCACGCCCGTTCTCCTGGGCCAGAAGCAATGCAAAAGGCGTACAATCCTTTACAGTATGTTCGAAATCGCAAGCTCCGTATTTGGGAAAAGACGCCAATCGATAGCGAGGTGGATGGGTGGCATGATGTTCAGAAGGTCAGGGCCTGGGTTGATGCCGTGGTTTCAAGTCACCCAGACACCCAGCACGACACTTTGGAGTGTGTCCGTTTACCTCCGCTTGATCTGCGTACTGTCGACACCGACAAAGAAGAACCCGATGATTCGCCAGACGAGCCAAAGAGTACAATGTTGTCTCGTGTACCAGACCAACTTCATCCCAAGCCAACTCGCCCACGCTCTGACTGGGTAACTCATCCAGCCGACTTGATTGCCGATGCATATTGGTTAGAGCAAGGCTTGAACAAGACGAAAATCCAAGATCGAGACAACAATTTGATCTATCCCCCGAGTACCCAGTTCACGTTCTCGGGCTGGCGCAATCAAGCACCCCCCAATGTACCAACTAGCTTGCAGCGATCGTCTCCACCCCCGGAGTCCCATGATGGTTCGTTTCAAGAGACGTCTTCATCAGCTCTGCCTGAGTTGCCGACGTTTAGGTCAGCTCATCATCCACACAAAAGTGGGCGCCATGGCCGCCGCAGAGACATTATCAGAGATTCTGTTCAGGGCAAGGGTGGCAGCAGCTCTAGAGAACGCTCTCGAATGCGCAAGAAGCTGTTTCAGGACAGCAGCGATTCGGAATATTCGGCCTCGACGTCTTCAGATGATGCCGGAGTCGAACGCGGTCGCAAACGACTGCGGCGAAAGAGGCAAGAAACCCCTCTTAACGACGGTCTGGACAAACGAGGCAGTCACTCGCTGCCAAAACAGTCGCCGCAGGTATTTGGACACGGTCCCGGCGACTCAAGTCAGGGTTCCTCTGCCCCAACGTCGAAAAGAACTTCAATCGATCATACTGGTCTCAATAAGCTTTTCAAAGTTGACAGTCTCAAAAAGTCTTCCCCCTTGACTCGGTCACGGAATAGACAGGATTCATCTCGGCCTCCACCGGTGCAGGTCCCGGTCCGTTCAAGCCTCGAGCACGAACGGCAACCTCGCGCATCTACAGAATATGACACCACCACCGCTCCAAATTCCCCTAACGGAGTTGAATGGCCTAGTATTGCCATCAACCTTTCTCCGCCTCCCAGTAGACCGAGTTCGCCCTCCAAGAAACCGATGTCTACCATCTTACACCCCTTCCGCAAGTCTCACAAGGGTCAAATCAGCACCACTGACTTTGCACATGTTCCACCAGTGCAATCGGTTCACGGACCTGAAACGGACAAACACATTGATAGCCCCGATTCTCGTGGCCAAAGCCCCATGACCAGGACCGTCAGTTCACTGTCCAAAAATCGAACGAACTCGACAGAGGCAGACGAAGTGACCCTACAATCGTCCATTGAGCACAGACACAGTACAGCGAGCAAAGCCAGCACGCGGTCAACTACCAATGCAGGAAATGACCATTCCAGGCTTCGGGCGATATTCAAAGGAGGTCGCATAGCAGAAATCGTCGGAAATGAGGTTTCTCGAGTAGGAGACTTTATCTGGAAGCGTGATGTCCCGATAATATACCGGCACAGAGGCTCGGCCTCTGAAGGTAGTATTCGATCTTATGAAGGGTCTGACTCAGAGAGAGAGCATCATCACCATCAGCAGAACGGGACGATTCTCAAAACACCTCCGCACCTTGCACGCTCAAGATCATCCACCATCTCAAGTACTAAAAGCGATCATGTCTTGCCTGCTATCACCAAGACAAGTAACTCTGGAAATGATCGTCCTCGATACAACAATCCTAATCTGCCCAGTTTCACATCGCCTTTCCAAAAAGATCGCGAACGACAAGAGAAGAGGCAAGGGTTTCTGGCGCCAGATGACGCGGCCACAAGGACTGAGTCTACAGACCACATCTCTCGTCTGGCTGCTCAGCATCGCTCGGCCTCACATTCGCCACGACTTGCTGCCCTCCCTAAACTTGATACTGGAGCACCTCCTACACCGAATGACTTGGGTCGACGGAAGAGCTACGGGTTTAGCGCAGCTCTGGATTTGAGCAGATCGCGAGATGCATCCGATCAGCTGAACTCCGTCATCGGCCCGGTCATGGGTCTGAGTGGCCTCCGCACTGCCAAATCTACAGGCGATCTTTCAAAGGTGGGCGGATCTGAGATAAGTCAAGAAGACGGCGAGCCTCAAGACGTGACGTGGCGCGATATTGAACGAGCACAAGTCCTCCTATATACTTCAACCGTCAAAGCTCGAGAAATTGGACGTCGGGCGGAAGATTCAGGTGAAGAACTGCCGCCATTCCTTCTCGAAAGCCTTACCCCGGAGAACAAAGCCTTGCATTCTGCGAAACCTTTACGGGTGAGGAAACGAGAACGACACATTATCGCAGCACAGAACATCATGAAAACGCTGGAAGGCCACTCATCAACCTTCAATAAGAAACTACATTCATTCACCACCTCGCTTATACCCGCTCTGCACAGCCAACTCCAAATCCTGGAAGATCAGGTGGAAAACACCATGACTCCGCAAGTACGAATAACAGCGGATTCGGCTGGCGAATTGAGCATGAAGCTTTCCACAACTAGTACGCTTGCCGTCAAAGAACTCAACGACTCTATTGAAGTCGCCTTTCGCAGGAAGCGGAGAGGCCCGATCAGGCTGTTCCGCAAGCTGTGGTTTGCTGGCATTGAGTGGACCGTCGTTGGGCTACTTTGGCTCATCTGGGCTGTCGTCTCGGTGGTGAGATGTGCGTTGGGAACGGGCAGGTGCGTGATTAAGGGGGTGAGATGGTTGCTTTGGATTGATTGATGGGCCGGGAGATTCGCCGCCAATCTGCCTCTTTGCGTGAGAACACATGTATATTGTTGACTAACTGACGAGACATCTGGGATAAGGGAAAGCTCGGGGCTATCCCTGGGTCATGTCAAGGAGTGATGCTTCTGTTGCTTGGAACCAGCGAGGCGTTTGGGATCACACCCTCTGGGGGAGACGAAATGGCTCGTCCTCATGGGCAAAATTTTGTTGGACTTTTTTTGGCTGGCTACGACATCATCTTCATTTATTTTGTATAGCTTTTTAATTCACGGAAGGGGATGGGAAAACTCAACGAACCATACATACATAATGAGCGTTTCTTTGGAACCATTTGGCATCGAGAGGCCACTAGGATAAGACAGAAACCAGTGAACAAGCCATTGATTGCATGTTTCTGTGGCTGCGAAACACATATGTATACACAAACCTGCCTCCTACTCACTGTTTCATCCTGTCACCCTTCCCTGTCTTGCCTTGCGTGTCCATTCCATTCTTTCCCGGTCCCGCCACGTCTATCCTTTACAACGGCGTCAACGCGAAAATCAACCAACCCTCAAGCACTGCAACCGGGCTTCCGTCTCAATGACATCTAGCGCCTGTCTGACTTCAAGCACCTTCCTCACATCTCCCAACCAATCTCTGCTCAAAACCTTGGCCCACCCCGTGAGAGAATTCATTTCCCTCGCTGCACCATCGAGATCTCCTTCTTCCAACATTGTCTCCGTCCGGGTAAGGATGCTCTCCACGTCGTCACCCGTGGGCTGTCCGTGCTTCTTAAAGAGCACGTTCGAGAGAACTAACGAAGCGGCGTGCGACGCGATACCCGCGTTCTCGGGCAGGAGTGATGCTTTCCTCACTTCATGGGCGACGCGACGGAAGCGGTCGATTAATTGCGGCTGGGAAGGGATCCCCTTTTGATATGACGAGGGATTTATGGACGCAATGGCGGCATCGACGATGGGATCGCCATCGGCACAGAGTTTGAGGGCAGCCAATTCGCGCACAAATGCGCGAGGTTTCGCATCTGAGGCTGCGCTTGCATCAAGAGCAGAACGGACGGCGTCCACGGCTACTTGCAATTTCTGAGTTGCAAGATTGGAATCGATCACGCCGTTCCAATTTGATGTGAGTTCGGTAAGATTGTCGATGTTTGTGCTAAGATCAGAGAGCTTGCTTAATCTCCCTTGTCGCTCGGATTCCACCAGGTCTTTGATCTGCGCGACAAAGTCGCGTTTCAGCTCGATTGCTTGCTCGGCCAGTTCGTTCTTGAGTCTCTGTTCCGCCAGCTCGGTGCTTCGCTGGACCTCGGTCTTTACCTTCTCTTCATACAGCTGTGCGAGACGGGCTCGTTCAGTCTCGAATTCCTCGCGATAGCGGGCGTCATCCTCTGCCTGGGCAGTCTCGATCCTCTTCAGGAGCTGTTTGGCACCTTCATCGAATTCTCTGTGTGCTTGCGCAATATGCTCCTCAGCGGCCTTGCGTTCGGCGTCACGCAGCGTGGTGATCTTGCTGGCGACCTCTTCGAGCGATTCTTTCGCCTTGGCCATGGGGGCGGAGTATTTGTTGGCGGCATCGGCGGAATCGGAGTTCACAACTGTGATGAGATCATTGACGATTTTCACGAGTTCTTGTACCACGGGTTCTTCGGCATTGGGCACTGCAAGGGGTGAGATATGTGTGATTGGTGGGATAACAGGTGTTCTTGAATCAGTCGTCGAGGGGGTGGAAGACATTTCCGGAGAAGTACCTTGCGCGGACGATGGTTGAGGAGTCTCGGTTGGTTTTCCTTCCTGTTTTGCTGCTGCGCTTTTCTTTGCGGTTTCAACCGAGACACTTCTCTCCTTTGGCGTTGCGCTGTGAGGATCTTGTTTTGCGTCGGTAGCAGCCTTCGGTGTCACAGTTTGGTTGGCGTCCAAGGCACTCATGTGCTTGCCCTTTTGCGTGACATCGCTTCCCTTCTGTTCCGATTCTTCGACGGGTCGCCATGACAGTCCAGATTTCTGGGGGATTGTGGTTACCTTGGTGTCCTCTGGCCTTGCTCCCGGTCGAGGGGTCCTCGTGACATTATGTCTTGCGTGTGGAAATCTCTTCTGGAAGGATTTCTCCTCAAAGTAGAGGACTGCGTCCTCTCCGAAAGGGATGTACTCGGTGAAGAAATCGTGGAAATTGTCGTTCCTCAATGCATAGAAGACAGCTCCTCCGTACGTGAGGGCACTTAAAGTAAGCAGGTACAGTAGCAAACGAAATCGGGAGGATCTTTTCCGGGGAGTGGGTGGCTTTTGAGAAGGAGGTGGAGGGGAAGGAGGTTCGGCTGGGCTGACAGACGAGGGAGTCGTTGGAGGAGCTGTCTGAGTCTTTGCTGGGCTCGGAGGCGCGAGGGGGACGTTCTGTGGAGGAACGGTGGAGTTTGAAGAAGGTGAAGACGGTGTAGCAGGCGTCGGCGCGGATGTTTGAGGAGCTGGACTTCCGGGACCTGCAGGGCCCAAGGGAACCTCTGTTTTGACCGGAGCAGCGCTAGACTGGCTGCCTGGCATGAATGCTGGATCCGAGCTCAAGATCGAGTCTTTCTTATCTGCAAATGTCTTCCGCTGTAGACCTAATGTCAGTCGCGCGAGCTTCTCACCTTGGAATTTGAAAAACTTCCAGACGTACCTGGGACAAGGCAGTTTGGGCAAGCAATTGCCGGCGCACAGAGGCGCCAACAGGCCTCGCTAAACGCAGCATCGTATACTGCGCCGCCCTTCCCGGGCCCTTTTCTGAACGACTGTAGAGTACGAAGTTGGTGATCGAGGTTGTTGAAGTTTTATTGCGAAGCTCCAATGGATCTCCGAAGCTCAGGTACCGCCGCTTTTATGAAAAGCCCAACCGCGAAACACGTGACTTCGCCAGGGCGCAATCCCCCCTTGATTGAAGCCTTGTGAACAGAAGGCTCTCTATTGCTAAATGGACGCAGTTCTTGTTCGTGTTTCTATGTCCCATTTTCTTGAGTTTGGTATTCTAGACCTCAACGCCACGCTAAAGAGCACAACAGTCATGAGCTACTGGGCGACATTGCGCCGTTAGCTCATCTTTTGCCGGCCTTTTCCAGCTTCCTCCGCTTTCTTCGCAGTTTCTCGGCCTCTTCATCTCGTCTGTTGTTTGAGTATTGCATCTTCTCGTACAGTTTGCGCTTCTTATTGCTCATCATCATCTTTTGGCGCTCAATTTCTTCCTCTTTTCGAGATCGTTCCGTCTGTCGGGCTTTGAGGGCCTTGGCTTTCTGGTCTGTTCCGTTCGAGCTCGATTTGACAGGGCGGCCAGCCGCTTCTGCTTCGAGTTCCTTCTGGTGTTGGGTGTCCTCGTCCAGGTCGGACTCCTCTGAGACCGCATCGTCGAAGCCGACGAAAGTGTCTTCCTCATCTTCAGCCTGCTCTTCTGATTCGTCATCCGAGGGTGCGACATCCATGTCATATGCGTCTATTTCGTCTTCGTCATCAAACTTGCCCTCTTCCTCCCGATCTTGTTCCTGGGCAGAAAGTCGAGTCGCCTCTTCTTGCTCTTGCTCATCCTCACTCTCCCCGGCAGCCGCTGCGTCAGCCTCCCCTTCCGGCTCCTGTTCCTCTAACGTTGCCCTTGGATCATATTGGCCGTTGATGGGCTTCACCCACGGGCTCAGGTGGGGAGGCAGCGTCTCTCCGGGCGCATACAAATCGGTCCGTAGCAGTTTACCCTCATTTACACAATCCCATATCCACTGCGGCTGGATATAGATTCTTCCAGGCATGATATACCCGGGTTTGACAGCCTGAACATTTTGATCTTTCGAGCTTTCTTGGCCCTGGATGGAAAGCAATGTTTGCGACGTTGCAGGCCTGTCGACGATTTGATGCGTAATCCTGGGATCTCTTTCATCGTGAGTAAATGCACCCTCGCCTAGCACGGCATCCCATCCCACTCGTTTGCAACCAAACGCTCTCAGTAGAAATTCGATGGGATGACGAGGGGCTTCACGAGAAATGAAAAAGGTGAAATCCGAGAACAAATGCGCTGCCTCATCGCCTGTCAGGCCAGGCTGCGGTAGAATGTCGCCTTCCGGTGCGGCGGGGGTGAAGGTGTCAATGGTGTCAGTTTGCACTTGGTCCTCGACTTGCTCATCCTGCTTGACGTCCTCTTGGGCCGGAGTTTCTCGGGCAATCCTATCAATTTGAGCCTGGACCGCCTCTGTATTTCCATTTTGTGCATGGCCATTCGCCGGTGTGTTCTGTTCTTCCTGTCGATTAATCACGCCAGCTATTCCGCGACCCTCCAGAGTGAACGCCGCTAGCTCTGCACCTCGCTCGTCGGACACCATGTCGAATTTAGGTGGATATACGAGACCGATTGAAGTATAGAGTCTGTAGTTGACGAAGCCCAGCAGTGTGCAATAGAATTCCACAAACGTGCCCATTATCCTGTAATCCACATCTTGCGTCACCCGCTGTACAAACTTGTAGGGGACCAGCCACATTACATCTTGGCCCTGAATTGTCGCTTGGTAGTAGATGCCTTTGATAGACAAGAAAGACTTTCGCAGGGAATTCGTGGCTATAAGGTAATGTTCGAACTCGTGGCAGAGGCGTTGACAGCGCGAAATGACCTTGGCCGGGACTTCGGTGGTTGACGGGAGGCTTGCGAACAACGACAGCAACGACAGGGCATCATCGAGATCCCGTAGAGCATCAACAAAAGTCGGGTATCGTTCTCGCACGATGTGGTCCAATTTGATCTTGGGCATGCCATGTTTTTCTAACCGCACCGCATCTTGCACTTCGTTTCGACCGAGAGATCTGGCAATCTTCTTCTCGAGGGCTTTCTGTTCACGAAACTTGGCTAGCAACGGCTCGTGGAGGAGGTATTGGATGTCTTTGGTGTAGTAGAAGGTTGTCGAGTGGGTGGCCGACTTGCTTGCCTTTTTGATATTCCTGGGTTCGCGAGGGTAGATGCCCTTGAAAATGCAGAGCCTCCGAAAGTCGGGCAAGGATATCTGCAGTTTGCGCACAGCTTGCGTTCGAGTAATGTAGTTCTTCGCTTGCCCAGCCTGGCCCCTTTTCTTTTGTTTCGCCATATTGGGACTGCTGCGAGGTGCAAAGCGCAGAGGGATTGAGAGGCTCTTTTGTTGGAGAGCGCACAAGGAAAAAAAAGTCGAAGATTGAAGATGTGGAGAAAGCAACCGCCGGGGTTTTGCCGACATCCACTAACCACATTCGGGCAGCGGCCAATTCGGCCACCTTGAAACTTCAAACTTCACTCAGCCTGGACCTCCTTTTTCTCCTGACCGTCGACACGCCAGCGAGCCAATGTGGTCGACCAGAGAGTGCATCTTATAACCAGAATGGCAATATCGCTGGACCGCAAGACGGTCGCGATATATGCCGGCGCGATTCTGCTGCGCCTTGTCATCTTCCTTGCCTTTCCCGACATTCCCAATTTCCTGACCGCGAGAGTCGAAATATCAACCCCGATTTCAAGCTTCCAGAGACTTCAAGAAGGTCTCTTTCTCTATCAACATGGATTGTCGCCTTACGATGGCGGTGTCTTTCACCAAGCGCCACTGCTACTGGTCATCTTCGAGATATTACCCTCCACGCTGATCTTCGTGGGGCTAGATGTCTTGAATGCAGCCTCCTTGCAAGGAATCGCGAAGGAACTACGCCTCCCCACCTCTCGATTTCAGAAATTGGACGGGTCCCTGATTGCCGCAGCTTATCTCTTCAATCCATTTACCATCTTGTCATGTCTTGGGAGAAGCACCAGCATCTTCACCAACGCCGCTATTATCCAAGCTGTCTTGAACGCTCAGTCAGGAAATGCAGTTCGAGCTATGTTTGGGCTCGCGATTGGGACTTATTTGTCCATGTATCCGGCGTTACTCCTGCCACCCACCCTTCTCATGATTCACAAGAGCAACCGATCCAAGTCCGTCGTTGCTCCGATCATTTCGTATGCCACGGGACTCGGTGCGCTCCTTGCTACGACGCCCATCCTGACCAGCGGGTTCTGGAACTTCCTAGCCTCGTGTTACGGAGTTCAAATAACGGTCCCCGACCTGACCCCGAATGTGGGGTTGTGGTGGTACTTCTTCATCGAGATATTCGATTCCTTCCGAGATTTCTTTGTTGGCGTCTTCTGGTTGCACTTGGTGGGATATGTGGGAGGCATGACCCTTCGACTTCAAAGCCAACCGCTTTTCGTCATCACCAGTCTGCTGGGCTTGTTTGCCATCTTCAAGCCATACCCGAGCATCGCGGACGTCTCGCTATATCTTGGATTTCTGCCAATGTACCAACACGTGCTTCCACGTGAGTATGTCCTTGCAATTTCGTCATCCTGTACTGACAATCCCAGTAACCCGCTACACCTTTATAGCAGCATCAGTACTGCTCTATTCGACCTTGCTGGGACCTGCATTCCACCATTTGTGGATATACGCCGGATCCGGGAATGCCAACTTTTTCTATGCCATCACGCTGGTCTGGAGTTTGGGATTGACCATTCTTGTTGGAGACACGTTGTTCGCTGTCATGCGCGATGAATGGGAGATGGAGAGACCCGAGATGAAGGGCAAAAGTGTACGCCAGATATGAACGCTCAATGGGATCATCGTTTCACTGGCTTCGAAAGAATGATGTGGCTCGGTTCTTTGACGGTGCCGTTTCTCAATTTGCGGGGACCGGGAGAGAAGTCGTCTTCTTCGTAACTCAATTGAGTATACCAACCAACAGCTCGACGATTTGTCCTGAAGACGGTCAACATGATTTTGGTGATGCCAACGTTCTGGCCAATGACCTCGACGATCTTCATCAGTTTTTTGCCAATTCCTTTGCCTTGCCATTCAGGGGTGAAATGGATCTCGTAGACATAGAGCACCTCGTAACCGTCTTCATAGGTTATCATGAAGGAGATGAAGCCGACAAGATGGGAGGTACCATGAAAGAGGATAATGTATTTCATGTCTGGCAGCTTCATCTCCTTCCTCTTCTTCGAGATTGACCACTTTATCTCCGAGTTTTGGTAGTCCTGAGCACTGGTCTCCTCGATTAGTTTCAGGCATGCCTCCAACCACCGACTAGGCACGTTTGCAGCGTCTGCTTGCAGTCTTGACAGCTCGACTTCGGAGTGACTGGTCCCCAGTTCCGTCATCATCAATTCAGGTGGTGCATACTTCGCAAAGAAGTCCGGCGCTGACAGAGCATTCACTGTTTCGACCAGTTTTCTCTCCGCAATTGCCCGACCTTGTGATCTACTCCTTAAGCTCCGGCGCTCCTGGTGCTGAGTATCTGCCATGTTGGGTGTGGCCCGCGGCGCTGATTTATAAACAACGTAGCTAGACATGCAGACGCGGTCTCCGACGAAATATCGTAGTGCCAATAGGACATTTTGCTGCGCCGTAGTAAATGCCGACGCAGCAGCAGATTGGTTGCAACTGCTACAAGGTCCCTGTGTTCCTCCATACAGACATGACATCACGCAGATCTCCGTCTTTTCACGCTTTCAAGCTTCTCCAGCTTCGCATGAAGTAATAATTAATATACGAGGAACAGACTTGAACCAGTCAAACATTCTCCAAGTCTTGCCCGAAGCGGACCCCCTTGTTCAATTTTATGGTTCCCAATGTGATTACGATCACCTATTGGTCATGATTTAACTGAGGAGGTCAAAGAGCATTACAGGACGAAGACTACCCATATTTTACTCTTTCCGCCGGCTGCACCACCAGCCTCCTCCCTCTCACAATGGCCTCCCTATATATACGCAGTCTCCTGTCCTCTGCTCGCCCTCGTCTGCCTTCGTCCTTGACAAGACCCGTCCATCCCTCGTACCGAAGATTGTCCATGGCCAAAATGCACTCCGCTCCCAAACTCAAAGACCCCTCCCTCCTTATTTCCCAAGCCTATGTCAATGGCAAATTCGTCAACGCCGCCTCCTCTGAGACGTTTGACGTCTATGATCCTGGCACAGGCAAGAAGATAGGTTCATGTGCCGAGCTTAACGCAGAGGACACAAACAAGGCCATTGCCGCGGCGGTGGATGCATTCGTCTCCTTCCGAAAGACTCTCCCGCGGGAGAGAGCCACAATGCTGCGAAAGTGGTATGACCTGATGATGGAGAATGCCGATGACCTGGCTACCCTGATAACCTGGGAGAACGGCAAGCCCTTCAACGACGCCAAGGGCGAAATCGTCTATGCGGCCAACTTCTTCCAATGGTTCAGCGAAGAGGCGCCCCGAATATACGGGGATACTATCGGAGCTTCCATTCCGGGCAATAGAATCATGACTTGGAAACAACCCGTCGGGGTCTGCGGTCTAATCACCCCCTGGAACTTCCCAGCGGCCATGATTACACGAAAAATCGGCCCTGCCCTCGCTGCAGGATGTACCGTAGTCGCCAAAACCCCTGGGGAGACACCTTACACAGCCAACGCCATCGCAGAGCTCTCCCGCCGAGCAGGTATCCCTCCGGGCGTGGTGAATATCGTCACCGCCATGAAAAACACGGCGGAAATTGGATTGGCTCTCACCACCGACCCACGGGTTAAAAAGGTCTCGTTCACGGGATCGACAAACGTGGGCAAACTCCTCATGAAACAGTCGTCGTCGACGCTGAAAAAGCTGTCGTTCGAACTCGGTGGCAATGCTCCCTTTATCGTCTTCGACGACGCACCCGACCTAGACGCAGCAGTGGCAGGGGCAATAGCGTGTAAGTTCCGGTCCTCGGGACAGACATGCGTGTGTGCGAACCGAATCTACGTGCAAGAAGGAATCTACGACGCCTTCGCCCAGAAGTTTACCGAAAAAGTCAAAAACTTTAAAGTCGGTTATGGTTTTGACGATGGCGTGACCCACGGCCCCGTCATCCACGACCGCGCAATCGCCAAAGTAGAATCACACGTGCAGGACGCGACGAAGAAGGGCGGTAAAATCCTCTGCGGAGGTAACAAATTGCCCGACCTGGGATCCAATTTTTACGCCCCGACAGTTATCGCCGGCGCGACGAATGACATGAAACTCGCGCACGAAGAGACATTCGGCCCCGTGGCCGGGTTGTTTCCATTCAAGACGGAAAAGGAAGTCGTCGCGCTTGCTAATGGTACCGAGGTGGGGTTGGCGGGATACTTCTTCTCCCGGGATGTTGGACGCATTTACCGCGTGGCAGAGGCGCTGGAGGTTGGCATGATTGGTGTCAACACCGGATTGATCTCCGACGGCGCCGCTCCTTTCGGAGGTGTAAAAGAGAGCGGATTTGGAAGGGAAGGAAGCAAATATGGTGTTGACGAGTATGTCGTCATCAAGAGTGTGACAGTGGGAGGAATCAGCAACGAGTTGCAAGGCTGAAGGGATGGACTCGAAGCCGATGCCACCCGCTGACTGACCAAGAGTGTGAAAAGATGATTCTTCAGTTAGTTCGTCAGATATTTCTACCGGAGGACTAACTGCACAATTGGGCCATGCGGCGTTTTGCCAATTCTCGGCGTTAGGTCACAGTCCGCAATACAAAAAGGTGGGAAAGAAAAGCAAAATGATCATTCTCGCACATGTGGACAGATGCCAGCACGTACATGATGCCTCCCCCTGTTCCCAGACTTCCATTTTTAAGCGTAGTATCGCACTCGATGTGCGGCTGGGAGTGGCATTGCAGCATTGTAGCTTGGAGCGGAGGGGAGAGGGAGGTGGGAGGAGGTGTGGGAGGGGAAAGGAAACGGGAAATGCGAATGCGACAAGGCTCCCTCGGAAAAGGGGGAACAGGTGACCTTGAGAAAAAGAACAATGACAATCACTGACAATAAACCCTTCCTTGAGGCTAGTGAGGTCCAGTTTGACATCCGCGACCTAGAGATACTGGTCTCCACAACTCGCCCGAAGTTTCCAGGCAGGCAGGGAGGCAGGTAGGCAGGCAGGTAGGAGAAAGTAGCAGGCCGAGATCCAGAAACAAGCGGCACTGTACAGTCTGTCTGACTGACAAGAGGAAGGTGATTCACATGTTATGGAGATCGCAGGTGCCCTTCATACCCAATTTTAATCCCAGCTCGTAGCTCGTAATTTTCGCGACAAGCACTGCCACTGTGTAGCTAGCCAGCTAGCCAGCTCCCTCCGGCCCTGGGGCCTGGGGCGTCGGAACCAAAAGAGAAAAGTTTGCTCGCTCTTTCTGAATGATCGGTTCACAGCTCAGTTGTCGTGTCCCGCGGGGGATAGGTCTGCCTTCCCCAAAAAACTTGCTCGTGTGGCGTTGCGTCTTGCCATGCATGTATTCTTGATCCAGATTTCAATGCAGCCTTCTCATCTCAAATCCGTAGGGATGATGACCAGTGCATTGGCGTATAATGGTGACCCGGCGATCTTGTTGCTCGCTCAAAACTCCCTTTTTCCGCTGGGGCAGGCAGCATCCGGAGACAATGGGCAGCATCTTCTCGTTCTCTCTTCGTTTCACCTTCATATCGCTCGTCTTGTCCTGGCCTATTCTTTTGTGTCTTTGAATGAATGCCCACGCAACATCTGGCCCATCTCCACTTCGGCGTAGACTGTCGTCACGCTCTCCAGAACTCTGCTCTTTTTCACACCTTCGCAGGCGATCCTCAGGTATAACGCTGACGTGCCATTTCTCGCGTATTTGCGGCCAACTCGTCCACTTCCTCGAGCTGTTGAGTCACCTTCAAAAGAACAGCTTCACTCTGTTCGCCATATTCCGGATCAGCCTTGACCAACCTCTCATTCCCTTTCGAAGGTCGGACGGTTTTAAGGTCTGACTTGATGGCCTCGATCTTTTGTTCCAAAGCTGCGTTGAGGCGGCCAGACACTTCATCGATCACGTCTTGGAACACCTCGGAAAGAAATCTTCTAAAATCATCGACGAATTCCTCTCTGCTCACCTGCGCTGGCAGAACCTCGTGGCGCTTCCTTGTCATTCCATTCCCTATTTTTGGTTCAACTTCCAACGATAAAGAAACAGATTCTGTTAGCCATACCTGATAATCTTTTGGCTTCGTGGTATGTATTTAGCATACAAGTCAGAACACATGCAAGTCAGAACGTAAGAGCCTTCGTGAGGATCGTTCGCAACGCACCTCATATTCCCCAGTCCCTTGTGATAGCCGTCTTCGGCGTCTTTGAAGGCGCTTCTCATGATTTCCAGCCTGGCGGCAAGAGAATTCAAGAAACTCGTCTGAGCTTGCAGTTCAGAGCATTGATTTGCGTACTGTTCGAAGGCCGCAATGATGTCCCGAGGTTGTTGAGAAGCGGATCAGTGGCGACTTCAGCACTCGAGCCATCTTTCAAAGACGTATCGAAGCATTTTTCGAAAGCCGCATGCATCTCAGTGGCCCAGTCCTTAATTTTCCCTATACACAGTCTAAGCTCACCTGCCTGCTTCGGGAAGGCGCGGGCGCTCTTCAAGCTCGAGGTCGATCCTGCAGGACTCTACCCACGTAGCGAAAAAGGCGACCAGAGCTGGAATCTTCTTTGCCAGAAAAAGATCTGTTGCCTTGAACAGATACTCAGCCGGGAGATCTGCAAGGTGCTGTCGAAGAGCGGGAATGCCACCCAGCTCTCGGTCTCCTTCTGTAGGTGCCCCTCCGGTACATGGCGTTGTCGACACAAAACACTCTGAGCATTCCACCTTTCACATGGGAGCCATATTTCTTCTGCAAGTCCTTTCCCCTTTTTCATTCCGAGTGGTGGTGAGAAGCTTCTCTAGGTTTCGCTCGGCATGCTTCTTCGCTTTCTGTCCTGCCTCTTTTGCTTGTTTCAACTCGCTTCCAAATCTCCTGCCGACCGCGTGCATATAATGGTGATATTGACAGTTGTAGACATCTACGCCTCCATCTTAGTCCGTATGTACCCCAAACCCTGCTGAATTATCAGGCTATCGCAGCCGCGGCAAATTTCCACCACTAAGCAAATATCATCACACTTTGATTGTGCCTTCCTTGCCGCCCTTATCCTGGCGAGCTTTGTGTCACTGAATCCCGGTAGGTCGACCGACGTGAGTCCATTGGTGAGAATGTCAATATCGGGTAAGTATGGGAAGATTTCCCATCAAGGGCCAGAGGCCGCCATCCTGGAGCAATGATTAGTGCTCCTGGCATTCATCTGCATCTTGCGATTCTTCAATGTAGCGACCATCAGACGTCATATCTTGGGGAAACTTCATCTGCTGGCACAATCCTAGGAGATATATCTTAGCCTCACTTATGCTCTCTTCTTCTTCTTCTTCTTCTTCGTCGTCGTGCTTGAGTAGGTCAAGATCGAAATCTTCCTTGTCTCCGAAGATTTCCTCAAATATATTGTGCGCTGCCTTTCTATCCTCGTAAGACTTTGGATCACTTCCTTCGCAGTTCCATTTTGTCAACTGATGTTAAGTCTCGGAGGGAGATCACCGGTATACTCTCCCAGTTCACGCGGGAACATTATCTTGCAGTCCAAGGTGAATGGGGGTCGATGGATAGTTGACGGAAGCGATATTCGGCAGCGAAAGGCGCCACAATAGAGCTACATGCACCAATCCTCGCGAGATCACCTTGATCGAAAATGGAGTTGAGGGGACTGCTCTTCCCAGCACCTGAGTTCCCTATGAAGCCCACGAGTCTTTCCCGTGGGGTCTGGAGACCTGCCAGCCGTTCGGCTTCCTGAAGCAGGCGTTCTGGAGGGTTGCGTGGGCTTTCCCTCAGGACTGCGGCAATCAGAACGGGACGTTTGCTCGTTGAACAGCTGCGAGCTCGAACATGGTTCTCGATAGGGAGGACAGCGAAGTTGGCTTGGCGATGTGGCCGAAGGTTTCGCGACAGTTGCTCCAGTCGGCGATTGACGCAATTGTGACTTTGATCCGATGGAGGGTTGAATGTGGTTGTAGACTAGGCGCTGTGTGATAGACGCCGATAGCTGGCAGGATATTGTTATTCAGGTCGAGAGGGAAGTGAGTCAGCAATGTCCAGGCACTGTTAACTGAAACAAATTCTCCACATCTCACGCCAGTGAGTTTGAGGTAGCAATTCGTGCCGGCTGCTAATGTTGCAGCGGCAATACAGCCCAGCTTAATCAACGAGTTGGACAGCAGTCTTGATCCAGAAGGAGACTGGAGGAAGCACTGCACATCAAAGAGGATGAGGTTTAAAGCGAGAGGACAATGTCTAAGGGGAGCTAAGAGGGAGCGACATGGACAAGGAAGGGGTAAGAAGGTGTTGAGAGGAGGGGTTTAAATAGAAAAGCAAGGAAGCAAGAAATTAAGTACGGACTCGAGAAGGGGTATACATAGAAAAGGATGGAGGTGGGGGAATTTGAACTAGAGCCGTGTTAGAAGGGAAGTCAGGTGTAAATATAAATATATATAACAAAATAGAAACCCTCGTCCCCAAAGCATAGTCGATGTTGTCGCTGTTTCTGTTGGAAGGATGCAGTGGGGTTGCAATGAAATCTCCACGAGCAAGACCCCAGGGGGGTACCATCTCAGATAGGAGGTAAGGGTTGAGCATGTTGGAGGAAGGACCTCAAGCGAACCAACGCAACAGCTCCGCTCCGAGAGGTCATGAAGCTGCCTCTGTTCGCTGATGGGATTGGGATCAGGGGGTGAGCACTCCGTACGTATGGCATGGCATTAAGGCGGTCCGAGTGCACGCCGTTATGTTTCTCTGACTTCCTGCCCGGGATCGGGGCCATAGCATTCTGCAGACACCGATGTACAATACAGGCAAAGAAAGCGAGGTCGTCGAATTGGCTCGGCTTGGCAAGTACCTGCCTAGGTAGGTATGTATCTCCTTTGTAAACCTTGGAAGGATGTCGAGAGGTTGAGGTTCCGTCGAGCGACGAGATCTTTGAGCCAAGCCGAGCCGAGCCAAGGCCCCGCTCAGCGGAAAGTCGACGTGGTCTTCCAAAAAGAAAACACGGGCGAGTATAGGGAAAAAATAAGTGTCACGGAATAGTACCTTAAGAGCGCTCAAAAGCGTCAAGCAATTTTAAAGGCGGGATATCACTCGACAGTGGTTGCACGACTGCCTTTCCTATTTCGCAGCATTGACCACCCCTATATTCGATCTTGATATGTACACCGGGGGGGATGATACCATGCCTGCCATGTCGCATATGATACAATGATCCTGCCCCTTAAATGAGCAGGCCGCGTTCCAGAGTTTATTTCAAGCCGGCCGCGAGTTTTGTGGCAATGACAGACTGTCAAATCCGGGCCTCACCACATGTTCAATCGTAAAACAAACTCCAACTTCGCCATGCCGTGCGGGTTGGTACACAGAGACAAAGTATTAGTTCTCGTCCATAACTTCATAGTCCATCAACGCCAATACTCCTCGTTGGCCGCGAACGGATCACCGACTCGCTGTGCTCTCTCCATCGGCCCAGAGCAAGAGCTTCTAGTGTTTTACTCCGGCCCGACCAAATGGAGCCCCGTTTCGCCTTTTCTTGCACCTCGGGGATGAAAAAGTGCGTGACCGCCGCACCGAGGATCATGCATGCGCTGAAGACCACGAGGATCGTCCCGTAGCGCTTCGTTTGATTGTCGCCCGGTGACGAGGATCCGAACTTGTAGTAGAGAGAAAACACTTGCACCAAGATCGATCCGAGTTTCCCAGAGGCCGCTGCGATGCCGTGGCAAGTACATCGGTAACGAGTCGGGAACAGCTCGGCGGGAATGATGTATGTTGTTGAGTTAGGCCCTGGCCAAGTGTCAGCCACCGTGCTTGAAATGACATCCTTCCTGACTCAGCTGGTGACTTACCGAAATTGAACAGGAACTGTCCAACCACGTATAGTGTGATTGCCAGAGCCCCTTCTTGCTGCACCACAATGAATTCGGTGCCCAATGCAATAAACAAAGCAGCCAGAGCCAGAAACCCATATTTCTGCAGAGACACCCGGTTTAGCCGGGAAGCCGAGAGGATCCACAAAATTCCTCCAGCGAAGCTTCCGGTGTTCAAAACGACCAGCGCCTGCACCGACGTGTCCATGAACATGTTGTAGATGTCAGTATTGGGATCACTATTGGTCTTCCAGATGGGACTGGACGCGGAGATTTGCAAGCTACCCCAGGTCTTGGCAAGAAACTGGGGGTTCGACAGGCCAATACCGTAGTATCCGAAATCCAACAGGAGCCAGCACAGGGACACGGCGACCAGAGTTCTCCAATTTCCTTCGGTCCAGAAGTATTGTTTGATATCTGCTTTCGATATTTTCCAGGATGAGTTGAGCGTTGCTAGCGGTGCTGGAGTCACTGTAAACGAGGGTCTGGCATCGGAACGTTCGTCAAGTGACCGATTGGACAAGTTGGACTCTTCAAGAGAATCACACCACATTCCGATTTCCATCTCGGTGTTCACCGAAGTCTCACCGAACAGCTGGGTGGCGTCAAACTCGGCTTTGACAGGGTCATCTTCGATATCGAGCAGAAATCGAGGGGTTTCCGGGATGGCGAAGCGGAAAAGCAAAGCGATCACTCCCGGCACCACGCCAATACCAATAATCCACCTCCACATGATGTCAACGGACCGCTGAAGATCGTCGTGGTTCGAGTGGCGGGATATGGCGACCACGACGAGTGAGATGAGGTTCCCCATGATCTGCCCAAGCGGCTGCATGAAGAAGACGCAAGCCATCATGCGCGCTCGGTGTTTGGTGGGTGCAAATCTGAGAGACGTTAACTGAACCGAAGCTGCCAGCAACATAACACGACGACAAGACGACTGACTCTGCAGTTATGACGGCGCTCAGTGGATAATCCGCTCCCACCCCTATCCCAACCATGAGCCTCCACCAAATTAACCATGCATAGACGCTCATGCTTTCATTATAGCCTTCAGAGCTCATGACCACCCCCAAGGTTGAAGCAATGAGCAGGAGCAACTCAATCCCGTACATTGTCTTCCGACCTTTCTTGTCGGCGAGGAAGCCAAACGTCGCTTGACCAATGACGGTGCCAGTGAGCGTGACAATGTTGATACATGTCACTCGGTAGGTGGAGACATCTTGATTCCAGTAGACGTAAGAGATCATAGGTAGGGCGATATTCCCGGCGAAGAGCTGCCCACTTGTCAGTCATGACTGCAATTCCAGCAGGCAGAGAGAAGACAGGCATACAGAAAAACCATCCAGGAGGAAGCCAACTCCAGCAACGAGCACTACAACCCACTGGAAAGGCTGTCGGTCGATGGTCTCGTAGATCTGACGTACACGCACATGGCGATCCTAAAGGCGAAGAAGAAGAACATGTCAGACCAACACTTCTCTCGTTTCCAAAGTTCAAAGTCCGAACCCAGGCAAGCCGAATTGAAAGATAAGTGGCACAATCTGACCCAAAATACATGCTCTATCCAGTATAGCAGTAGGCGGCTCAACAACGACGAAGTGGTCGCTATATCGAACCTAGCTAATAGCGTAGATGAAGGACAGAGCGCCCTTGTTTCCAAATGTCAATGGACGCTCATTACCAACGGAGGCCTGCTCCGTTCAAACGGCGAAGGCTTCGAGCGTGCCACTTATTTTTCGTTTAGGCTTGCCAGGGCTTTGCGGTTCTGGGACCTACCCGCTCATGGTCAAAGTCTCTTGCGCGATCAGTCGCATAAAGACGTCCACGCCATCGTCCCATCGTAAGGCTGTTGAGGGTTGTTCAGGCAGAATGGGGCCAAAAGCGAGGGGTCCAGGGATAGATCGGTCAACCCTCCATAGCGCAGAAATGATTTGAGGCCGTGGGAAACAGTAAGCCGCAGGGAAGAGCCTTTTTGGGGGCAGGTTACAACTGTAAGTCTGGAAGCAAATGAGAGGGATTGGAGGGATAGATGTTTGAAGAGGGAATAAATGGGAAGATTTGGGGGGTCGCAATAAGGATGGACACGACGGGTACCTGAATTTTCTTCTGGCTGATGAGACGGACTCGGATATGAAGTAGCTCGAGAAGAATCGGGGGGGGGGGGTTTTCTTTTACTATTAGTGTGCCACCTACCAGTCACCCTGCCAGTCACCCTGCCAGTGAGCGGTGATTTTTCTGCTTCACATGCTCTCAGATCGGGCGCTGTGCAGGGCGTGGAACCACGGCACGCGTGAGATACTGCGTCCGGAGTACCTCGTAGAAAGAAACAGCCCCCCAGCCCTCCCTCGGTGACTAGCCCACTCACCCACTTTGTGCAGTGTCCGGTAAAAGAATTGTCGATGGGCTGTCACCAAAGAGATCCGAACTTGCTTGCACGCTTCAACTAGCCTGTGACCCAAGGCATAGGTAGTCCCTTACCGTAAGTTTCGGGGAGAGCCCACTCCAGATCCATGACCAGACCTAGCTTGGGTGTGATGGGGGGGGTTGAGGGTGCCACAGAAGAGGGAGGAGGAGGGGGAATGATGTATCGGTGAGAGGGTGTTGGTTGTGCTGGTGAACATGGGGCCACCCAGGCCCAGTGAGCCAGTCTTGCCCAGTCCTAGGCACCGTGCTTGGCCGGGTGAGCCCTGGACCTCACTAACCCTGGTTGCCCCTTGGCGAGGTGCTAAAAGTGTGAGATTGCCCAGCTCCCACTCCCACTCCCAACTATCCTCAACGCTGTGGCCCATTCAGCGTTCGCAGCCTCTCCCACGTGGGAAGTGGTCAAGCTGGTCAAGCTGGTCAAGCCAGGGTCCGCAGTACCTAACTTGTTAAGTAGGGACTGCCTAGGGCCCTTCGCATAGGTAGTCAGATGCCGCGACACCTCGCTCACACTTCTCCTCTTTGGTGTCAAGATATAATCCATCCTCTCTCTTCTGACGCCATGTGAGTCTCAGCATCATGCATCTCTCCCCAGCCATCTTTTGCAGAGGAAATCCTCAACCCATTGACCAGAATAGGTCCTGATCCCCGCGCCCGATGCCAGACACCGTCCCTGGAGTGTGCATTATCTGCAGCGTCCTTTGCTTTTTGGTCCAAGTATAAGTATCTTGTTCTACTCGTATTGAATCGTCCGAGCTCCATTCTCCCATATAGATGGACTAGGTAAGATCGGGTACAGCCATATTATCACCAGGTGGGCCACACAGTACTGGAAACGCCTGAAAGCAAAATGGTCTCCCCTCTCCCCTCTCCCCTCTCCCCTCTACTTGTAGTTTCCTAGGTAGGAAAAGGAGAGGAAGAAGAAGAAGAACAAGAAGAAGGAAGCGCACCCGCATCTTCTTTTTGGGTTACGAGACTCCATCATCTGCTCGTCAAACCACTCTCCACGATGGTGAACGTAGGCTGTTTGGCTCGGCCTCGTCGCCTCCGAGGCTTTAGCGAGATCATCGATCGCTATCAGGCAAGGGACCAGGGCTGGGCTCCGTTGTCGATAAAGGGACCAAGAGGGACGGGAAGCGCCCCCCTTGTTCCTCTGCTAGCCGACACTAGAGCCTGCAATCAGCTCGCGCCTCAGCCCACAGTCGTGCCACCACTCATCGACCATCCCACGAGCTAGCCGCAGCCCAGCCTTGACGACCCTAACCTAAATGGCGCCATACCAGTGCTTGGGTACACGACAAACTCGGCCAAGTTTCCGGCCAAAACAACTCATGTCAAAGCGCGTGATACAATCAACAAACCACTTCACATTGTCGGGTCTGGTTTCGAGGCTCTATAATTCAGCCGAGACGCTGAATCATGCCAAAGTATACTCCGTACTTGTACTTGTAGGTCGTTATCGGGTATCCTCGTAATCGCTCATACGCTCACATAACGCGAATTCATGCATCGTCATACCTCGGGATGCGCTCTCATCATCCCTGGAAACCGACGCCGTGACATAACAAGCCGAAAAACTTCTTTTGGTCTAGAATGACAATTAGTGGGGTTGTAAGAGAATAGGTCGAGTTCCATACCGTTGTCGTCAAGGAATGTAATGTGAAGCGCCTTCAATTGTGCCAGCAAGTCGAAATTCGGTCGTAATGAAACAGTCATCGGCCGACCTGTTTTCTTGCTCTGTTCAATGTGATCGATGCAATCAACTGCCCACACGTTAGCAACCTACATGACCGACAAGCACCACATCTCAACGACTCGGTTAGGAAAGAGACGGTTGCAAGGGTCTGACAAAAGTCCAAGTTGATCAATTGACCCGAATCGCGTCCCACTTGGAAATTGATGTGACCACTTTTGTCAGACAGGTTGCCACCGCGACTCGTCCAGCCTGGCATGCTGTGTGGTCGGTGGATACTCACGGGGAACAGTAATGTATCGCTTCTTTTCTTTTCGTTGTGAATTGGCAAAGAAGAGAATGATCTGCTTCCCCGTCCGCGAACGCAGGATGCGCAAATTCTGACTGATGCATTCTTCGCCTCTTCCTTTGGATTTTGCCTCTGCAATACCCGCAGTGAAGACAACTGTTTGACTGAGCAAGGCTTCCTGGAAGTGTACACAATCTAGGAACTGGTCAGAATTTGAACGTGGGCCAGTCAGGGTAGAGGGAAGGAAGCCCAAAGTATCCACGTACCTTCCCATGTTTCAAAGGTATATGAAGGTTGTGCCTGAAACAAGGTCGACGCCATCCGCACATTCTGTTCCTCGAGAAACGATACCCGAGAGATATGGCTGGTGCTTGATGTGACGGGGGTCTCGAGATGGGGAATGGGCATCTTTGTGCCAGGAACTGCCAGCCATCAGTAGGGCGTCTTCTGGGGGTTCGTCCCAACGAACAAGAGTGAATGAATGTGGTTTGCAGGCCCGCCGGGTCGCTCAGCTCAATCTGCTTGAGGTGGCCCGCCACATCTCTGCGAAGTTGGATTTGCGAGTATTTCAACTTGAACAGTTTGCTGCCCTTGCTGAAGGAGCTGTGTCATGCCAGATAGGTGTGTCAATAGGCGCTCTGCATTAAGACCAAGGAGAAACAAAAGCACGAACGAGCCCATGTTGACAACACGAGTGCACGAGGGACGGACACATACATGTTGACCGGCTTCTTCAAAGGGACGTGAACTATCTGTTCTGACGAGCAGCTCGACTGTCGACTTCTGTCGCCGTGCCCCGAGAGGGCTGGAGTGGGCGGCAGATTGAAATTGGTAAAGTGGACGCTGGCAGTATCTGAAGGAGTATCCAACGATGTTATACTATCCTGTCGAGGTGATTTTTGCAAGGGCCAGTCGGTCGTGTCGAGGAAGTTGGACTGGCTGGACATGGCCGCCGGTCCGGTTCCACTGACAGGGCTTTAACTGCCAGTCCTCGGGCAAGGTTTTGTTCTAGAAGACTAGAAACCAACTGCCAGTCGGAATAGGGATCGTCCAGGTAGGTAACCAAATTATGATTAGCTCAGGACGAAGGCCGGATAGAGGAGACTCTGTACAGGACGCTGCGGATTGCGGTGAACAGTCGCAGGCAGAAGAAAGTCTCAGTTGGAGCCATTATTCAGGAGTGAGATTCGAAAGCAGGCTCCAGATGGCAAAATCGGGAAGGATAAGATATCTCCTGAGAGCGAAATGAGCTCTCGAGCAGGCCATTCTGCGGACGAGGTACTTGCCCGCAGCCTGGGGACATGGTGGACATGGTGGACATGGTGGCAGCTGGCGACGGCGATTTGTTGAAGAAGACAAGAGTAGTATGATGAGTGGGCTGTGATGGACATGGCAAAACATGGCTAGGCGGAGTGGCATATGGAGGGAGCGAGGAACGTGGTTGAGTGTGTGGCCAGAAAAGCTCGACATGGGAAAAAGGGCCTAGGCTCCTCGCCCTCTCTGTCCTCTCAAGTAACAACTCCCATGCACGCCCGCTGCATGCTCGGCTGTTTGTTTGGTCGATGCACAGGTATTGCCTTGGGGCGAGTTATCTGACCATGTGTTTGGGACGAGCTGTGCCTGGACACCTACCTTGCCTGTGTCCGGCGTAGGTTGGGGAGGAGGAGAGGCACAACCTACGTACGTGAAACCGCCTGTGCTCAGCAAGAGAACTCGGAACGTACCCCTCGTCTCCCCTCTCTCCTCGTCCTGCTCACCCTCCTCTACATAGCAAGCCGGATGCAAAAATACGTGGCACAGTGTGCACAGTTGAGTCACGGAAGATGTACCTCAAGAGTGCTCAATAACGTCAAAGCGGCTGCGATGTCGAATATAATTGACTATATAGGATGAATGACAGAGGGCCACTAATATTCCTAAAGGTAAATAACATACTTATTGTGATTGAAGGGCACCGTCGATCTAATAGCGAATCACTCTAGACCGTGCCACTTGCTAGGTACTTATCCTTCTAAAAAGTCTCCCCTCCCCCCCCCCAGTCGCCCAGCTCGCCAGGTACCGTTTTTCTCCCTTCCACTCACAAAAAGGAACCGCTGTGGGGCCTCCACCGCTGACTGCGTAACCCGCCATGGCCCATTGCAAACCCCCGATTCGTATTCTCACCCGTTCGAGGCAAATCGAGAGGCTAGGGGGCCTATGCCGCCTTCAGCACCATCGCCGGCACGTGTAGTCCGGGAGTGGGAACCGACTTGGACGGAATATACAATATGGACCACAACTACATCCATAACGACGTAAAAGGAAACAGCGGCAGGCAAGGCTCTGATCATAGTCACACTCAAGGAAAGATTCCGCGACAGCTTGAAGCTGATTCAACATTTCATTCGTGTGTCTTTGTCAACAAGATAGAAAACACGATCAGCAGACCTCCTGAGACATGTGAAACGGAGTAAAGTAACCTCTGATGCCATGCCCCTCGGTAAGCTTGGTTCTGTTCAGGGTGAAAAAGAAACCAAACCATGCTGTCCTGCCTGTTCGTGCTACAGACATCAAACCTGTATGTAATAATTGGTTTGGAAGGCCCTGAGGCAATTCTCTGTGCGTCCGTTTGAGTCCCATAACCATCTGCCAACCAACAACCGACCCCGGGATGCAATTTATCAGCCCTCGTGTCGGGCATTTTAACGATCGTCTTGCCGAGCGAGATATGAATTGCTGCTGATCAGGAGGAAGAATGGGAGGAGGAAGAAGAAGAAGAAGAAGGAGAAGGAGAAGAAATAATAATCGATGCTGATAACCTATGTCTTCCCATTCTAGCACCGTCCAGGTGCTGGCGGACTCTCGGCGAGAACCGCCTCCTTTTTGATCACCCCATCCTGAAAAGAATGTCTCTGTGCGCATTTAGTTCGCTAGCTAACGGGTACCTCGCTAGGACGATTGTGTTGCTCGACTGATTGTTTCGAATGTTTCCAAATGTAGTCGGCCAGTTCGTCACAAGCAACCACCTGGTACTTTCCAGTTTTGGCGACCTTCAGATAAGGGTTCGATGTCTTGCTGCAGATGATACTGATGTCTTGGAGATTTTCAATGGCTTGTCGGTCTGCATCGTCAATATCAACCGACATCTCGAGATTGCAATCCTGAGGAGAGGAGTTAGTGCAAATCTCCAAAGGACGTCCATTGTCGCTCAACTCACACATTTCCATGTGAGACGACGATGCGTCTTTGGCGGTTTGGGTCTAATCAACTGGTTGATTAGATCTTCTAGCCGGTCCCCACTGCCAGAATCGCCTTGTGCACCAGTGGCGGAAGACTGCTTCGCGGTTTGCAGCGGGGGCGGTGCCAGGTTGTAGCCTCGTCGTTCAGGAGGTGTTGGAGGAGGTTGAAGCTTGCTCTCAGGCGAATCAGGGACAGCAGATCCAAGCGCGGCTGCAGCAAGGGCCGGGGCGATTGCTTGTCCAGCAGTGGTGCTTCCAGGCGCGGGCTGGAGTAATGGCACAGAGGGAGCACGTGGGGTACCATTGGGGCTCATAGTGTTACTGAGACGGCGAGCTTCGCGTGGGCTGTCGAGCTTGGGATAATTGCTTTCTGATTCTGGCCTTCGGGAGGACGCGCTCAGAGAGGGAGAATGCTCTGGGTCGCGAGAGATACCGTCAGAACTGGGAGCATCAGTCATGGCGACGTCTCGGTCCCTGGCCGAGTAAGGTCTTTCACTGATGGTGGGGGGCTGGTCCACAAGGACATGACGGCCATTACCCGCGTCTTTGATGATACCCTCTTGGAGGGCCCAATTCGTCAGATCTTCATCCTCTCGTTCCTCTTTGGCTTCGACGATGTCACGGGAGAAATGCCCTCCGACATGCTCCATGCGCTCGTTCCAGCTACCTTCGCCTTCAAAGACCCTGCCACAGAAGCCACAGGTGCTGCGTTGAGGAGGCTTTCTCTTCTCCATCCAGCAGCGGCTGCGCACCTCTTCGAGACTGTCTTCGAAGGCTCTCCAATCCTTGTCGCCGGCGTTGCCAGGCGTGATGGGGCCTGAACCTGGGCCAGTCTCGGGCTTGTGCATGCGTCGATGATGCTGGGTGAAAAGATCCTTCCGATTGAAGTCATTGTAAACGCGCTTGTGGTTGGGAACATTGCTGTTTAAGTCAGGGTTGCATGAGCCGACATCGCAACGGTAAAATCCTAGCTGAAGATGCTGAATTGAGACATGGCGCTTCCATTCGTTCTTGGAACTCAAAGCAACGTCGCAGCCGTAGTGGGAGAACGAACAGATGAACTTGCGCTTTGCCGGTTCCGATCTCTTAGCTCCAGAACCGGGTGACTTTCGTGCGCGAGGCTTCACCACGCGGCCAGGGTGGGTATCCGAACCCGAAATCGACTGCAACGAGTCCTTTCGGGGGCGTGGTTTGATGATGCGATCTGATGGGCTTCCGCGCAGAGATGCAGAGGTGATGTTGATGTTTGTATCGGTAGCCATGTTGGATGAGAAGATGGACAAGTGACTTGTGGTGGTGGTTTGTGGTGAGTGTTGGGGGTGAGAAGCGGAGTTGAGCGAGTCAACCGACGAGGCGTGGCAACAAGGCGCGAGCAGACAAGGCTTTCGGACTCGGGTCACTGTGGCGCCTCAATCGACATGGACCATCTTCTGGCTGTATAGTCGGTGTCGAGAGAGGGGGTTAAGGCCTGACACGGTCAGGTTGGACGATGAAATTGATCAAGGGATGGATGGACTCCAACCAGATAAACAGTCCCGCGACCGAGAAAGCTGGGATCGAATACGAGCTTGTGAAAATTGTGGCGAGAGCGCCAAGAAGACAGTGGGTGAAAGAAGTGTGCAAAAAGGGAAACGCAGACGCAGAATTCACGCGAGAGATGTCTGCTCTGACGTGAATTGCAGGAATCTGATGAAGACGCGGCGGTTGAAGAGCGCGATAAGGGCGAGCAGGAGAGAAGGAAGAGGAAAAGGTGGGAGGGTGAGAGGAATTCGAACGAAGAGGGCGAGGAGGGGATGCTGCAGCAAGTGTGCAAATGAGAGAGATAGTAGAGGGGGAGGAGGCTAGGAGGCTAGGAGGCTACAGTAGGAGGCTAGGAACAGCACAAGGCTTTAGCCTGAAATAAGGCTGCGGAGGAGCCAAGGACCCTTGGGCCTACCTTGGGCCTTCTCTGGAGGGGCTTGACTCGGGGGGTTGTCGCAATCAGCCTCAGGCATTTGGTCAGGCTCTCGGTCCAGCATCGAGTCAGGCTCCAAGGCCCAGACGCTCCCGGGTCTGTGACTGGCTGCGCCTGGCCTTGGTCGACTCCCCCTCCCCGAAGCAACCTTCTTTTTCTCCTCGTGCTGCTCTCCATCTAATTACCATCCAGACCACCGAACCAGCACGTGTCAGTGCAACCATGGCCTTGACCATCAATAGCAATTGCACCATCGATCAATCAGTCAATCAGTCAATCAGTCAATCAATCAATCAATCAATCAATCAATCACCTCATCCTCTAACACCCGCAGCCTTCCTCGAGAAAATCTATCACACCCGCAGCCACCCTTATCGTGCACAAATTTGCACAACCCGCCGAGTAATAGTGGCAAGGCCAAATGCCAGCAGGCCTTTCAAATCCAAATGGACAGAGATCTGCCGAGGCTGCACGACAAGGTGGTGCGAAAGCCACCCAGCCAGCCAGGCCACGGCAAAGGAAAAGAGGGGGCAGCCCAACCAAAGGTGGCTCGGAAGTGTGCTGTGACAGGCTCTGACAGGACAAGGCTTTGGAGAATGGCCAGTCAGGGCGCCACTGGCTGGCCAGGCTAGAGGTTGGCCATCCCACAAAAAGATATTGCCTCCGAGAAGGCTAACAAGCAGACCAATGGTGATGGCAAACGGACTCATTGCCCCCCTACAAGAGGGCGAACCAGCCCATCAGCCCATCAGCCCATCAGCACCAAATGCTATCAAAGAGATACGAAGATTAAGTGATTCGAGTCGGCCATCCATCAATCACAGGCTACCACTCGACCTTCCGAAAAGTGCTTGCCACCACTCACCGTTGCATCTCGCGTTTGCCTCACTACCACCGTGGTCACTGATGCTCCATGCTCCGTTTGGGGCGAATCTTTTTCGGATGACGATGTGGCCTCGTAAGTGTACTTATGATCCAATGTCTTCCAACGCCTCTGGCTTTTTGCTCAGCCTGGTCTCTTGACGTGTCCCCCCAGGTTTCAGCCTGGACAAGGCTCGAAGCCTTGCCCCAAACCCGACCACCAAGGCTGATTGCGGGCCTCACCACCCCAACATGGGGGCTGAGTACTGAGTACCCAGTAGTCCTTCTTGACATGAGATTTTCAGTGCCGATGTGCCGCGTGTGAGTTGGTCAGACTCGACCATCTCACCCCCGGCCTATGGCGCACCCTTCGAGACTTGTGTGGGTTTCTCGGTACTAATGCACCGACCAGCCTGTTTGCACTCGGCGCAGGACGTTCATCATGGCTTTTCCACCCGTACTCTGTCTGTCTGGCAAAACGTGTGAATGCGACGAATATTCTAGCCGCGCCTTGGACAACATCTTGAGCGCCGAGCAGCGTTCCCTGGCCACCTTGATAGCGGCATCCCCAGCCACATGTCGGAATCCATTACTGGGTACCCAATACCGGGTACCTCGTACTGGGTAGATCTATTGCACCTTCCTTTTCTGATCCTGGAACCTGGAATGGATTTCGCGTTATCGGGAGTCAAGAAGCCACGACTGCAACCACCATCACAATCACAGCATTTAAACGACTCTGGGTCCCACCAGCAGCCCGGCGCACGAAATTGGATCTTTGCCTAAGCTGATACGGAACTGCTCTACCTCGTACCCTGCCGGCGGGAGATTGCCGCCCCAGTGCCCCCTCGCCCCCCCCCAGGTTCTCTCTTTCCATTCTTTCGTTCGACCTTCCTGCACTGGGGCTAGCCTTACCCCGCACTGCGCCGTGCACAGACCCTTTGACCTGCTGGCGGCGCGGCTTCAGATTTTTCACCTTTTTGACTCGTGGGAATTTGGCGGCCTCCGAAGCGAATGTCCCACTGATGCGCGGAATTTCGGTTGCAGGTCACGTTGCATGCGCTAAGCGAAAAATTTGCTGTCATGCTGGCACTCTCCGGAAAATTATTTCTCCATTCTCCGCACTTCCACGGACTTGTCGGCAGGGCAAGGCAGGGCTGTGGTTCAGCCTTTTTGCAAAATTCTCTGCCCTTCTCCGCCTGTTCTTTTCTCCTACGTAACTCATTCCTCCTTCGACCATTCCATGACACATAGTTGATTCTTTCCTGGCTACAACATCCAATCTTTTTTATGTCTTCTGACACTCGCCCTGGAAGTTTCAGCACTTCCAGAATTTTTCAGGCGCTCGTGATCAAGAAAAGAATTGATGCAATGCCCAAGTTTACCAACAACTGATGTCACCCCTATGCTGTCGCATGAGGCGATGCGGAGCCACAGAGCATGCGTGTTGATTTTTCACCAATCGTACCACTGAGATCTCTTTCTGCTCGCTTGATCAAGCTGAAAATTTTCCCTCGTTGCTCCCTGACGTTCTAACATGGATCTCCTCTACCCCGGATTTCGTGCTATAAAAGCCCCTGGTCTCCATCGGAACCTGGGGCTGGTCTACCACGCAGAACAAGCATTGACACAAGCATTCCACAGTACTTGCACCTGAAAGCATAATCTCTCCTACAGATCTCAGGACACCAATACCTAATATCTCGAACCTTGAAAAGCAACAAGACAAGCCAAACTTCATTCACAGCTACAAAGCTTCAGCAACCAGCGTTCGACAGCTCGAGCCGTCCTCATTGCACTACCACTGTCACTCAAGACTACATCTTTTTCCGTTTTCCTTTTTTTTTTAATAAAAAAAAACCAAAAACAAAACCAAAAACGCCAACAATGTCCTCTACGGGCCGTTCATCTGTCTCCTCCAATGCTTCTGCATCCTCCATCCCTGAACCCTCACCTCGCCAAGTCTCGTCAATCTGCTATCCCAAGGGCAAATGGTACGACTGCCTTCGTCCAACTACCACACCATACGCAGGATTTGGCAACATGACCAACTTCGCCAGCATGTCTGGCAAGGAATCTTCTGACGAGGCTGGAGAGAATTGGACGAGGGAAGTGTATGGCAAGATGAAGTAACCCCTGTGATCAACGAAGGAATGGACTTTTGTGGACGACACTGGAAATGTGAGATTTGTACCGACTACGATTTGTTACTTGGAGTGTAATTACGACTTGTGGCTTCGGATGATGCTGGGACACGAAACCCTTGACGACACCTTTTCGTCAGGCATCCCACGGCATAGGGCTTGGTATTGGCCCTCATGCGTGGTCCTGCGAAGGGACTTTGATTTGTTTCACTGACTGGCATTTGAGCAATAGGGGAGTCGCTTTTTCACTGGGTACTCCTCTGGCGTTATAGGAAAAAGGCCTTCTTCACGAACGGGTTCATATGTACCTTCCCTTGGGCGTTCTGTCTGCAAGCGCTGGGCATTCATGAGCATGCATGGAATCGGGGACACCCAGGCAATCGAGTGTAGCCAGTCTACATGAGCGGTCCACGCTGAATTTGCAGCCCATCATTACTTAATCAAGCAAGCTTCGAGACGATTCTCCTTTGGAATGACGCGCCGATCCTTTGAAAATCTTGTCCTTTTACTGGTATTTCTCTCGCCACGCGCCTTTTACACAATCGATCGTTGCAAGTAGCTATATTCCACGTACATTGACCTGGGAGGGACTAAAATGACATCAGTCATTGCGTTTCGCCACCATCGCCACCACCTTCGCCTGTAGCCCGATCAGTGTGGTCATGAGCCACGCCGTTGGTCCCATTCTTGATCTCTTCCGCCTTGTTAATAGGGGTCGACGCCGGCTCAGCCATATCCGTCATTTCCGCGTCTTCGGTTTTCGAGGCCGTGTTTTCTTCTTCTGGCATATCTAGTCCTGACTGTCGCGTCGGTTGCGAGATCTCGGGCGCTGCCGTATCGAACTTTGTCTCTCCTTCGTCTTGCGTTTCTGCTTGCGCATGGTCGTCGCCGTCTGTTTTCCGCTCCGCAGACCCGCTTCCGTCGCCTTCGGCCTTGTCTTTGTCCTTGTCGTCTTCCGCTTCCGCTTCGACCTCCCCGCCCTTTTCCCCGTGGTCTTCGAGTGTATCCGTCCTCAGCAGAGCCTTCAAGTCGCCACCATATTGCACCCTCTCGCACATGACGAACCGATTCTTGCTGGCCCGCAAGGCCCTCCACACCTTTCCGGCCTTCTTCTCCTCGATCTCTCTCTTTTCTTCCTCCGTCATCGCGAAGTCCATGTCTAGGTCATCCCTCTCGATTTCTCTGTAGTATTCCTCTAGACTTGGAACTCGATGGCGTTGGGAAGGATGCTTGAGAGCTTCGAGGGGTTCGATTTTTGAGAGGAACGCGAGATCGGTTGCTTCGGGTGGGTTGACTAGGGGTGCTCGCGCGGACTCGATAAGTTTTGTGAGTGTGTCACGCGATTCGATGTAGATTTGCGGCGTCACCCCGTCTCGCGATATCGACGGGCAGTTCTCAGCCTTCCACCGCACCCAGTTTTTGTCTCTCGACAAGATCGTGTCGACCATGCGGTAGTAGAATTTCCCTTCATTGCCGTTTCCGCCTTGTTGTAAGTAAGCTGCGATCTGAGAGCGAGTAGATTGTGCCCATTTAGTATCTTCTTCTGAGAGGATGTAGGAGTATAGCACAGATTTATTTGTGAGCCCTTCGAATTTCGCTTTCGCAATCGGAGAGAGGCTCAGCAGGAAGTCGACCATGATCAGAGCTTGTACCAGGATGTGTCGGCGGAAGGCAATGTCATGGATTTCAAGATCGAATAGGTCTCTGTTAGTTAGGTATTTCGGGTTGAATGTTGAAGTTGAGTTGGACGTCGTGTCAACATCGTTGCGTTTGCGCTTAAGTCCACGCTTCACATCAGTCGGGTTTGTAGACGGAGCAGAACTATTGGAGACTGATTTGAAGCAGGAGAGGGTCTGAGCGATGCCGTCTTTGAACGCAGCCATATTGGAGGAATCGAAGAGCTTCGTTGGGGAGGAAAAGAAGGATTGGAGAGACCAGAATTTGGGATATAGAGCGTCGAGGTCGGGAGGCTGCTCTTTGGGCTCGGATTTGGCAGTCTTAGGGATTGGCGTACCTCTTGCTGCCTTCTCGTGGTCTTGGGTCTGGCTACTTGAAGCAGGCGTGTGGGATCCGGAGGTCGCTGGAGGAGTTCCGGCGTCGAGTTCCATGGGCTTGATAGCATCTTCTGACTTGACGGGGGTCGGATCGAAGGTAGTAATATTCTCCACATGAAACTCTCCACGCAAGTTGACCGAGCTCTTGTCACCTAGAGGGAAGCTCTGGAAGAGGAAGATGAAGACGCGACCGCAAAAGACGGTGTCCTCAGCCCGTGACAGCCTCCTGAGCAACTCATTGCAGCATCTGAGAATGACCAAGTTCTTCTGTTTGAAATGTTTCGCTGTCATCCTTTCTCTTCGCGATTCAAGGTAATCAAAAACCTTTCTGCAGCCTTCAATAGTCTGACTGTCCAGCAGCTCCTCGACGAGCCAAAAGCCGAGACCTGGTTCGCATAATTCGTTGTCGGATAGGATGTTGATTACGTCAAGGAGGACCCAGACCTGGGCGAATGCTGGCTCCGAGATGTCAATTGATGCAACGATGTCGACAACGATGTCGCGACAGACTGTTTCGACTGCGGCATTGTGTATCTGAAGCGCCTCCGGAATGATATCGACGCGGATTGTTCTGATTTGGTCGACCAGCTCCGCGCAGTCGGTCTCGAGGACGGGGGAATCGATGTCACCATCCTCTCGCGCTCCGGTAAGATTCTGGATACATGACTCGATCAACGGTTTGTAGGTTGCGACGCAGGGAACGGTTGTGGTCGCCATGCCGTCGTGGAGCCAAGGGAGGAGGTATGAGGGTGGTGGCAAGAATGGATGCTGTTGTTCGCTTACATCGAGGAAACAATCCCCACGCAGACACTGACAAAAGCGGAGGAGGCAGGTCTATCCACTAGAAAGACATCACGATAGAAGTAAGAATGTAGATGTTGTTGTTTACTGGTGCGGGCCAAGGAAGATGCGACCTGAGGCTCTGCGGAGAAATTTAATGTTTTTGAAACGCAGTTACAGACCTGCAAACTCCGCAGAGGTCGCAGTTAAATTTGGCTTCGCAATCCTTTCCGTCCCCGTCATCCGTATGTTTTCACGGTAAATGGGACTTCAACTACGGCCGGCGATGGCTCCAGCCCTCGATGTGCAAGCCGATGTCAGCATCCAACGCGAAGTTAGTGTCAATCCGTGGGAAGAGCTGGCTAGAAAACACTGGTGGGACAAAAATATTACACCTGCAAAGGCCAAACCAGAAGTGATCAAGGCAGCAATTTGGGATCCTCTCGAACAAGACTCGTTTCCCTGCACCTCGCTCGCCATTCTTGAGAAGTACCAGATTCTCGAGAGATTTCTCTGGCCGACCTTCTCGGCAGACTCTTCCAACCACCATGTCTTGCTCATTGCAGTCTTCTTCAACGTGAAGCAACGGGCTCGTCTCCACGACTGGTCCTTGTTCAGCAATCGCCCAGCAGAGTTTTCGGGCTTATTTCGTCGAATACTCTCCTTGAACCTCGACTCTTCGCTCTCTGTATTTTCCCGCTTGTCTCTCCTCCATTTCGTGCTCGGCGCATTCCAGTCTCTGGAAAATGATCAGGTCCGCAAAGAGTGTGCACCGCTTGTGTCAATTGCAACATGGCAAAATATACATGATGACAGGACAAGAGAGAGGCTGTTGGAGGCAAATCCAGCAAGGAGAAAGGCATGGAGAGCCTCTGCGCGAAAATATGATGCGGCAGATGCAGAAACTCAAACTCGTTTGCGGTTTGATCGAGCATGGCTGTATACGATGTCGATTGATTTCATCGCAAGGCTCAACGCATCCAAGTTGACCCACTCTCAGGAAATGGTCTACTGTGAACGCTTTCTTGAATTCCTGATCGACCTGACAAGTCAATTACCCACCAGACGATACACGAATCCTCTGTTGAAAGACCTCAACATTATACCCATAATTCGAACATCAAAGCTGTATGAAAGAGAAGATGCTGTCCTTCTGCATGATTTGACCATCCTTCTCGAACATTTCCAGACTTTTGCAATTGATGAACTGGGAGGCACTGAAGGAAACCATGATGCTATGCGCAAAGCCCATTATCAGGCATTGGAGAGGCTGCAGCGAGTGGCCCTCCGGCATCTTGAAGACAAACTGAAAGTTCTTGCACTGTCAAACTTTGGATCGATCGACAAAAGAAGCGAGCTAGAGTCTCACTTTGCTGCGTTGACGGACTCTGAACTGCAGGAACTATGTACACAGCTTGGGCTCCGAACTAGCTATCCTCCGTCTGCCGGAATCGCTGCGACCCGTACAATTATGATGGAGACTCTCTTGACATCCTTCTCCAGGCCTCGAGATTTCCGTGAGGCTGTGAGCCATTTGGCAGTCCTACCCACAGCCGACTCGCTATATGACCCAGCCTTGCTGGGGATCGAGCATTATGACGGTTCTCGGCCGCTTGGAATTCCCAAATTGAACCTGCAATATCTCACCCTCAGCGACTTCATGTGGCGTTCATTCCAGCTCTACCAGGCCGAAGCTTACTATGGTATAAGGAAGGACATGGAAAGCATTGTGAAGCGGATGAAGCCGAAAGTTGCGCGAGACCGAAGCAGCATAGTATTTGAAGGGTTTTCGAAGATGGCTCTACCGATTGGAGAGCCTGCAGTCATTGAAGTCGGTCCTCCAAAAGTTGGTCACGTCAAGCCTAGTTTCGTACGGGCGGAAGTGATTTTGGATGTCAGCCGCCTTACGGACGGTATCAGAAGAGAATGGGACAATCTCAAGCCCCATGACGTTGTATTCCTACTGGCAGTGAAAGCCACCGACGATTCTCGACTTCTTACCAATGGTCATTCCGGAAATCAAAGTGAACAAAGAATGTTCACCAGTCTAAGAACCGCTGAAGTCGTCCAAGTCCTGGACGATAATGGGCGAGCTCTCAGAGATACACAAACAAACGGCTATACCTCAAGGCCTCGACGGAGACGTCTCTTACTTGACTTGGACGCAAGTTCCTACGGTGTCGACAAACTAAAGCCAGGCCGAGTTGCGTCGGACACCGCGTCCCTGAATATTATCGCTCGCCGCCAAGGACGGGAAAACAACTTCAAGCCTGTTCTGGAGACAATCCAAGCTCTGGTCTCTTCAGGGACTGTGCTTCCATCATGGCTGCAAGAAGTGTACCTGGGTTATGGTGACCCACTAACTGCTTCATTCCCATCTCTTTCAAATCAGATTGACTCCATAGACTACCTGGATACATTCCTTGATTGGCAGCACCTGTTGGACAGCTTCCTAGGGAAGACTGTCGAAACTGGAGCTGGTCAGTCCGCTCCCCTCGATCCACCTTACGTCCTTCAACGTGCCACGAACACTTCAGATGAGCCCCCAACAAACCCGAAGAAGAGACGTCGCGATCAGATGGAGCAAGACTCATCCACTGTCAAGGTTCTGACCTACAAACCCCGCAACACTGGACCATACGCGATGGACATCCCTAGGAAGAACTCGGTCCGCTTCACGCCGAAGCAAGTGGAAGCCATCATATCGGGAACGCAGCCTGGTCTTACTGTCGTGGTTGGCCCCCCCGGAACGGGTAAGACCGATGTCGCAACGCAAACCATCAACTTGCTCTACCACAACTTTCCGTCTCAACGCATCTTGCTTGTTGCTCATAGCAATCAAGCGCTCAATCAGCTTTTCCAAAAGATTATTGCACTTGATATTGACCCTCGCCACCTGTTACGGTTGGGTCATGGAGAAGAAGGGCTTGACACGGAGGAGTCGTACGGGAAATATGGTCGAGTTGAGTCTTTCCTGGAAAATCGCCAATCTTATCTGTTCGAAGTCAGCCGTCTTGCCGCTTCCATTGGCACTGAAGGTGCACACGGCGCTTCATGCGAGACGGCAGATTATTTCAATCAGGTCTTCATCAGACCCGCTTGGCAACGATTCTGGGATGCTGTCAATGCAGAAGATGCCACCCTCGAAGCTGTACTAAGTGCATTCCCATTTTACAAATACTTTAGCAATGCCCCCGTTGCAACGCTGTTTCCTCCCGACGCCACGATGGAAGAAGCGCGGGAGGTCGCATCTGGCTGTCAGTATCATATGGACAAAATCTTCTCGGAGCTAGAGTCAATTCGGCCTTTTGAAATCCTGCGCAATGGCCGCGACCAAGCGAATCACCTCTTGGTAAACGAGGCACGGATCATTGCCATGACATCAACGCACGCCGCCATGAGGAGATCCGAAATAGTTGAACTGGGCTTTCACTATGATACTTTAATCATGGAAGAAGCAGCACAAATCACCGAAATTGAAACCTTTATCCCATGCGTGATGCAAGAGCCGGACCCTAAGACGGGCGAACTGCCCTTGAAACGAATCATCCTCATAGGAGATCATCTGCAGAATTCCCCCATTATCCAAAACCTGGCTTTACGCCAATACGCCAACTTCGAACAGTCCCTTTTTCTTCGTCTCGTCCGCCTAGGCGTCCCGACCATCCATCTCGACCAACAAGGCCGCTGTCGCCCTTCAATCGCCAGCCTCTTTAAATGGCGCTACAACAGCCTGGGAAACTTGCCTCATCTCGTCTCGCAGCTGGAATTTTCACGCGCAAATGCTGGCTTCCGCTACGAATACCAATTCATCGATGTCCCCGACTACCAAGGGACTGGTGAGCGTGAACCCACGCCTCATTTCATCCAAAATCTCGGCGAGGCTGAGTACGCTGTAGCGTTGTACCAGTACATGCGCCTCCTGGGCTATCCGTCACGCAGCATCTCGATCCTCGCGACATATTCTGGCCAGAGGGCGTTGATCCGTGACGTGCTGGAGCACAGGTGTAAAAACAACTCGCTCTTCGGCATGCCGAGGACAGTGACGACGGTCGACAAGTACCAAGGTGAGCAGAATGACTACGTCATCGTCAGCATGACGAGGACCCGCTCAGTGGGATATCTCAGAGACATCAGGAGATTAACGGTCGCGCTGTCGCGTGCAAGGCTTGGATTGTACATCCTCGGCAGGAAGGAGCTGTTCGCAAGCTGCTTTGAGATGAAGCCTGCTATGGACATCTTACTACAGAGACCGACCAAGTTAGTTGTCACCACCGGGGAGATGTTCCCCTCTGCTCGCTTACTTGAGGACGAGGTGGAAAATACGTCAGAAATGGAAGGAGTGGAGCACCTCGGTCAATATGTTTATGAAATGACCCAGGCAAAGGTCAAGGCGTCGGGAGGACAGGGTAACGTCCAGATGGAGGCGGACAGTCAAGGTGGCTATGGAGCTGAGGAGGCGGAGGAACTTGGCGCTGATGTGGGTGAGGAGGATCCGTTGCATGAGGTCGTCTAAGTCCACTAGATGGTGATGAGAGTCCAAAAGATACCCAAACACTTGAAATTGATTCATGCGATTTTTCATATCGCCGCTGGGCCTAACATACTGTACCTGTACTTGGGAGGGACGGCAGCACCAGTTTTCAACGCCAATTCGCTAGGGTTAATGGTGCGTTCCCTTGACTCTATCCAGCAGCCACTTCTTTCTGCGTTACCTTCTTCCTCCCCTTCCCCTGCTGCCCATCGCGCTTGACCTTCTCCAAGAGATGGACCCGGCTGTTTTCTTGCTCCAGCTTCTTCTGTCTTTGTCCTACCTCGCTCCAGTTAGCCGTCGCCCATTCCAAGACCTCGTCAAATCTGCCGGCTTGGTATGCCATTCCGACCTCATCTATTCCTTCGAGCCTCTCGTGCCCCAGCGGATGCTCTTCACGCTTTCCTACAATCTCTCTCTTCATCCCTTTCATGACATACCCGATCTCAGTACCTTCTATCGGCAGGTTCTTCCTGATCTGAGCCCATAGCTTATCCACCTCGATCTGACGGACCATTTTCTTCTTCCTCTCTTCAAATCTGTTTGCAAAATCGGCACCAAAGAACTCCTTTGCGTCCCCGATGACGTCTTCTCGAGTCAGGAACGCAGATTTGCCCGGTGGGTCGTCGATGTGAGCAGGAAGGTAGGTTTCAAACCAGTACGCGAAAACCGGTCGTTTGGCAACGCGCTGACGGTCATTTGCCTTCAGAAGCGCACGGCCTGTAACGGGACCTTCTGTGGTTTCCGCCTCTTCTCCTTCCTCGACAGGTTTGGTCCGATCTCTCCAGCGACCCGGATCATGAAACCTACAACTTGACACATAGTCCATCATCTCGTCCAGACCCCCAAACATCCGCCAATACCTTTCTTTATCCAAACCCAAATAGTCCAAGACTGTATCCGGATCGCTGGTCATCAGGACCCGTGCTTGTTCCTTGTTATGCTTTTCGACTTCTGCTATCCGCAGACAGAGTCCTTTGGAGGCAGGGGTAAGGCCGAAGCGACGGACGATCATCCCAAGCATTTGCCAGAAGTCACCGTGCGCTCGCAAGAACATGTGCCAGTGGAAGTAGGCGGGCGTAGGCGCGATGTTGATGTCCAATTGGATATGCTTCGGGGTCGAACTATTAGGAGGCGTGGATACGGATGAGGACGTGGGAGGGTAAATGGTGGTGGAAGAGTTAGCAGTTCGATCCGGAGCGGTTTGGCTGGGATTGGCATTGTCTTTCACGGGGGTGTCCGGTCTCTCCTCTTGATCGGAATGATGCTCATCCGATTCTCCTTCCCCAAGTTCACCGTCGTGTGAACCTCTGCTCATGTCACCCTCCGATACAACTTGGTCTTCAAATTCCTGGGGCCATCTCAGCGCAAGACTACACGTCGAATTCCCGGCCATTTGCTTCCACTTTTCCGCCCCGAGCAGCTTCGCCAGAAAATCCCCGATTCGATGCTCAGAAGTCACTGTTCGATCCATCGGCTCTGCCACAATGATATCGATATCGCCGTGGGACGTCTTGGCAGGTGCTTCGAGAGCATGACCGACGAGCTTGAAGTGTGCCCTGAGGAGCTCCTGGGTGCGGGAGAGGACCGACTCGTAGACTTTGGGGGGCATACGTGGCGTGTACAGGCCATCGGCAGTGAAAACGGAGCCGCCCATCTTGACATATGTAGCAGATATGCACAGCAGAAAGCAGTAACGAAGAGGTAATATCTGTTTTCTAGACAACGTGGCGCGATGCTGCGCGTCTCAGAGGTTCTTGTAGACTCTCTTCACTGAAAAGTTGATATGAAAATCCATGGGGAAGTGAAGGAAGATCTTCTTAAAAGGTGGCTCACCAACTACAGTTGCTCGTTTGTATTCACAAGTGATGTTTGTGACTCACGTGGAACGCTGTGACAAGAGAGAAGATGCACTGCCTCCGCCAAAGGGGCAGCGGCAAGGCTGGGGCTAGCGCCTTCAGCCACAGTTGGAGGAGTGAGATCTTCTCAATTCGGAAGTGCACTGTCGGCCACATTCCTCGACACTCGCACCGCCGCCAGCGAAGCATTTTTGGGACTTGCTCCGGTTTCAGTGGGATATAGGACGCAGTCCTGCGTGTGGCGTTGACATTGTGGAATGAGACATCAGAGTGGATTGAAACTAGCTCAATCTATGCGGCCCTGGGAGGCTGCTTTTATAGCCGTAATGACTAGCGTCTCGGTACATTTCACACCCTCCCCCCCTTCTCCCCCCCCCGCTAGACTCGATCTAGTCCGTATGCGAGGATATCGAAGATAAGGATGATAGTGACGAAGAGGGAGATAAAGAGGAGGAGGGTGAGGCTGCCATCTTAACGGTGACAGACAGGAGTACATACCCTGCCGACGCCGTCCATTTCTGGCGATGATGGTCGTGACACTGAATGCCAGGAAATCACCTTACTAGCCGCCGACCCTGCCTATCAAGAGGCTCTACAATCTAAAGACGCCGAATATTGGCATATGGCCTATGAAAAGGAGATTTTGGATGGGAACTCTGGGTACATCTCTTCAGAATGCGACTGGACGGGGTGGTCGCACTGCTTCCAAATTTCCAATGGCTACTAGCAGAGCATTCCTTGAATTCTCTCCTGTATATCACGCCGAAATCCAGACACAGTGGACGGCCGTCCCTGTGGAAGGATACATGTGGACGGTGCGGGAGGCTGTCAGAGTGTTGCACAAAAGAAGACATAGATGATCAATATTGTCGAACGTGAATCGTGATCAGCCTGGGACCTTGCACCATTCTTCACTCTCCTTGCTCCAGCGGCCACCCCATACCTTTCCTACTCAAGCTCCTTAGCAGCGCAACTCTCTTGCTCATCACCCGTCCGTCTTTCTGTGGCGCACTCAGTATGAGCAACCACCCATTCGTCTCAAAACTATGTTGGATCCCGGTCTTCTTGCATAACAACATCAGCTCAAATCTGCTGCCCGCTCTCAATATCTTGAGATCCCAGAGGGAGTTGTCCATGTGAAGTGAGAGCTCCGAACTACCATTATTGTACATCTTCTTCCTTGTGCTTTCTGGAACCCTCGAGTCTATCGTGAGTATAGAGGGATCACCACGGTTGCTGCAGATCATGATCCCGGGATCCGGAAATTCGATATTCACATTGGCTCTGAAGCCCTCCACAGTCAGAATAGGTGTAAGTCCTGGTGAGGATGCATTACACTGCTGCAGATATCCAGGAGGCAAATCATTGTTCTTTCCCTTTCTCCATGGCGAGCTCTCCTCATCCTCTTTCGCGACTGTGAGTTTCGCATGCTGCAGTTCATACACCATATCCTGTAGTCGAAGTCTCGTACCGTCTTCGAGCTCAACGCCAAATGTCGGGTTGTGCGAGGACTGATTAGCATCAATAAACAGAGTCCGCTCGGACCAACGGTCGCCGCCGAAGGCCACCTCAACAAGGGAGGAAGGAGTCTCCGTTCAACATGACAATGTTTCATGCCTTCTAAATCCCGTTTCAACGACTGTGTTCGAAAAGGAAGAGGACTGAAATGCATGGCGGACGCATTACTTCCAGATCTTCGATAAGCCATTTCCTAGACTCTGGGGCCATTGCTCAGGAAGCCAACTAGATGAGGATAGTTGTATGAAGTCACGCCTTAATACCATTACACCTCGGAAGGATTCGTTGACCATCCACATTGATCACGGGGCTTGGATACCAACACCTTATATCTCATTCACAACCTCACCATCCAAAATCGAAGACCTCATAAATTTAAGAGCCCAGCGAAATATCGGGGCCCTCACACTGTCACCGTTGTCGATCCAAAAAAAAAAAAAAAACCGAGTTCGAAACGGTCTGCCCGTCCTATATGCCGCTGATGAGATGGAACATGCACAAAGGGCGTAATTCTAATGTTGAGGAAGATATATCCATTTGGTGTTTTTGATTGTGAATGCTCTCCATACGTGGATGTGTGTGTATAGAGAGGCCTGCGGCCGAGAACTAATCTCGACAGTCTTTACATCTCTTGGCATTTCTGTCAGTCACAAGCGCACGGTTCATCCTTCTCTTCGACAGAGCTCACGCAAAAACAACCGCGAACAACCAACATAACAACTCTCAGAACACACAAACCTGAGCACAGTACAGCCTTCTCAAGAACATCATCCTCTTTGTCTATCCAATGCTCCTGTTTCTCGCCTTCGTTCGCTACACCCTGGGGCGAGCCAACTAATCAGAGACCAGGCGCCAGCTGCGACAAGAGCTTGCTGAAACTGTCAGATTTTGGTTCATAGAGCATATGATTGATGGAAGATGGCAAACGCCGACAGCCAACCATTCTTCTTTTCGAGCTGGACTCTCATACCCCTTCGTTTCGACTTGTTTCATCTTGCCTACCCCTTGGGCTATGAACAGCATCGATTCGTGTATATATATGAGATCAGATTCAAGACAGAGTGATTGCTGAGCCCGCGTCCTCTCCAGACTTTTGTACGAGCCCTGCAACGTCTGACAGAAACCCTGCTCCCCCTGGCGCCTGTTTCTGATCCTACTGGCTCATCACGCCCGGCTCATCACCTTGGTTACTGGATCTTAACTATCGCATTCTACATAATGAACATCCTGCTTTGGACTCACCATGGCAAAGTATGCATATCAACCCCTAACCGGCAAGCCTGGTGCTAGGTCCATCAGACTGATCGAGCTTCAACCGGGTATCGACAACGACCCTATCAAGTGCACCATCATCCATGCATCTCTAGACGACAATCCAGAATACTGCGCCATATCCTACTGTTGGGGCGACGCCTCTGACCCGGTCTCCATAACTTGCAACCCAGAAGGCAACACTCTAGCTATCACTACGAACCTCAATGAAGCCTTGCGCAACTTCCGCTACCCGTACGGCTCGCAGCTCCTATGGGCGGATTCGATCTGCATCAACCAAGCAGACCTCGACGAGCGGCGAGATCAAGTGATGCTGATGGGCGACATCTACCGCTCAGCACGACGGGTGCAGATCTGGTTGGGCTTGCCACCCGAGAAGCCCAAACGCAAACCCGACGTCCGGCTCTTCGACTTTATCTCTCAGATCGCCTATGCAGACAGCGAGGTGCCCTTGGACGCGCCACCCGTCGTCCGAATGGTAATGTCGCTTCGCTCACTGAACAAAAAGCACTTCGAGGCTATGGAATGGGTGACCAGCCACGAATACTTCCGTCGCGCTTGGATCCTGCAGGAGGTTGCTCTATCCCAGTGTGCGCTCCTCTACTGTGGCTCTGACAGCCTGCCCTGGGATACATTTATGGGAGGCTTTTGGACTTCTCATGGACGCTAGTGTCGCACACTTGGTTGCGCCCTTGGGTACCGAGTTTCCGCTGGCGATTGAGTCGACGCGCGAAAGTGTTACCAGTGTGGAAGATGGTGGGAGGGAGGGGAAGGGGGAGGAGAAGGAGAAGCGGGAGTCAATGCTGAGTTTGCTGGTGCTTCATCGCTGGCGGCTGGCTACTGATCCTAGAGACAAAATCTACTCACTCCTCGGCCTGGCAAAAGACGCCGGGCCTGCTGGGCTGAATTTGCGCCCTGACTATAGCCTTAGTATCGCCGCCGCGTATGAAAACTTAGCCCGAACTTTATTGGATGCCCATGGGAATCTGGATGTCATCACCGTCGCGGGTATACCTGGGGAACAGCCTGGTGCCCCGGATGGCTTGCCGTCGTGGGTACCTGACTGGTCTAGCACCGAACGCCGTTCGCCATTCGCTCTTCGTGGACGGTTTCTTGGCCTCGAAAAGTCGGCCTTTCGCGCCGCCGGCGATTCTACCTGGACAAAGGCTTCTGCAGAGGCTACTGCAGGTGCTTCTACGGCTATAGGAGGACAACTCGGTGTTCAAGCACAAATCTTGGACACCATCGGTGAACTAGGCAGCACCATGCGCCCAGAGTTCGGCGTCACGGAATACTCACCTAGCTACACGAAGCTTCTGGATTCGCTATACTACGAGGACACAGTCTTTGGCGAGTGGGAGAAACTCTGCGGTGCGCGACTGACTGGCAAGACCTACGCTGCCACAGGCGAGCCACTCTTCGATGCGTACTGGCAGACGCTTATCGCTGGGTACCTCGAAGGTCCCCACGACGGCGACGAGAACCAGGACAAACTGAGTAGAAGAGGTGCGGCGTTCAACGCCAAAAAGCACCAGTTTCTTGCATTCGATCGGTACAAGCGCACAGGGCGCGTTATCTTTCTTACTCTTTTTAAAGTAGTACTTATATAGCCATAATTACTAGTATGTTCGGATGCCGAATTGCGGCCCCCGACTGGGCTGAGAATTGCCGTAGTCTGACAGCATTCCCCCCAAGTTTTGCTCCTGGCTGGCTGGATATGTGGTGCACTCTGCTTTTTCAGACAGAGGTGTGTCGTCCGTCTTGGCGCGCCGGGAGAGGCGGCGTGCTGGGCATCTGAGTGGACAGTTGCTGGTGGGTAGGGGCAGGATTGGGGGAAAGCTCAAACCTTAAAAAACTATATGTCAACGTCATCATCACATTGTCATCACATTGGATTCCCTGCGATTCACCAATATGCTCAATCATCGTTTGCTTGTCCAAGACTGCAGCCCAGTTGACAGCAGCAACGATGGCTCTATCAGTTCCTTTCTCCATTTTGGGGATCAGGAAGGGAATGTTCGGGTTTGTCGGCCCTACCATGTTCAGTTTCCCGCCTTTGGGCTACCTGCCCCCGGATTCTCCGCTCATTGCCGGCATCAGGCTCACTCGTACCCGCCCAGCTGCAGCTCGGGACAACTCAGCGACAACTCAGCTTAGCTTACTTTGCCCTCTCACCCGAAAACATCATCTGGGGCCCCGAAAAGCCGCAACGGGCGGGGAACTGGGACAGCCTTCGCCAGCGCGACTGGAAGCGACATTAGCAAGAGTAAGAGGACAATTTCAGCTTCTTGAGGATCTTCAGCCAAGCCTCTGTGATATCAGTTCTTGGCAGTTCGCCGCCCTAGTACCTAGCTACTCATAAAAGAATGTCAGTTCAGGGTTTCGCTGATTGGCAACAAGCTATCAACTCGCCGTACGAATTCCTTGGCCTGGGGCTGCGGAGAAGTTGAAAAGATACCGAAGTCAAGAATGCGGGGAAGATCGACAAAGGCTACTGACCAAACCTCATATCCTGATGACCCGGTTGACCTCTCTGCTTTGCCTGCTCCTTCTTTCCACCGGAAACCCGCTTAAGATCATATGCACAATCAAAAGACGGCGACACGGAGTACAGCCGGTAGCCTCATGAGAGGCGGGGTCGAGACCCGTTGCGTGGCCTTTCTCCTCTCCAAGGCTCTGCTCGTTGATCCCTGTTTCAACGGGCGGTAAGAGCTGAGCAATATGGTCATTCGTGAAGATCATTCGCTTGGTGTCACAGTCTCCTCCCAAGCTGATCCGCATGCCCTTTCTCCTCACCGGGGATCATTCCCCTTATGGGCGGGGTAGAGAGAGAGGAGGAGCTCAAGAAATTTGCTCTCGACGGACAAAGCTGACCGGGTGTCCGCTTATATATACGGTTGGGAACTTTCTGTGACAGCTGCACTCTGTGAATCGCGTTAGCAGCAACGCCAGTCACTGTATCCTGTGGTAGTCAAGTTACTTTACGCAGTCTCACAGTGTAACGCAAAAACCCTGGGCTTTCTCTCATCATGGGCTTGTTTACGGAGCTGCCCGAGGAGCTCCAAGAGGTGGACGTGATTGTGGCCGGAGGCAAGTCCTTCCCTTCCACCACGTTACCCTCACTGACGACTTTGCATAGGAGGCACGGCTGGGTGCGTGGTCGCTTCTCGGCTCGCCGAAGCAGATCCAAACTTGTCAATCCTTGTTATTGAGCAGGGCCTGAACAATTACAACGTGCCCCAAGTCGTCCAGCCCGCCCTCTTCCCACTGAACCTTGACCACAACAGCCAATACACACTCTTCTGGAAGGGGAATAGGGCACCACAGCTTGCGGACCGGGAGCCCGTTGTCCCCAGCGGCGGTACTCTTGGTGGCGGGTCATCGATAAACTGGATGGTATACACTCGGGCTCAGCGATCTGACCTTGAATCATGGAAGACGCCAGGATGGTCTTCTAAGGAGCTGTTGCCATTCCTGAAGAAGGTAAGGGTGGTCTCTGTCCTATCTCTTTCTAAGCCCGACCTATCTAACCATCTAACCAGTTTGAAACTTATCATGGCCGGGGTGAAAGGGAGGCGCATGGCTATAGTGGCCCCATTAACGTCTCTAGCGGCACATTCCGGGCCACTCGTGCCGAGAACGAATTTATCGAAGCCGCCGTCAAAATTGGCTACCCCGAACTGAAGGATTTGCAGAATCTCGACAATAACAACGCCACCGAGCGCTGGCTGCGCTACGTTGGCCCAGACGGACGACGTCAGGATGCTGCCCACAGGTTCCTTCATCCAAAGCTGCAGAGCGGGCATTATCCAAATCTACATGTCCTGACGGAGAACCAAGTTGTGAGGGTTCTCCTCGATGATAAAAAGCGAGCCGTCGGGGTCGAGTACAGGCCGAATCCCAAATTCCAAGCTGCTGCTCGTGGAAAAGCCCTCCTTACTGCTCGCGCCTCGAAGTTGGTGGTCGTCTCTGCCGGCGCGAATGCTACGCCACAAATTCTCGAGCGCTCCGGAATCGGTGACCCAAAGATTCTCAAGCGCGCCGGAGTCCCAGTTGTTGAGGACCTGCCTGGTGTGGGGAACGATTACCAGGATCACCACCTAACGCTATACACCTATCGAACAAGCCTCACGCCAAACGAGACCATCAACGCCTTTGCCGACGGCCGATTGAATGTCCAGGAAGAGATCAGGAAGAACAATAAGCAACTGGGCTGGAACTCGATGGATGCTTCGGGCAAGTTCCGTCCCACCGAGGCTGAGGTTGAAGCCCTCGGACCCGAGTTCAAGAGAGCCTGGGATCGAGACTTTAAGAATGCGCCTGACAGACCCCTGATGATCATTGCCATGTACTTGAGGTAAGACCAAGTATCCCGCTTCCACCATAGGTGTTATACTGACAGAGACCCAGCTTCTTTGGTGATCATTCTACCTTACCGGATAACTCCGAGTATGTTTCCATTGCGAACTGGACGGCATATCCCTATTCGCGCGGCCACATCCACATCACAGGACCGAAAATATCCGACCCGATTGACTTCGACGTCGGCTATTTGAAAGATGCCAACGAGATCGACGTCAAGAAGCATATCTGGGCGTACAAGACCCAGCGCGAGATCTTCCGTCGCATGAACATCTTCCGCGGCGAGCTAGCGGCAGACCACCCTCGTTTCCCTCCAGGCTCCAAGGCCGCCGTGGTCGAGAAGGCGGATGGCCCCGTCGCCGACAACGCGAAACGCATCGAGTACACACCCGAGGACGACAAGGCCATTGAAGAAAACGTCAGAAAGATCGTGACGACCACGTGGCACTCTTTGGGGACGTGCAAGATGGCGCCGAGAGAACAAAAGGGCGTTGTGGATGCTACCTTGGGTGTGTATGGTATTCAGGGTCTGAAGCTGGCGGATCTGAGCATCGTACCTGAGAACGTGGGTGCAAACACGAACAACACTGCTTTGCTAGTCGGCGAGAAAGCGGCCGACATCATCATTCGGGAATTGGGTCTCAGATCTCGTGGCCGCGAAGCTGAGGGATACTCGAGAGCGAACCTGAATATTGCTCGACTCTGAAGCAACCGATAAGATGAGGCGGATTTACTCATCAAGGAGGCTCGGGGGAACAAATTGAATATGGTCCGACGAGGATCGGGGGGGGGGGGGAAGTGTCTTCCTATCCTGTGACAGGGAATCTGAAACAAATTACCATTGAACTAAACTTGGCTGCATTTACCGACTTAAGCGTTTGACTCAATTTCTGGCATGCGCTCGCTCGCGATGGCCAGCACGTTTTGACCATGTGCACCACGCCCAAATTTAATGATCTTTGGCCGCGAGAGGGCTGGCTGAGTTGCAAAGCCTTTAACCATGGCCATACGGCGAGAGTCTTCGTCCAGACAGGGTGGGCGCCGCCTTGCACGGGTCTCATCCGGATTCAACCAAGTCCGATGGGCAAATCCAGGTCCCCTTCCGGTGGCATCGTCGCGTATAGTCACCGTAGCCTTGTTCCGATGAATCGCAGACCGGTGTGATACTCTAACAACCCCTTGATTAGCCTGCAACGTCATCCCAGGTCCCTGTGGCTTGTAGTCCTTGTGATCTTAGTCTACAATGATCCCCCGGCTCACGGCTCAGAAACGGAGCGTGCTTGGGACGCCGACTTGGGACGCCGACTTGGGACGCCGACTTTCTTTGGCAAGACTTTGGTGACCTCAAGTTTGACGCTGATGGGTACAGTGGGCATCATTGGTGATTTCGTATCGCCATCGTGCTGAACCCTTTTTTTTTTCTGGAGGCCAGACTAATATTGTCGAAGTTGATATATCCAGCACCGGAAGAGAGTGGCTCCGCGTTGTGGGTAGGTGGCCTATTAAGCTGGGAGGTTGTGCAGTTTAGATCGCGAATGGTAGCATCATCTTGGCGCCGTCGTGAGGTGACAGAAAATCTCAACATGTGGTCCTGCGGGAGGAGCTCACTGTCGCAGGTTGAGGCTGAGACCCGGCATCTTGGTGTTTACTTGCGGGGTTGGTCACACCCGCGAGAGCAAGAAGGCAGCCAACTATTTTAAGTCCAGCCCTTCCTTGTCACCATGGTTGGTAGCTGTCAGAGAGCTCTCCCGCGCATCCTCATGTTTCGGATTTCTGTATTTCCTCTCGACGGCTGACCACGAGCTTGGAGAGGGTCGTGGGGTCCAAAGAGAAAGTGGGAAAAAGTGGCGGTGCAATAAGTCAAGAAGATGATCTCTGTTTGGGCGGTAGTCCGACGATGGGCCCTGTAATGATATCATGTCTTGCATTTGTGTGTATTCATGTTCCACCACCCAAAGAGGACAATAATCGAGAACGCCCCGGTTAATGACTAGCCCCAGCCCCAGCACCTCCCTCAGTCATCCTGCTGATCCTCTTCCCCCTTCTCATCAAAGACCTCGAAGTTGTATTTTAACCATTGCCCACAAAAAGTACAGGGAAGAAAGTGTCATCCATCCGAACAGTAAAGCATATGACTCGTTTCCCCCATCTCTCCGACTCGTTTTTGTACATTTCCCATCAATGCCAAGTGATAGACGCGGGAGGCGTGCTAACTATGCTTTGGTCGTGAAATCCGTCTCCGTGGGAAGTAGTCCACCATCGGCTGCCTTTTCGCATGTGCAACTTCCTGAACTCCGCTGGCCACACGCGCACGTGGCGCCCGTGGGAGGCGCGTTCTCAGTGGCGGCGCGGTCGCAGGTACATTGGCCGGCGGGACGGGCTCCTGTAGCCAAAAAATGGGAGGTTAGTTAAGGGGGCTTTTTGTTTTGGCAATTGTGCTTCACACATAGGGTAGATGGAGGGGAAATATTTGATGCTGAAAGAAACACAGAAGAGGAGACAACGAAACGGGGTAAAAACATACTGCATGAGCATCTGGGTCCTTGCAGAGCGTTCTCCTGATCCTTCTTCTCGCAGGTGCAGTGCATGGCGGATGTTTTGCCGCACGAGCAGGTAGCCTTCTGGGCGCAGACGCATTCGTCGCTGCGGCCGCAGCATGAGGTTGGTTTGACCATTGTTACGTGAGGTTTGAGTGTGTGTGGGAGTTGTACGTTGGTTCGGTGAGAGTCGCTGCTGTCAAATTGTCCGTGAATGAAGAGTGCAAGTAACGGATGGGACTTATCAGAATCCAAGTGATGGAGGGGTTGAAGGGTTGAAGGGTTGAAGGGTTGAAGGGGTTTAATATAAGTCTGCGGCAATGACGTTCCAAGACCAGGGGCTGACAATCATTTCAATGCTGATTGGGTAGCCTTACTCCTGATGGGGGCGAACTGCGAACCAATCATTGCGTCTCCATTTGCAAAGCACATCTCCACTTATCCATTTTCCTGCATAACACCACAAGTGGTGGGTGGGTGGTATGATCCCCTCGCCTAGATCTTCGATTAGCCTGTGCCTGCCTGTGTTTGCCTGTGAACACGGCGACACGGGCAGTAAGCAGTTGTTCGTGTGTACAAGTAAACCATCCACACTTTATGCTAGGATAAGATTTGGCATTGAAACAACCACTATGCTCCTCCTCCTCCTCAGCACGGAAGCATCACTCTGCTTTGCCCTTCCCGTTTGAATTCGACAGGTCCTTTCTCTTCTCCCTTCCACCCTCTTTCATGTTCTTTGTTCCGAAGGTACCAGTCCGGCTCCTCCAAGTCGTCACTCTCTCAGGCTTTCGTTCAATGTGGAAGCTGAAGTCAACTTCGCCCACAAGACTCTTGACCATCCCTATTAATCGCTCCAGTTCCTCGCTTACCAAGCTGCTGGCAACCTGGCAGACGGCAAATGCAGCATAACAAGGCTCAGCAACATGTTCGATGCCTAAAACATCAGGATCGATGATGTGAAGGTCTGGACCAAGACGATACGGATGCGGGACTCTGAGGAAGGGTGGAAGAGGCTGTGCGTTGGTGACACTAGCGGACAGCAGGCTGAGCATGGATGTGATGTCGTGCGTGGTTATATTGAGGCTGCGCATGAAGAGGCGAAAGTTGTGGATCCATGGTTTCTCTATGTCTGGCAGTGTATGAGGTTCGCCAGACAGCATGGGAGAAAGACGATGAGTCGACGGGAACACAGGTGCGGAGAACAGAGGCGAGGATGGAGAAAAGGTGCGTGTGGAATAGGAGATGAGTGTCATGTAATTGAAGATAATTTCCATTGATGCGATAATGTCGTGGTAAGTCTCCTTCGGGAAGCGACCGCCGATGGTGGGCTCCCATTCACGAGCCAGGAGCCGTAGTTTTGAAATCTGAATACTTGTTTTTGCAAATGCTTTACCTCGAGCTTTTTCAACTCGATAAGCCGGACTTTTCTTGATTCGGGGATCCAAGACGAAGTCTTGGAGGCGCATCTCAACCGTACTGTGAACTGTGGCGTAGTATGTTGCCAGAAGGTAAAGCCCGGCTCCAAGCTCTCGTCGTAATTTGCCATGAGTGGTCACTGGAAATGGAAAATATGACCAGATAAACGCGACAAACGTCCCGGTCAGCACAGTGGCAAGTCTGTAGGGCGCCAGAAGATAGATTGGATAATATGGCTGCCCAGTCGAGGCCACAGCCTCTTTCCCAAGCTTAGTAACTTCCAATTCATATCCCACAATAAGCAGATTAGTGACGTTGAAGAGGATGGCGCCAACAGAAAATTGTGGAAACTTGAAGAGAGTGTAGAACCCGAAAAATTCAACGATGAAGAGCACCGGGATGACTCCGCCGGCCTTCCCATCTGGGACATACCACAAAATAATCGAGGTACACATTGCCGCTATTGTTCCGACAACCCGGCCCAGGAATCCGATGACTGAAGCACCTGTCGTCGGAGCCAGTGAAATGGCAACAAGGATGAGCGCCCATAGACCACGTTGTTGGAGAAACCAAGTCTGAGTATCGTGGAGAAAGGCGACGATTCCCACAGTCATAACAGCGCAGACAGCTCTGAATCCAAAAGCCGATTCCTCAGAGGCAAAGAAATGTGATGTGCGTCGTATCTGATCACCGATAACTTCCAGGTAGCTGGCAGCTGGCAAGTGTTCAGGGTCTCTTCGTTTTTTGTAAGCTTCTCCAAGATGAACAATGGTTCGAGTGCCTTCGCGACCAGTAATCGTGGGATCTGCTATCGAGTCCGTTGAAGTCCACATAGTTCGAATCCATTTTTTCATCCGCTTCTTTCCGGGAAGGATCAACCTCGATCCTCTTTTTGTGGCTTCCTGGGATTTGACATTCGCAAACACCACAAGGTCCAAAACACCCTTCGCAGTGGACCAAGTTAGGAACTCGATGTACAAGACAAGACACAGTCGTTGTTGATTCTGTCGGTAATGTCTACCGACGGCGAAATGGTTGGTGATCGTTGGCTGTGGGTCTTTTGAAAGGTCTGTCGTGAAAGCAACGGGTAGATCAACACCCGCTGCTTGACTCCAACCTCGTAAGGCGCTGGAGCGGGAGCAGTCAAACTCATCAATCATTTGACTCAAGAAAGCCACAAAATCCCTGTCACCTGGTCGTGGAATTCCTTTTTCTCTGTCTTCTGCCCGTTTCCTCCTGCGGCCGAATCGCAATTGAATGGACACATGATCCAGCGCATTTTCCAAGGTCTCTGCTAGGGAGTCGAAGGAACTCACGAGCGAATCCATCACATTGGCCCATGCAACACGCTCCGCTTCCAAGTCGTCGAAAGCTAGACCCTCTGAATCATCATCTTCTGCGGCGCCTACCGCTCGAATCGCCACTTCTTTCAGAATGTCAATCAACGTGGACATCCCATTCATGGGTAGAAGAATAGATTGAAGCAATTCCCGAATCTTTTTGAGATCGTACACGTCGAGGTGACCAACAGCAAACTCTATCTTAGCATATTCCAGTTCAGTATGCATGCGTCCAAAGGTTGCAGAGAGACTTGCGGTGCTGAGTTTTAATCGTTGCGCTTCTGGTGAGTTTGTAGCTCTAATATCTTTGGGACTCATCCGCGCCGTAGAAACATTCGTCTCTTGCACGCACGTGAAAACCAAATTCTTGCGTCGCATCCGTCGCATGTAAGCACCTTGAGCTTTTAGGGAATCCTTGAGCTTGCTGACAAAGTCGTCCGTCAGCTTGAAGCAGAGCTTCCGGTGACTCCGGGGAAAGATGAAGAACGAGACACCGACTGCTATGGCAAACCCCATGAGGAATGCCCCAATCATGTGTTTGATCAAGACTTCGCCCTGCGACATGTGCGCTATTCGCTATGCAATGTCAGTTCACGCTTGGACTGAAATTCTGGCGTGTCTTTACCGTTGCGTTAATTGAAGCTACAATGACAAAAAAGCTCAGGATAGTACCGGTGACTGAATATTCTGGACGCAGCGCTCGTCCCACGTTGATGAGGTAAATGGACACACAGAGCCACACTGCAATCACTGCGCTAGCCGAGGCGCTGTAGCTAATCTCAAGATTGTTGTTTGACGAACTATTTTGTGTAGCGCTCTCTGAACGCTCCCTAGACTTGACTGCACAGTAGATAGACAATAGCATGACAGCTGCAGCAAGGCAAACTCCGAAAATATTCAATGTCATAGTCTTGACGAATCGTGCTCGAGGCTGGGTGGCGAATGAGAAGAAGGCCATGATTGAGACCAAATATCCTAGGGTTGTATAAATTTGCGCGACCGAGTTTGACTGATTCCTGTTATTTGTTCAGAGCCGCGGTTTTAAGAAGTTTCCCATACTCACATCGCTGCGGCAATTGCCGGTGGTAGGGCTCCCCTGTCTTCACGTTATTTTCGAACCAACAATGAAAACGGGTCCAATTTACTTTGCCATCATTTTCACGGTTTCCAGATCGAGATCTAGCCATTGCCATACCAGCTTCCAGATCGGGGCTGCTGGCTTTGACTCTTCAGTCGTGTTGGAGCCGTCATCGGTATCCGATTCCCAGGTTGATCGAGACGAGGGATCCTCTCCATGGGTTTCTTCTTGCATTGTGCTTTCAAGAGAAGCGACTTGGAGGAGAAGAAACAGGTCATCGGGACCTAGTTTCGAGCTTTATGACTCAAACTTCTTTTATTCGACGTAGTCCAGCCGACTCCGTCCGACGGGCAACGTAGCTCGCCAGCCCCTGCAAGAAAGGCAAGGCTGGTCTCTCGCCACAGTCAGATTCTCGATCAGGTATGTTCGCCATAGATTTGTACCTACTCATGTGCCCTAATTCTAACGACGGCTCGACGTATTATCGTGGTAAATATTTGGAGGAGCGGTAAAGGATTTTCGTGTTTAAAAGTTAGAAGTCTTGGAAAAGGGAAGATGCGGGCGTATCGGCAAAATCTGATATCACGTGCACGTGGAAATCATCGTGCAAGAAATCGGATAATTTCGAGCTCGAACGAGCATCGATCATGATTGGACCGTTCCTTTCAGGATCTCCACAAGCTCTGTAGAGAGGGCATCGAGGATAAAGAGCTATCTCCAAATGGCAAGATTGCTAACAACCCCGATTGCTTCGGTTGTACCTCGTACTCGGTAGTCCGGGGGGCAATCGCGGGGATATTGACTTTTGGTCGATGCAGAGGTGAGGACATGCTCTGGCATCGCCCAGCCAGAACAGGTACTGTATGTAGATTGCAGCATTTTCATCCACGATCTTGCTCAATCCATGACCTGACAGGTTCGAGCCAGCACCTCTTGTGTCCCTGCCTAGACTCCTGATGTACGAGGTAGAAACCTACAGTACTAAGAAATGTGCTTGCCAAGCAAAGGCACAGGCAGAATGTTGTTGTACTTTACCCGATTTAGTTTAGTACCGTAGTCAAAGGCTTGGCACTGCAGCCTTGACCCCCCTCTCAAGCCCCCTTCCCCCATTTCCCTAAACACCATTCAGTCTCATGTTTGGATGGCTTTGCTCAAGCCAGACGCCTGCCATCTACGGAGTTCCTGTACTTGAATTGGTGATTGTCGAGGTACCCTCACGTACAGCGCAATATATCTGTTGCGCTCGTTGTGCTTGAGTCCATTCTGCATCTTCTCACATCATCGTGGACCATGCGCCTTTTGAAGCGCGACAGAAACGAGGAGTTCCGCCTTAGTGATAACCTTACCAAAGACCATCTCCCACCGTATGCCATACTCTCGCATGTCGGAGCAAACCGCCAGAGGAAATTGCGTTTGGCGACCTCAGCAAGCAGTCTCTTCGCAAAATAACTGGTTTTAAGAAGATCCAGTTATGCGGAGAGCAAGCTGCTCGTGACAGATTAGATCACTTCTGGGTCGACACTTGCTGTATCGACAAGATGAACCACGTCGAACCTTCAGAGGCCATTAACTCTATATTCCGCTGGTATCGTGGGGCGGCAGGATGCTATGTATATCAAGCGGACGTTTCGGGGCAAAGTTCCGAGATAAGGACAGGGAAAGCTGACTTTCAAGGGGGTCGATGGTTTACCGCAGCTGGCCACTGCAGGTGCTGCTTGCACCAACTTCGGTTCAGTTTTTCTCCTGCGAGGGCATATCGATCGGGGATAAGACATCTCTTAAGTCGCTAATCCGGGATATCACCAGTATCCCAACGGAGGCTCTTCTTCAAGAGAAGCCTCTATCTGACTTTGCAATCGACGAGTGTATGGAATTGGCAGCAAAACGCAAAACAACCAAACGAGAGGATCAAGGGCGAATACCTTACCCTTCATCCAGTGAGCGGTAACTATCGAAAAGTGCACGTGATCATAATACGCTGGGAAGTTGACCACATGGACCACTTGTTAAGCATTGAAAGTTTTCAAGGCACGAGACTTGAGCTGAGACATTCGAAACAGGTGGAAAAGATCTCGAAGGAGTTTCGCAATCTCTATGACTACGATGTTCAGGAATTTCGTCTGCAAACCCATCGGCAGCACGATGTCCACATCTCATGGCCTTGGCCGGAAAATGCTTTTGTCGACGAGAGAGACCTTCAGATTCTGTCCTACTTAGACGGCACAAAACAGATTCCGAGAGAGGATGACACTTGCTTCGTGGACATTCCAACTTGTGCAATTCAGCCGTTGACGTGGGTAAGTGATCACAATACTGAAGCACTAACGCTAAGCTACAATCTCAGTGATGAAGATCAGTATGACAGTGCGCAAAGCAGCTATCGAGACCGACACTAGCTATCTCACATGATCAGAATACCCAACCTTAGCTCAGACGCTTTAGTCATCATTGACTGCTTCATTGAAGATTAAGCGGAACCAGATGGCGTAGAAAATATCAAACTTATGCCCGACGACGATTATTCCTGGGCTCGGTATGCTCTGCTCTTTGCTGGCTATAAAGCAAAAACAACACCGCCAGGTGGACTTTCCAAGAACCCAATGTCTGTTCTTGAGAGTCTGTCCCGATCGGATAAGTTTTACGCCAGAGCAGGACACATCACCAGCGCTACTATAAGACCGAAGCAAGACGGCAGCCTCAAATGGGACTCGGACTTTTGGCCAATATGGTTAGAAACGATGGGAAGGTCTTATCGCCCTGACAACACCTCTCTAGCTATCTGTCGAATGGATGGAACAGTTGTCATCGGTTGGGCTTTACTGGCTACAAGCACTATGATATCCACCAGTCTGCCCTTCATATTACTCCCTTGATATGCCTATAAAATCCCCAACGTTTCCCGAATGACCATAACTGGTACATACCTAGTAGGCAAAGACTGGAACCCCACCACTCATGACTGGGACATGTTTCTCGCCCTTGAGACCCATTTATTTACGCTCCATGTCGGGCCAATCTTGAATCCACTACTCTTCAGTAGACTCTTCCCAAAGCCTTAGACCCTTGAAACTCCTAATGCCTAGTAAAGAATCCCTCAGCAGAGGTGCAGCAGAACGCATATACTCTCTTTCATTGCTGCCTGACGGCGGTTTCCTGCCGTACACACTGTAACTAGACCAAGTTAGCTATAGTCTCCAATCACCATTGCACGGCTCAGAACTCACCAGCAAGTGTAGCAGTGGTATCTTTCGATTTGTCAAAGCAGAACTTGGAAAAGCTTGTGACGAGGCGTTGAAGTTGGGCTTCTGGATTCCGGAGCAAATTCGCGAGAAAGCAGAGCTGTGATTTCCTCCTTCAAGCGGGCGTGATGCTCAGGAACATCTCAGGAAAAACCTTCCAGAGTCAGGCTTTTCAACCCTTTCTCCAGGCTGTCCATAGTGGGCTTAAGCTTCAGCCTAATGGTACAACAGTGGTCTCCAGGATATGTCCTGTACCTCAGCGATGGGAAACCGCGGACAATTTTTGCTGACTCTGCAAAGAATTGTTGGTAGGTAGTTCGAGGAGGCTCCTTGACGCGATATAACCAGCAATACAGAGAGCATCGAACAGAAAAGGCAGAAATCAATAGACGGGATTGAGTCATTCCTGTAGGATATGCTTAATGGATTCCTGCATGAAAATTTATGCTCATTCGAATGCAGCTGTGACGTTTCTTGGGGCCCTTCTCAAGCATACGCGTGCGTACAGTACTGCTCGCTACTTACCTAGATAGAGACCAAGTATTGCATTCCTGATAAAGTACAACCCGCTAGATCTTTAGCATTCAGTGGGAAAAGTGACAGTATCTGCAAAAGGGGGGCGCTTTCGGAAACGACAGGAAGTTGCAGAAACATTTGTTCGGAAAAATTGGCCATCTATTGATATCGTATCAGTTAACAAAACTTGCTACTGCCGTCCTTCCCTCGTAAACACCATTGCTTCAGTCTAGCTCCAGAACCAGCCCATTGTATACTTCGCCCCTTCCCGAATTCGTGTCTTGCGGCCTGTGTTTACGCCTTTTCATTAGACCTGCTTGGAGAGGGGACGCTTCAAAGTCTCGCCAGATAACGGCTTCCCGCACTCCTCACAGCAGTCCGTCAGCTTGGGCCGTCCACTTAGTATATCCACCGTCTCCTTCATAGCCAGCCAGAATTCATTCTTGGGCCTCCGATCCCCCCAATCGGTTCCTGTAGCCTCGAGTCCTGTTGGTCCCCCCATTGAGGTGAAGACCACTTCAGACCCTTGAATACCAATCACTACTGTTGACAACGGGTCGTCCGCGATCCAGTCCTTGGACTTTCCGGTAAATCGATCCTCGATGTGCTGCATACACTTGATTGCCATCCGGAGTGCACGGATTCGATCCATAGGCGAAGGCTTGCCACCCTGTTGATAATGGCCAGGTACTGCTGCTCGAGATTCGAAACGACCTCGGGCTTCCTCTTTGATCATATCAGCAATCACTTGTGTCGTGTATGTTGTGCTAGCCCTCTCATTTCGAAGGATGATTTTCCCCGCTCTCGATGCTCCCTGGTCATTCTTGAAGTTTTCGCGCAAGAATTCGATATCCCTGGCAATCATGTGGATATTGATTCCTTCTTCAGGGATGTAGACTGCGAGTGCACCGACCGACAGCCCAGCCATCGTGGCGAGATAACCAGATCGACCGCCTTGTGTCTCGATGACAAATACCCGTCGTCTTGAAGATGATGCCGATTGTCGAATGGCGTCGCAAAATTGGATCAGCGTATTTAAGCACGTATCGCTGCCAAGGGAGTATTCGGTGCCTGGCACGTTGTTTGACACGGTCGCTGGTAAGACGACCAGAGGGATCTTGAAGACGTCATATTGTTCCCGCGCCTTCCTCAGCTCACTTGCTGCAGTGAAAGCTTCGAACCCACCAATGAGGAATAGCGCATCAAACTTGTACAACCCGAAGCACTCTGCAGTTTTCTTCATATCAGAGCTGGGCAGGCCGCGGTTGGTGCCGATCTCAGAGCCACCCTCATTAACCCATGGATCCACGTCGATCCAACGACACTCGCGTACAGATCCAACGGGCTTATCATCGTGGTGGCGTTGTAGACCCGGGAAACCATTATGGATTGCGATTGGAGTATGACCGCGGGTCAGACAATACGCCACGGCAGCGCGAGTGGCTGGGTTCATACCTCCGGCAGGAGCTCCGACGTGGATAATTGCGATCCTCATCCTCCTCTCTTCAGGTAGACGCAAAGCAGGGTGGTCGGTAGAGGTGGTAATGACATAACTGTTGTAATATTCCTTGAATTCGACATCTCGCAGTTGCATAGCCTTGTCGAAATCCTTGGCAGCGATCGCAGCACTGACCGACTTGGTCAATGCCACTGTTTCCATCAGGTTGGACCGCTCAATCTTGTTCTCTCGGATAGTTATGACTGGGCTGGGTGTCTCTGGAGTGGCATCCAAGACCGCTTTCACCGCTTCCACGCCTTGCAGTGTCGACAACCAACGGTCGTAGAAACATGCATGTCCACCTCGTTGTGTATGCCCAAGAACAGTAACTCGTGTGTCTAAATTAAGCTTCTGGGTCAGGAGATCTTTGACTTGGTTTGCTGTGATCTTGTTCAATTCTCTGTCGTGGGCACCTTCCGCAATAATGACAATCGACCTTCTCTTGCCTCTCTTTCGGTGAGTAGCGATGATGTCGCACATCTGATCTTCCCAGCCGACTCGAGGAGGTTTCTCGGGAATGAACACAAAGTCAGAGCCGGTGGCTATCGACGCCATGAGAGCTAGCCAACCGCAATGCCGACCCATGACTTCAATCACGAAGCCACGTTGATGGGAAGCGGCGGTGTCGAAAACGTCGTCGACCGCGGAGCAGATACGCTCAAGGGAGGAGTAGCAACCGATGGTGGCATCAGTGCCAGACATATCGTTGTCAATCGAGCCAACCAGGCCGACGATGTTTAGGTGCTGGAATGGATCAACTTCTGCCTGGGTCAGCTCCCCGGTCTCTACCAGCTCTTTAAGTAGACTCGGCCATTCTGCTCTGAACTTGTCAGCACCGGTCAAGCTACCGTCACCGCCGCAGATGACAAGGGCATCAATGCCACGGTCGACCATGTTTTTGGCTGCTTTCAGTCGGCCCCATCTCTCCATGAACGCCATGCAACGTGCGGTGCCAATTAGAGTCCCCCCCCGAGACAAGTATCCTCTCACATCTTCCCAGTGCATCTCTTTGATCAGATCCCCACCCTGTACCAATCCTTCATAGCCCTCGTAGATTGCATAGGATTCGCAGCCCATGTGAATGGACATGCGGACAACAGCTCGCACAGCGCCATTCATGCCAGGGGAATCACCTCCACTGGTCATAACACCAATCCTGCGCTTCCGGGGAGGAGCTGGCGCACCGTTGGCGGCCATTGGTCCGGGATTCGTAGGCAGTAGACAGCACGGACAGGTGGTTGAGACAGGAGAGAGGGCTCAAGCGGGGTGAGTCGGTGAAAATTGGTTGAGGATTGCTTGACCGACGGGTAGGCCAACTTTAATGGGAGCGGGTAGGTGTTTTCGGAGAGGAAGAAGAAACGTGAGATTTGAGACGAGGATAGAGAATAGTGAAGGTAATGATGAACTTTGAAGATAATGCAAGAAGTCTATCAGCAGATAGCACAAGAAGGGTGTTGTGCCGAGCAGCAACAGCAAGTGAGGTCGGAGAACGTCATTCGTGCCTCGCCAAAGACGTACACGAAACTATTAAGGGCCAAGGGCCTGTTGGTGCCCGCAGTGGCTAGCGGCCCAGGCCCCAGAACCCCCACTGTGCAGCCGAAGGTGCCGATAGGCTGTCACTAGACCCAGTCGCTAGAGGCGTCGCCCTGGAGGTGTTGTGGGTGGCAGAAGAAATGTTAGGTAATGTTAGCAGCGCCTAAACTTATCTCTAGATGTCTGGACTCCCATTCACTGCTGCGAACTTGCGTTCGCGATTCTCGACTTTCACCAATCAAAACTTGCTCCAGCCCTTCACAATCGGTTTCGCAGCAATGATTGTCTGTCATTTGATTCAGTAACAGCCTAAGCTTCAATTTCAAGTCTTCCTCCTGATAACAAGGTGCGAACACGGAGTACTGATCAGTAATTGAGGCGACAACAGGCGCCATGCCTGACTCGAACACCATCAGCCTTCTGATTCCTCCCGAGCCTTCATCAAAACCCCAGAATCTACAAACCCAGATCCGGCAGATCATTGCACAGAGAGGTCATTTTCGCCACATCACCGAGCGCTCTCTTCTTGCTGAGATCCAGGGGAAAGCTGGGGCGCCAGATGCCGTCCAAGCTGGCCCGGAAGAGGAACCTCAAGTAGAAGAGGATGATTCTCCTCAAAAGCGCCAGGAGCGCCTATGGAAGCGCAGAGAAGAGATGCTGGAGCGCCTAAAGTGAGTCTCCTTTCCGTCCCCTTTACTGCGAAATCTGACCGGCTCATAGTTACGCACAAAACGAAGTCCTCTGCGCCTTGGACTTTGTGTCATTCCTGATTTCTCGGCAGTCAGTCCCCGCCCAGCATTCCATGTCGCCTGCCCTCCGAGAGGCTGTCCCAGTTGGCACGTTGGCGTCACGAGTCCTCAAAGACAGACCGATCCCTCCTCCGACGAGACGACGCCTGGCCTCTGTTTCTCAGGGTTGGCGATCGGAGGGCTTCCGATCGGCCTCAGAGAAGCTAGGTGCAGCTTCTGCTCGCCTTCAGACGGAGGCAGAGCGCGAGTCAGAGTTCTGGCACCAAATCGCTAATCTCAATACCAAAGGATGGTCGGTTTCGCGACTACCACGAGACCGCAGAGCCATTGGTGTTCATTTCGGGTTTGCCGAGTCTGCCCAGCAATTCCGTGACCGGGGCTTCGCTCTTCTTCGCCAGGCTGCTGATGGCTCCGTCGTGCTGGATCGACAGATCGGACTTAGGAAACGCAAACGGCTTGGCGTCTATGTAGTCCGGAACGGCATCAAAACAGGCTTTTTTGACTTCCAGACTCATAGCCCGGCCGAGACGACAGATCTCAACCAACAGCTCAACGACTACCGCAATGCGATTTTCGAAGAAGAATTGTTCTACGAGATATGCCGCGAATCGCGTCTTGTGGCTAACCAAGGCATTACTACGCGTTCGCAGAGCGTCGAGATAGACGTCTCTGGCAAGTACCAGCTGTCGCTCGTGTCCTCAACAGAAAAGGAAGATGTGACGTCCGCCAATGATGGAGACAACCTGATAGCGCAGTTTGTGGCTGTATCTCTGCGTTTGCTGTTAAATGCCGCCCATGAGCAGAATCTCATCAGGAGGTCGCAAAAACCGCCTCCGATGACCCTCAAACCACGACCGACCCCCGAGTACGCCCTGCTCCGACCTGTTTTGGCACATTTACGGCACCGGGCTGAAGCAGGAGCCTTTTGGGATAACTGCAGAGCGTTGCTGGGCGCCTTCAAGCGAGCAAGCCTGCCAATCACCGTGGCATTGGAAGCTTCAAACGCCGCGGTGTTCCAGTCTTTGAAGATCGAGGCGCCTGACACCATTCTTTCAGAGTTGATGATACCTGTGAAGACCTGCTTCAAAATAACTCTGATCGCGGAGCGGAGCCTGCAAATCGGGCTAGCCACGTTCCTTGGGCCTCCTTTGTTTGGTTCTCGCTACGAGATATCGTCAATTGACTTTGGATTTGCAAATGTTCCAGCGTCACGTCACGAGACTCGCGACGAGGCCTTGTCATTTGTTAGACGCATGCTGATACTGGACCTCGTTGCGCATTCTGAGGCGTTGGCGCTGGCGAAGCAATCCGAGACACGTTCAGAGACAGGCAAGAGCAAACAAATAGGGTGGTCAGTGTCACAGCCGCACAACGGCGAGTTGACCCTGTATGATGCCCAGGAAGCGATCGAGAAGCTGCAGATTGCGGTGCAACCAGAATCTATAGGCGTTCGATTGAGTCCGCCGGGAAAAAGAAGTGGTTTTCAGAAGGTGGTGTGGTCCTGGACATCTACCGCATGTTCTAGGACAGAGGGAGCTGTAGTGACGGCGGAGGCGGATACCACGTTCGACGCAGCTATAAAGGAGGCGATAAAGAGCAGTCATAGAAGCGGTGTCTAGTCCATTCTCTGGCGAGTCAAATAACGTAAAACAGTCTTGTGTTGAACAGAGGCCAACACTATCTTCGCAGCCGATATGTAGCACCAATGACATGATTCCACAAACATCGTTCTTCGTTGCACATACGTGGCCGGTTCATCCGCCCGCCTAGAGACAGAGAACATCGCGAGTCTCTTGCTTGGCATCAAAACACTCTTTGACTAAGGACTTGTCAGCCACCATGTTGCAACTCCTTCCTTCATCCTTGTCATACTTCCATCCAGTTCAATCAAACAGCACACTACTATCCATCGCGGTCCCATACAACAGGTTATACATTGCGACGCCTGCAGACCGTCAAAATGACTACCCGATATCGAGTCGAGTGTTCGTCACCAATCTCATATCACCCAGTTCCCTCAAACCCTTGCTAACAGCGGCTAGATGCACTGAAGGCAAGTCAAGCCCCTTTCCACAGAGCGGACCATGGTTATGCTGACTTTGTTATGATGTAAGACTCATCGGCGAGACCAACTTGTACGTAAACGGCCTTCTCAGACTTGTCCCATTGCTGATTCCGCCTGGATAGATTGAATGGATCAAGGTGAGCCAGCGTTGGGCAGTTGGACGTCCTAGCACAACTCTCACCGCATATCCCATAGGGTCTTCTGGCGGTCCCATTCGTCCTCAACTCGCAGCCAGCCGTTGAGTATGACGGCTCCAATGGCCAGAGCTTGGACACTATGGCGAGGTCAGCACAGCAGCGATATGCCGAGATCTTTCGAGATGTCGAAGATTTGATACTCGATCACAGTTGGTATCGACCCTGCCAGACGAATTGCAGGCAGACTAACCGGCTGCAGTCAATCAGCAAGCCGTGTCGAATCCAAGGTCCAAACTCAACATGCTGGTGCCCACCATCTCTGCCTTCTTCACTCCTCTGGCTCTAGAAGATGCTTTCCGATATCAGGATGCGAAGCGCGCCATCTCCTCCCGTCGCTTTGTGGCCCCCTCATTCAACGACATCCGGCTGATCCTCAACACCGCACAGGTGATGGCAATGATCCGGCCAAAGCCATACAGACAACTGAAAATCAAGCTGAACCCTGGGCTTGAACTTTTGACCTTTGATGGCGATGTCACATTGTACGAAGATGGAGCGTCGCTACATTCGCCTGAGGCTAACCCGGTGATCCTACGACTCCTTCATTTTCTGGCTCAAGACGTCAAAATCGGGATCGTCACAGCTGCCGGATATATGCAACCGGAGCACTACTTCGATCGACTATCTGGTCTCCTTCTAGCCGTCAAGGCCTCGAAAGACCTCACCGCTGTCCAAAAGTCCAACCTGATCATCATGGGCGGTGAATCCAATTTCCTCTTCGTGTTCGATGAAAAGGAGGAGCACTGTTTACGGTACATCCACCGACGAGAGTGGGTTTTGGATACCATGAAACACTGGTCAGAATCGGCTATCCAAGAACTTCTAGATCACGCCGAGTCTGCGTTTCAATCATGTATCCGGACGCTTCGGCTGCAGGCCAAAGTACTTCGTAAAGAGCGAGCAGTCGGAATTTTTGCAGCTGACCAGTCCAAGAAGCTCACGCGGGAACAACTGGAGGAGACTGTCCTGGTGGTACAGCAGGTGGTGGAAACTTCGATCAACACGGCCAATTCTGAGAAGCCGGCCCCGTACGCGAATATCCCATTCACCGTGTTCAACGGAGGTGCCGATGTTTTTCTGGACATCGGAGACAAGTCACTGGGGGTACAGGCATGTCAGAAATGGTTTGAGGGTATACAACCATCTAGCACGCTGCACGTCGGTGATCAGTTCCTGAGTGGAGGGGGCAATGACTTCAAGGCAAGAAGTGCCTGCTGTTGCGCATGGATTGCTAGTCCGGCAGAGACAGTGGCACTGTTGGATGAAATGATAGCGTTAGCAAAGGGGGAATAAGCGCTGGGACGGTCGGGATGGATGGCAATGCAAGCAGAGATTCAGCAGACAAAGAGGAATGATAGATATATCAACTCTAGATGCCGAGATGCACAGCACAAGCTCGACTAATTATGCCGGCCGGAGCAGGACACATCCATGTCCGACTTGATGTGATGTGGCGGGCGAAGTGAGTCTATTGAAGGTGCTAAATTCGGGGGCTTCGATCTGTGCAGGGGCCAGGGACCATTTGGCCTGGTGGTCGCAACTGTGGCTATTGCGGACTGGGACGGGGACTGGGACGGGGACGGGGACGGGGACGACTCGTCACTTCTCGTCCACCATCTCGAACACGAGGCTGTCTCTGCTCAGCAGTCTTATTCCTCCAAACCTGGGAATCATGAAATGCTGACCCTTGCATGTCTTGACTGCTGCGGTTGATGACCATGAAATGTATTGATTGTCCCTAAAACATGCTGCGTTGATCACACCATTTGTCCTCCGAATCCATTCCTACCTACGACGCTACTCGCCCTGCACTCCCCTGCCGCATCCAGCGCGCAGCCCCCGCGGCTTGCCTTGGATGCCGTCCGTCTCTAACCCGTCACCATGTCGTCGATGCGCGGTCTCGTCCAGTTCATAGCGGACCTCCGAAATGCTCGGGCGCGAGAACTGGAGGAGAAGCGGATCAACAAGGAGCTGGCCAACATCCGCCAGAAATTCAAGAGCGAGAAATTGGATGGCTACCAGAAGAAGAAATACGTCTGCAAGCTCCTCTACATCTACATCCAGGGATACAATGTCGACTTTGGACACCTGGAAGCCGTCAATCTCATCTCTGCAACCAAATACTCCGAAAAGCAGATTGGATACCTAGCCGTCACCCTGTTCCTACACGAGCAACATGAACTCCTACATTTGGTGGTCAACAGCATTCGGAAGGATCTGTTGGACCATAATGAACTCAACAACTGCCTGGCCTTGCATGCTGTGGCCAATGTCGGTGGCCGAGAAATGGGTGAGGCTCTCAGTGCCGACGTCCATCGGCTGCTGATCTCCCCTACGTCCAAATCCTTTGTCAAGAAGAAGGCAGCCCTGACACTACTTCGCCTCTACCGAAAGCACCCGGCCATCATTCAAAGAGAATGGGCAGAAAGAATAATATCGTTGATGGATGACCCAGACATGGGCGTGGTGCTTTCTGTCACTTCGCTCATCATGGCTCTGGTCCAAGACAATCCGGACGCGTACAAAGGGAGTTATGTCAAGGCTGCTCAGAGGTTGAGAAAGATCGTTATTGAGAACGACATCTCACCAGATTATTTGTACTACAAGGTTCCTTGTCCATGGATTCAAGTCAAATTTTTGAAGTTACTACAGTATTACCCTCCTTCAGGTGAGTGCGATAGTACCGTGATCATCATCGAGTGCTCCTGACGTGAGAGCAGAAGATTCGCATGTTCGCGATCTCATTCGCGAGTCACTTCAGGCTATTATGCAGGCAACCACAGAAGCGCCCAAAAATGTACAACAGAACAACGCTCAGAATGCGGTACTGTTTGAAGCCATCAACCTTCTCATCCACCTCGACACTGAGCACCAGCTCATGATGCAGATATCTTCCAAATTGGGAAGATTCATCCAATCGAGAGAAACGAATGTGCGATACTTGGGCTTGGATGCCATGACCCATTTTGCTGCTAGATCCGATACTCTTGATCCCATCAAACGACACCAGAATATTATCATCGGTTCTCTACGAGATCGAGACATCAGTGTCCGGAGGAAGGGTTTGGACCTGCTGTACAGCATGTGTGACACCACCAATGCCCAACCAATTGTTAACGAATTGTTGAAATACCTGCAAACGGCAGACTTTTCGATACGTGAAGAAATGACGCTCAAAATTGCAATTCTGACGGAGAAATATGCAACCGATGCTCAATGGTATATTGACATCTCACTGAGGCTGCTCGCCATGGCTGGTGATCATGTCAGCGACGAAGTCTGGCAACGCGTGGTCCAAATCGTCACCAATAACGAAGAACTACAACCCTATGCTGCACAACACATTTTCGACTATCTGAAAGCCGACAATTGTCACGATACTCTTGTCAAAATCGGCGGTTACATTCTTGGAGAGTTCGGGCATCTGATTGCTGACAGCAAGGGATGCAGTCCGATTGAGCAGTTGATGGTGCTTCAAACAAAGATGATATCAGCGCCTGATCCTACGAGAGCGTTATTACTGTCGACATTCGTCAAGTTCGTCAACCTATTCCCGGAAATCAAGCCGCAGCTACTGCAGATGTTCCAGTTCTACAGCCATTCGCCCGATTCGGAGCTGCAACAGAGGGCATGCGAGTATCTGACCATTGCGACATTGCCCACAGACGACCTGCTACGGACCATCTGCGATGAAATGCCCCCATTTTCAGAACGAGCCTCCATACTCCTGCAAAGACTGCACAAAAAGAGTGCAGGAATCAGTGAAAGGAGAACCTGGGTGGTCGGTGGCAAGGACGCCAACGCCGACGAAAAAGAAGTTCTTTTGGCTCAACAGACCGGGCTGAAGCGATCCTTTACCACCATTGTTAATGGGACACCTCCAAACACGAACGGTGCCGCTGCGACACCGGCTCAAAATGGAACGTCAAGCGCGGCGAAGGACCTAGAAGGACTGGATATGAATGGCTATAGCACTGACGTGACGATTCCTAACCTTGCCAGCACGGCCCATCTTTCACCGGAATGGGAGATTGGGTATGAAAACCTGTTCTTTGCTGATGAAGGTGTCTTGTACGAGGATCCACAGATTCAAGTCGGTATCAGAGCAGAATATCGCGGCCACCTCGGGGTGATCAAACTCTACTTCACCAACAAAGCCTCTTTTTCAATCGGCTCCTTCACGACTACACTCGACAACAAATCCGCCCCCAGCCTCAAAATTGACACCAAGAGCCTTCCCGACTCATCCGTCGGTGCAGACTCGCAAGTCCAACAGACCATTGTCTGCACTTCGACTGCCCCGTTCTCCGAACCACCCACCATCCGCATCTCTTACCTTGCCGGCGCCTTGCAGGGTTACACTCTCAAACTACCGATTCTCCCACACCGATTCATGGATCCATCGGAGCTCTCAGCGGAGGATTTCTTCAAACGGTGGCGGCAGATCGGAGCGGGTCCTCTTGAGGCGCAGAGTACATTCGGCTCGCGCCCTTCGTCGGCGCCGCTGAATGATAAATTCGTCCGCGATACTGTCGCAGGATTTCGATGGCGAATCTTGGAGAACGTCGACCCCAATCCGAAGAATATAGTTGGCTGTGCGGTCTTGCAGCTCGAGAAGGGGAAGACAGGATGTCTCCTGAGATTGGAGCCCAATCATCAGCAGAAGGTGTGATTCCCAAAGCCTTGTGTTCTGCACATGATCGAGACTGACCTGGTATCTTAGATGTTTCGCGTAACAATTCGTGCGACGCAGGAAAGGGTTCCTGGGATTCTGTTGAACCAGATGCAGGAGCGACTTGCCAGGGGACCTCCGGCCTAGACATGGCGTCGGTTCATAGCATCCACATCAGCATTACCAGGTCTGGGTTCTTTGTCCTTTTGGGCCAAATGTTGCATGGTGTCCTGCGGCCCAGGCAAGTAGATGTGACATGCATTATCCATAAGGGGTGACATAATCTCGAGCATCTTCTTGACCACCAAATATACTCATGCGGCTGTTCTCTGTCCGGGGCTGGTGGTCTCACTCATACTCGCACTTTATTTCCGTCCACAACATCATGAATTCAAGCTCTCGTTGAAATATCATTTTATTTCTTCTCTTGCTCTGTTTGCTCCAACACCTTGGCACCCTTCTTGGGCGGTCTCTCCCCGAATATCGTACTACCTACCCTCACCTCACGACTCCCCAATCGTACGGCACTCTCAAAGTCTTCCGACATGCCCATACTCAGCTCTAGTTCTTCTGTGTCTTGCAGACTTAGCTGTGCGGCGAGTTTGTCCCTTGTTGCGCGCAGGGTGATGAAATCCTCGTTCTCTGTTTCTGGAGTGGTAGCCTTGGAACGGGCGATGGCGCCGATCGTCATCAGGCCTTGGAGGTGTAGGTTCGGGCACTGGCGGATGATGAGGGTGGCGAGGGATAGGAGGTCCGGTGAGATCGGGGAAAGGCCGCTCTTTGAGTCTTCGCCGGAGGTGTTGACTTGGATGAAGACCCTTAGTTTGCCCTCGAGGGAGTTCCCGTCGGCTATCTGCTGCCCGTGTTGCTTTTTCAGTCGTTCGTTCCGCTCCCCACGCCCTTTGTTCAGGAGCATTGCTTTCTTCTCGCTGTCCACGCTCTCCACCGCCCACAAGCTGTCCACGTCCCGCGCCAGGCCCACGCACTTGTTGGACTGCAGCCCGCCGATGAAATGCCACTTGATTGTCCTGGGCAGGAGCCGTGACTTCTCGAGCAGTTCCTGGACGTAGTTCTCGCCGAAATGGTCGTGACCGCGCTGTGCTGCTTGGGTGGAGGAACTTTCGAGTGGTGGGGGGCGATGCAGCAAGAGGATGTCAGAGGCCGGCTTCAGCTTTGAGACAGCGACGACGCGAACGGGCGCCGCCGAGCTCGGGGAGGAGGATGAGGAAGAGCACAATGCGCTGTGGACGCGCTGTTGGACGGACAAGAGGTTTTGCCAGAGCGCCGTTGCGCGTTGTGGGTTGACTGTGATTTTCATGTCGGAGGGGTCGACGTTTTGGTTTTGGGTTTCGCCGGTGACGATGGTGCTGCTGCTGGCGGCGGACTGGGCTGTGGTATCGTTTGAGGCATTCATGGTCGCATGGATAGTAAAACAAGTGCGCGTGTGGCTCTTGAACAAGACGAAGAGGATCTTGGATGGGCCGTGGGCAGTGGTGGTGTGAAGAGGGTTCTATCAACCACTGCTATTCTCGGGTTCTTTGACCTCACCTGCTCCTCGCCACTTGAGCGTCGGTATTAGGTAACAAATGCAAACCGACGACGCCGTGACGAAGACGACAAGATTCCCTTTAGACAGCTACCAAAATGCTCGTTAGGAAGGGTCTCAATGCCTTGGGAATTTCATCTATGACATCTATTACGGCGGGCGATTCAGTCTAGTAACGTAAGTTGGTTCTTTTCCAACGTCGAATTCGATTGGCATTTTGCCATTAGAATACCTCGAACGACATCTTCTCTATCATACAGTAGTGTGTTCTGGAGTCCAAGTCTCTTGAATGACGGGCGTCGACAGGAATGGGAGTTGATTGTCTGTCGCCTTGACGCCTTCGCATCTTAACATCTGTCAGGGGGCCGGTCCGCATATTTATTTCTGCCCGCGAGCCTGGCGGGCTAGCTGGCAGGGCTCATTCGTTCCGTCTGGGTTTCCTGGTACGGACCCACGACACACTCACAGAGGGGGTTGAGGAGATGAAGAGACGGAGGGAAGCGCACACACATGTCAAACGACCAATTTTCCGTGATTGAGGAGCCGTAGAAACGCCTGCTGCCATATGCCCATTGTTCGCCTGTCTGCCATCTCCTGCATACCACCCACCGTCTGCCATCTGCCAAATATGCCTTTCCACACACCACGCAAAATCGAGAGTCTGGTAGTCTAGTCTTGCCGGCCCTTGAGCAGTCTCTTGGTCACCTTGTCCTTCTCGATGATGTAGACGTGTGCGCCCCAGCCTGAGAGAGCGTCTCTGTCCACGGCGTTAAGCAGTGCTTGGGAAATTGTTTCAAAGAGGTCCTCGGGTTCCTAGGATTAAGCAATGTTAGATTTGAGATTTGAAAAACGGTGGAGGAATATACGGTATGCCATGGCGTGCATGGCTCCGTCTGAAACGATGTGCGTCTGTGACTGTGATAGATAGACGAGAATAAGTCCGCAGGGGAGTGGTATGGATGGGTCTCACCAGATCCGGCTCCCACAGTCCTTCACACGTCCCGAATAATTGGTCGCTGGCCGTACCCGCAACGATGAAATCTTTTGCAAAATCAATGCAGCCTATACTGTCGAATCCGCAGATGAACGGTTTCCCCGTCGTGTGATTTATCCCTGCAAGCACCGGGCTCACGAACCAGGGTCCAAACCGCCTCTCGTACAGTGAACTGCTGACCAGGTTCGCGAGTGTCTGAGGGGAGATGTTTCGTTCTTCGCGCAGTCGGTACATGTTGACCTTGTATCGGAAAGTGTCGCTGACTGTCTGTACGTCGGTTGCCAGACCCGTCAGTCCGAGGAAGACGCTGGGGGCATAATTGAAGATCTTGGGGAAGTTGTTTGAAACGGTCAACGCTTGCATGCCCAGGCGTAAGTCGCAGGCTATGGCCACACAGTCCTTGCCGACCATTGCAACGCACGCGCCGCCATCTGGGTTATACGTTAGAGAGCGTAGAAGCAGCGGGAGAGGTAGGGAGATTACTGATGTCGAATGGAGAGCTCTGTGGTATATGGTTAGCACTGAATTGTGGCTGCAACGTGATGCTGAAGAGAGCTTACCATCTTGTTGAAGAAAAGGATTCGATTAAAGCGGGAGCAGAGGATGAACGAGGATCAATCAATCAATAAAGCAAGAAGTCGAGTGGAGGAGGTGATTGACAGGTCCCGGCTATTGATCTCAAAACTTGGGCAGAGTGATGCGCAGGCACAAAATGCAAACGCGTTTCTGAAGGCACAAGGCTGATGCTCAAGTGATACTAGCGAGGCTCAAACTGGAGAAGCTGGCACTAAAAGCTCCAGGGGCCAATACCAAGTACTGGGTAGGTGGCATGGGCGGTCTCCTCAGCTAAGGCCTGCCGCTATGACGCGCCCACTAGCTTGCCTGCGTTTGCCTGCGTTGCTCACCTTCGCCGCCCGCTGCGGAGTACTCGTCCTTAGGAAAGCCGTACCAGCATTCAACCCATTTCACATGAACATCACGCCGGCAACCTTACTTAGGCAGTTGAAACACTTCTAGACACTTCTATTGACCACTCTATCCGATTCTAATACCGTACCATCACAGTCACCATTTCAGACCTCCCACCTTTCACTAGACATAAGAGACATTCTGTCCACGCAACCCCGCCAGGCTGTCGCCTGATCCTCCAACACTGGCATGGCTTCTCACGTTGTGGTGATCGACTCGACGGCTCGAAGGACGACAATAAAGACAACCCCCGGCAAGAACCTCAGTGAGATTCTGGAAGAGGCTTGCGCAAAGCTGGGAGTCAACGCTACTCAATATGGACTGAAGTATGTTCCGTCTCATCAAGCGGCGACAACAAGTTCACTGACAGTTCTTGTGCAGACACAACAACAAACCTGTCGACCTCTCTAGGACGATTCGCCTCTCTGGCCTGTCATCAGGCGCAAAACTAGAACTGGTCCAACTCTCCAAATCCGCCGGCGTCGTCTCGATAGCCCTCCAGCTACCAGAATCTGAAGCAAGAGGTGTCCCCAACGCTAGACTCACAGACAAGTTTCCCAGTTCGAGTACATTATGGCTGGTGCTCAGGAAATTCGAAGCCGGCGTCGCGGGTGGAGGTGCTACTCAGAATTTCACTGCCCGAGGAGTACCGTCTGTGAGCCAGGGCGATTCCGGTGCGGGCAGGCTGTATTATGAACAGCCGGTGATACAGGTTATGAACAGAGAGTTAGCGTCGTTTACAGATTTGCAAAAGTCTCTGGCACAACTGGGTCTCAACAGTGGTACAGCTCTGTTGAGGTTGAGTTTCCGGCCGACTGAAACTCCTCTCGAAGAGGCCATGGCTCAGATACAAAGTTATTTTGACTCGGTCGAGGGACCAGCTGCTCAACCGCCCCGCCAACAAGAGACTTCATCCTCGAAAGAGCCACTGGCTGCATCAGCTGAGACACAGCCAGAATGGAAAGAAGAGAGGCTTTCACAGCCTCCTCCTCAGCCTCAAGAAGAAACACTCACATCATCACCCTCTCAACCGGCAACCGCAACTGCATCAACGAGTCGTCCGGTCTCTGTATTCCGTCCTCCGAGCTCATCCACTCCGTCCGCCGCGCTCATATCTCACAACGAAGCAGACTATACACCCACAGTCGAGCACGCTCAAGTTCACCAAAAATTGTTACAGCAGAATTCAAGAAACGTCCGATTACCGACAGAGGCCGAGCTTGCGGCTCAAGCCGAAGAAGAAGCGGCCAAATGGGCGGCCGTAAAGGAAGTTGAGATCAAGATTCGATTTCCCGACCAGAGTGCGGTCAGCGCCAGGTTCGAACCCGCCGATACCGCAGCAGACCTGTACAACTTTGTGCGAGAGTGTCTAGAAGAAAAATACCGATCAGAGGCTTTCATGCTTCGAAATCCCGGTATCAGAGGGAAAAATGAACCTATTCCGGATGACACTGGGAAGAAATTAATCAAAGACCTTCAGCTTAAAGGGCGCGTCCTAGTCACATTTCAATGGGATGATCACACAGCTAGCATTCAAGCGAGAAGTGTAAAGTCTGTTCTGAAGGTAGAGCTGAGGGAGCAGGCTCAAGAAGTGAAGGTGCAGGATCTCCCGACTATAGATGTCGAGGGTGGTGAGGAGCCGGGCATCAGAGTCAACGTGGGAGCGAAGGAAACAAGTGAAGGGGCTGGAGAGGGTAAAAAGAAGCTGCCGAAGTGGTTGAAGGGCTTGAGCAAGAAATAGTTGTACTTTCTGGGAGGCAGATGTATCGGAGTTTCCGGAGTTGGAGTACACTTGATGAGCATGCAGAGACTGGATTGTGCATTTGAATCTGCGGGAACAGCTAGTAAATACAGATCACGTCAAAGGGCGTGACTCACGGGACGATAGACATGAAACAGATACCCCAAATAGTTGCAGACCTACTGCCGCACAGCTTTGCTAGCAAATCATCATATACAAGGCGAGTGGTATGTGGTATTCAGCCTCGTCACGAAAGAATTTGAGAATTTTATGCCCGACAAACACCGACGCTAGTGGACCGCCGAGGATCTGCCGCCCACATTCGCATTTTCAGTTTCGACCAACAGTCCAAGCCGAAACTGCGATTGGGAAACGCCTCACCGAGTTCAAGTCGACAACGCTCCCTTTCCTTCTCGACGTTCACATTTTCCCCGACCGACCACACTCAAGTCCTCCGAGCCCCTCAAAAATCACACAGTCAAGATGCCTTCCGAAGTCACAGACATCAAGCAGTTCCTCGAAATTGCCCGCAGAAAGGATGCCAAAGGTGCGAAAGCAAGCAACTCCCAAAGCTGCTTTACTTCCCGCAATATCTTGCCCTTCGAACCCAAGGCCTGAATTGACAACCCTCCTGCGCTCGACGGTGTACCTTTGTGACGTGCACCCCGTCCTTCCTCTCCCCCGCACCCTGCTCCTTCCGCGTTGGCATTGCGCACCAACAAGCCGACGCATTAGCGTCCACATGCATTGACGGCACATTTGCCATGCAATGAAGAAACCGTCATGATCATCTGCTAACTCGGCTATTGGGACATACAGGCGCCCGTCTCAAGAAATCCCCCAAATCGAAGGACATCAAGATGAAAATCCGGTGCAAGCGATACCTGTACACTCTGATCCTCAAGGACTCCGACAAGGCCGACAAGATTAAGCAGAGTTTGCCACCGAGTAAGTTTTGTCGCAGCCCGCCGCAGCTATCGACATCCTTTGTTTCCTTTTTGGCATTCCGAGGGCATCTGAAATGCCATTGGTGTGAAGAGAATAGAAGGGGAGTGAGCTGGAAGAGACTAGCTGGCAGAAGAGAGGAGAAGACAAAGACGAAAGGGACCTAAAATTTCGATTTGTGGAGCCGGGAACTTGAGGTCCCAGAGAATCATTCCTGCCCTCAGCAGCCCGGCCAGATTATCCTTATAAATTGGCCACCGGCTAACACTCTATCTTTCTACCATACAGCAATGCCCTTCACAGAAATCGGCAAGAAGAACAAGAAGCCTAAGAAGAACTAAAGTTCTTCAGCACGACCGAATTTGCTTCGAATGACCGGAAGTGGGAGGGTTGTCGACCGCCGCTGCAAGAATGACGGCACGAGAGAACTGAGATCGTTTTCTGCGGGCCGATTTGTGGAAGTCAATTCAAGAAAATGGCTATTGTGACTAGGCAGGAGACAGAAGATAGCCTATGTCATGTCTGGGCTTTGCAATGAGATGAGACGAAATGAAATCAAATGAACTGAGCCGTACTGCACATTACCGAAAGGACCGCCGGGCATCACATTGCCGTCTCATCGGACAATTCAGAGAATCAGTTCGAGATGGAAGGCATGTTTGTCTGTCTGGGGATGCATTGACGGGCTGGCCACTATGTAGCTAAGTTGTGATATGACGAATCAAGCTAGCTAGCTACAGTAAACCGCGAGAAGCTGCGACCATCCTTAAGACTTCCTTTCCCAAGAATTCAAACCAAAATCCAAGCCTCGAGACTCAAATGGGCACGAAACAAGGCCTGCTCCGTACTTGCTTCTATCATCCCTGGTGCTCTGTGTATGGTCTTGGTTCTATGCTCTATGGTCTAGACTCTAGGCTCTAGGCTCTGTGCTCCGTGCCATGTGACGTATGCTCTATCCGCGCTTCCCTCTCAATGATATAGACTTTTCCCCTTATCAAGGCGTAGACACGCAGGCAGACGCAGGCAAGCAGTCATCCCATCCCATCCCATCCCGCTATTCTCCTCTCTCCCTCCCTCGCTATTGACACGAATACCCCGTCTCGCGATAGCCTTCGAGCAACCCCCCCTTACCCGTCACCTCCGCCATCGTATCGGCCTCGACACGTGCGATCAAGTCCACCAGCCCCGCCCGGGACAGGCGCAGTTCAAATTCTCCAAAGTAGCTTGGTTCCTCGCTCGTCTTGCGAAACGCAAGGCCTTGGAAGAGCGCCATGCTGCGGAAGTTCGCGCTGCCGATCTTCACGGACAGGTGATCGAAATGTCCAAGGAGGGCAGAAGACGCGTGCTGCATGCGATTGCGATGATGTCCATCCTCCACTTGTGGTTGGGAGAAGAACTCGGCCAGGATCTCGGACTCGTGAGCAAGGATGTACTTCAGGAACGCGAGCAGCGCGGCTCGACCGTAGCCCATTCGCTGCTGGGTGGCTTCTGCGATCATGACTTCGATTTCGCCGGTGAGGAGGATCGGGATGTCGCCACCACCACCACCACCACCACCGCCGCCGCCGCCGCCGCCACATCCTCCAGAATCGTCTCCCAGGGCCGTCGTCGAGATGAAGAGGTTCACGTCTCCGACCATCGCGTCAATCTCGCGATGATGAGGACCAAGCTGTTCTCCTCCCTCAGCTTCTGCATCGTCAGTCCGCATTGCTCCAGGCGCCTGTTGCTCTTGACCGCGACAATCTCGATCTCCGCCGTCATTTTGGTGGAGCGGTTGGCAAATAATGAATGTTAATTTATCCCCGTCGTCGCGCCAGCTGCGCTGCATGGCGTATTCTTCTTCCAAAGTCAAGGGTTCAGACGCCGTCGCTTCCTGGATTTCCTGTCGCTCAATAAAGATAATTAGAACGAGCCACCCGGCGAGAATCTCGAGCGAGGTGGTATCGCCAGTGAAAGAAATGTGCTAGAAGGCATCCTTAACGTACAGGATCCTTCATCCATCCGTGGTATTTGGGCACATGATGGGCAGAGTATGGGACCAAGACCACTTTCGTTGTGGAGACGCCTGATTTGAGGTGAAATAAATAATTAGAACTCGGGTGTCAAAATAAGGACGACGTAGGGTGGTACTCACAAGTATGTTCGTTAATGCGCATGTTTTAAATCTATCCATCATGGCGTCATGAGTGTAAGAATCATCATCAGTACTACACTATACAAGGGGAATTTGTTCCCAATAAACTTCGCCATTGTAGGCGGAAAAGTTTCCGAGGGCTGTTCAGCTTCGTCATGATCCATCATCCATTTCAACTACCAATCCGGAATGTCAAACCTGACCACCTCAACTTCCAGCGTCTCTGAATCAACCAAGACCAGCTCGCCACTGGTGTCGAATCGTGGAATCGCAATAAGTCGGACTTGTTGCCCCTCAGGACCTTCGATAACTGAAGTATCAAATCTCGGTTGATTGCCCACAAAGAAGACATGCGGGCACTCTTCAATGACGAATTGGTCGCGATCTTGAAATGGATAACACCATAGTGTATCTGGAGCGGTTGGTGCAGCGCATCGCCATCGCAACATGCTAGCCATGACTTCCAACCTTCCATCTGCTCCTTTTCCGTCTGGGCCACCGAAGTCCACGTACTTGAGGATGTCGTCGACCGGTTGACCGCTGTTGCCCATGAATCGCCATCCCTCCACATCACCATCCCAAGGGTTCGTCACGCTGTCGAGCCATCCTGGCTCTTCCTCCTCCGGATCAGCGATATTCGTGGTGGCGTAGGCTCGTGAGTGCGGTAACATGGCTGGATGGATGGGCTGTTGTGGTAAGCTTGCATTTGCGGGATCTTGTTCGCCGGCCATGATTGTGATTGGAATGCTGGGGAGAAGTTCGGCGAGGAATTGGTCGAGATGGGCCGTTGGCACGGGATTGGACGAAGCTGCATCGTAGCCGTACTTGCGATTGCTAGGTTTCTTGCCGTCTTCGATCGACATTCGATGACCGGAGAGCAGTTCGGAGGCAATAGAATTACCCGCGATTATGAGGCGAGAGATTTTGCAGGCTTCCTGTCGGTCATCCTCGTCCAATGCCTCCGCGAGCAGGAACTCGGACAAAAGAGAGAGATTCAATGTGTCGGCTTCAGCCTCCGAGATGTCAAGCCCACTGATAAGAGCGATCTTCTTCCGTTGCTGGTCGACCTCCATTTTTGTCTCTTCCTCGTCATCCCTCTCCCATCTCCTTGGCTGTCGTGGCAGGTCGGGGATGTGCAGATCGAGCACATCAAAGTCTCCATTTGCGGTTTCAGTGCCCAATACAGCCACAATCACGCCGGTGACTAGCAGATTGCTTTTCAACATTGCCCCCGCAAGTCGAAGTCGACCGGATTCATCCTCCAGCATGACCTGGGTTTCTCCGTCTACGGTCAAGTATGAATGTCGTGGTGGCGCGCCTGCAACCCAGTGCTCTTTCGATATGTCTTCCAGAATATTTGGTTTCAAGGGCATGTCCATATAGATTGTCCCCACCACCCAGCACAATTGGCCTTGCCGGACGTCTAGCACTCTGTCCACTCTCTGCGCTTTCTCTCCTGCGATCTCAAACTCGGTCCAGTCTTCTTCAGCAATCTTTTCTACCACAGGCTTCAGCTTGGCCAAGCGCAAGAAGTACATGTCGCCGAATTGTTGGTTGTAGTGCTTGGTGTCTCCCCGAGATAGGCGGTAGGAATAGAGGGGATTGTAAGAAGATGGGGCTCTCCGTATTTCGTCAAATTTCTCGTCCTTTTGCCATGGCCGAAGAAGACTCTTTAGAGGGGCCATTTTCGATGGTATTTCAGAAATTGTACCAGAAAGGCCTCAGTTGCGTGTATTGGGACTGCGTTGAAAATATGGGCGGTGTTATGAGGGGATAAGGACGTGAGGAAGCGCGTTGAGCGCGTCTCAATTACAGGTTCGCGACGGCGTAACTGCTCCTCCGTACAAAATCGGTCCTCCAGGTCCTCGCTAGTAAAGAGACTTTCAACTTCAGATGGTCCCGTCTTCATAATCACTCTACATATTCCTTTTGAAATGCCGGCTCCAGCACTTGATTCGCCGAAGATCTTTGGTTCCAGGGCCTCCTCTGGTTCCGCTTTGATCCTTTTGATGCTTCTCTGGGACGGAGGCGGAGGCGAGCAGCCTTGTGAAGGATGGAACGACAGGTGAGTCAGTGGAGGACTTAGAGGTGCTCAAAGCTTTGCCAGGGATTATATTTTAAGTCGCCCAAGTTCGCATTCTAAGATCTACTGTCCGCAATATACTCAAATCACCCAAGTTCGCATTCTAATACTCCCGCTCAATCTTACATTGTCACACGGCTTGACCCTCCATATCGGCTTCAAGTGTGGTTCATGTTCCTCGCAATCACGCAAATCCTTCATTACCAAACTCCAATGGCTATCCGAATCTTCTTTTTGGCTGTCGCTGTGACACTCACCCCCATCCTACAAGTGACGGCCCTACCACGCCACATATTGCCCACGAGGACAAACACCACCGACTCGCTGCTGCCACATCGCATAATCCCCACGAAGACAAATACAACCCATTCAACCCTCTACTCACACGACCGGCGAGATAAATGGGACGATTCTGAGATGTGGGTCTGCCCAACCGAAGACCTCATGGATGTGAAGTTGTGCAAACCGGGTACACCAGGCGGGATGCCAAAGCCAACGCAACTCCATAAAGTCAGGATCGGGTGTAATGGTCTCCGTTGTCCTCACGACCACGTGTATGTCGATGTTGGCAACCCCAAATTTACGCGCACTTGCCCCCGCCAAGCGGTTGTTGCGGCCGCTCACTGGCGCAACTATTGCTTTCTGGAACCCGACACGTACGAGCATCCCGCCCCCTGGTGTATACCCGCCACCCCGTACGATGAGACATTCGATGGCCCCAGTATTGACAGGTGCTGCGGAGAGTGGGTTGACGTTAACGATCCGTACCTCAAGGATTACCCAACCGCGCAAAAGAACGACGGCACCTATTATGAGAACATGGTCAACAGAGATGGGGAGTTTAGAAGGGTGATCAAGCCCAACCCATGGGAATTTAATACGAACGAGGGCTTCTGTCGAACGTGGATGGCGGAAAGTGAGGCCGTTTTTCAGTATTTCATGCAGAACCTGGAGTCGTGGCTCGTTTCTGATGCGGATTTATTAGGTCATGGTGGCCCTCGCTTCCACATCAAGTGGGACACGGCCAAATCGAGAGGCTTGCCAGACTCGCCGGTAAAGCCATACGTGACGGCGGATCCGGCAAACATGCCGTACCACGGCCAATAGAGGGCGTCTTCTTCTTGTGTTTTCGAGGGCTTCTTGCGTCTTTGAGGCCAGGGTATTGTACATAGAAGAGCAATTCTGGGACTCGATCTCTAGCTTGATTGTTTCCTTCCCTGCCCCTTCGGTCTACCCCCTTACAGCTTTGCTTTCGCGCGAAGCCACATCCCATCAGCCTCTGCATGGACGTTGCCCGAGCCATCCTCGACGACGCCATGCACCCAGATTTTCCGCCCGTCTACCTTTGTGATCCACGACCTGGCCATGACGGTCCCCGGCGTGGTCACAGGCTTCCTGTACGACACATTCAGCGCCACGGTAAAAGTCGCGGCCGGGTCGCGCAGCTGCTGTCCGATGACGTTCCCCATGGTGCTGTCGAGGATGGTGGCGATGACTCCGCCGTGCAGCGTGCTGGGATGCGCATTCATGCCCGTGCCAAACGTGTAGAAGCGCCGCACTTCGCCCGTCTGGCCCTTCGCGGGGTCAGGTCGCCGGTACATCGAGAGAAGATGTGTGATTGTTCGGTCCGTGTTCCACGTCTCGGCCATCAGCGAGTGGCCGTTGCCCGGCTGTGTCAGCGTGCGAGACATGCTCACGCGCCGGAATGCTGGATCTGCGAGGTGTGGCGAACACCATGGTATTGATTGGAAATGGTCCAAGGTCGCCTGCGGAGTGGAATCTGACCGGTTGGTAGAGCCCATGATGCTCAGATGGTGGAGGATGTAGTGATGGCGAGCTTCAGCCTTTCATGCCTTCATCTCCCGGGGTGATGTCGCTCAAGACCGGTCATTTATTCGTCCTGGTGCCCGTCCAGATTGGAGAATTTGGTGTAGCCATTCAGGAATGGATCATGTCATGGCGAGCAGAGCGAGGGATTGAAATGGATTGTAAAGCCGAGATGCTGCTGAGAGCCTCATCGATGCCGAGTTTGACTTACCGAGGTACACGCGAAGGACATACATATCACACCCGAACATCGGCTGCTGGCTCCTCGTCTCCCATTACCTGCTGTCCCACCAGGAGGAATGGAAACTAATATGTAGAATGACGGCATTGCGTACTAGCTATGAAATGGAAACAAATTGCCAAATCGTCAAAGGTCTCACACCGTTGCGCCGTAATAAACAGAGAGATAGAGTATGTACACGATTTTCCCTACATCAACCGTAATGTGCACCAAGCTTTAATTTCTTCCCTGGCAGGACCTTCGTCAGCACTCCGCGTGTACAGTCGGAGTCTTCTCTGATCGCCAAAATCGTCTCGTAGGTCTTGCTCGCTAGTTTGCCGATAGCCAGGCTGCTCATTTCTGGAACGCTCGGAGACTTGTGTAACAGAGCTATAAGTTCCCACAGACTATCTCATCCTCGAAATTGCTATCTCCCGAGCATGACTACTAGAGGTAGACTATAACCAGGGATACTTGGACCAGAAGGACAACCGCAGCCAGGATCGCCGTGGTTCCCTTCAGGCTCCAACCGTAGCCGTATCGCTGGACGGTCCAGCTGACCGGCATGTACAAGTCTGGATGATTTACGATGTCGCTGGCCCAATCTGCTTCTGAAGCCCCTGTCTTGATGTTTCGGGTTGGCACATTTTGATTGGCAAGACTCGTGACTGCGGATTTCCCCTTGGAGTAAGACTCACTTTGGTCTCGGCAGAGGTAGCAATAAGTATACATGGTTGTATCTGTGTTGATCCGGGCCAATGCATCGGTCATTTGCATGGACAGCAGGGTAGCTGCTACCCATGACCACCGGTGCTTCCATGACCCATCGAAATGAAGGTCTGGCTTGATACCAGACCGACCAAGCTCGTACTCCAAGACATTGACACGGAGACCTTCAAGCTGCGCATCCACACGATAAGTGTAACTGTGTTGAATGTCTATCGGGTGAGCACGCTCCATGAGCTCCCGGGAATTGACCATGTCCAACGGATTCGGGTAGTCCGGTATAACGACATTGCCAACGTTTGGGTCTATCGACATAGTCGTTGGAACCCAATGGGCAGTCAGGGTACATCCCATGAGTCTAACAGCCTCGTCACGATGGAATGAAAGATTCCTCACAGCACTGAAATTCATGCCTACTAGCGCTCCCGTCAGTGGTTGACCGGCAGTCTTAGTGAGATCTATGAACTGCACCACAGGAGAAGACGTCTTGTAGCTCGTTATGTTGACGACTTGAGACAGGCTAGAAGCGAAGGTTTGTTCAGACGAAGGCTGGAGCTGGTCGGCCGGGAATGTGGCATTGAACATTTCAAAGACACCAGTGATGTCGACAGGAGAGCTGCATTGCGTCTGAGCCAGGGGTCTCATGATAGGTCTTGAGAAGTTAGGCGACGAGAGCGTGATTTTTGGTCGCGAGATGTGTCGCGCGTAGGAAAGACCCATTCCACGGTAGAGTTCATATTTGAGATAATAGACGGCGATTGCCCCATCGGAAATACCTATCATCACATTATGAAGAGCAGCGACGAACTGGAAAGTATTTACAGTTGTGTTGATATCTGGCTTCGTGATGTCTTGAAAATAGACCTCGGCGGCGCAGAGATAGAGGACGGAAATGGTGAAAGCGATGGAGCTAGTGTGTAGAATTAGTTCCTAGTTCGAGAGATGAAAACGTCGAGCTACTAGAACTTCTGTCTCGGTTGAGTTCGTATGGCTAGTCCTTGGGGCATCGTCGAGACGAACGCGCTCGTGGAGCGACTGCGACTTGTATTTGCACGGTAGTTTAGGGCATCGTCCGAACAAATAGCAAGGCTGAGTGATGGCATGGTGCTGGTATGATGGTTAGGGCTTTAGAAGCGGGTTGGCATCCGATTGAATATCTTTCTTCGGTCAATCAATTCCACTGCTAAGAAGCCAGTATCCACCTGAGTCCATCTTGCGTTCTCGTCCATCATGTGGAGGGCAAAGATTGAGGGTTTAAGGGCGACCTTGCAGCATTATGAACGGTGTTAAAGCTCTCACATTGGTAGAAGCAACGTCCGAGCCGTTCCAGACTCGAATGGGCTATGTCTAGGGGAATTTGATTTCCCCTTCGCACAGTTACTTTGCGCAAGGCAGATTGGGTTTGAGAAAGCCATGTCTCAGCGGGATCCCTTGACAAATAGTATCCCTGCAACAGCGGTCTGCGACTCCGATTGACGAGTGCAATCGGGAGCAATCAGCCTCGACCATGGACAGCAGATGATGCAAACAGAACGCGTTGGTCAGTATCAAGATGTCGAGGCTCGTATACCTAGGCATACGAGTTTATTGTGGCTGCATGAACTGTTTTAGGCTTTGTTAGGGGCTAGTGAGGCTAAAGATTATAACTAATCGCAGGTAGTACCGACCCTTCTACATTTGCGGCTTAGCACATACCTGGATGGATCTCCGCTGCTAACTTGCAATTGGATCCCTGCAATCTTCACATCTATCTTGGACGAAGGTCTATGCTGGTCCATGATAACTTGATTGATTGAATACAAGAGAGAAATCTATCTAGTGGCCAAGTCCTTTTGGTGCGGTGAATTGCCCAGCGCCAAGAGACGTGATCGGGTTACCTACCCTCCGGGGTGCTGGCTTGGCCAATAATCTGTTTAAAGAAAGTCGGCCAGGTTCCAGAATATTAATCTGCTTTGGCGTTGTGTAACCTCAATCTGCTGCCACTTTACCGAATATTTCCCACCTGATCCCAAATGATTCTGATTTTTGGCTGCTGTGAATGGACAGAGGCTAAGGCAGTATTACTTCGGGATTCCACGAGAAATTGCACCGTCGACCCCCCGCCTACAGACCTGCCTAGACCTTCGCCAGCGTGGCCCAATTCCGTTCACCGGGGAGGACCCAGGGCATGGACTACGGCGTAGAGGGCGCGAGGCAGTCGCAAGGGAAAGACGGGCGATTGGGGTATCGCGTGATTCCGGAAACCACATCATGACAACGGGCATGTCGGACCTCTGCCCAAATACCCTGTCTTCCGTCCACCGAGCTGGCTGCTGGAGAGACCAGACTATTGCAGCTTCAAACCTCCAGTACCGTGTCTCCGTCGATACGACTGAAAGGCCAGCTGAAAAATTCCAGAGACCACCTATCCAACAAGTCGCAGCCACGCCTTCGGGCCTGCTATTCCGTCACAGTAATTGAATCGAAATCACCACTGCGTCTGCACTAATCCAAGCGCTGTTGCTTGATTGTCCTAGTTTCTTTCATTGTTTCATGGGTGCTGAAAATCGTTGGTAAGTCTAGAATTCGTCGAGGGAGTACGTTGGACTGTTGAACATTTTCCGTACAACCCGCGTTGGGTAATGAAATTCTTGACTTCATTTGCTTTTCGAAGTCTATGTAAGATGCTCTTGTCTGCGGCGACAGGCAGCTATACAAGCCCGTCGCAGCTCTCAGACAAACCCCGACACGCCCGCACCTGATGACTAACCGGTTGTTGAGGGAACACTACGGTCGATCGCATAAGGACAGTGCTCTCAGGCTTCCGTCACAAAATGGGCGCTATAGCTGTCAGGAATGCGAGGAAGATGAACGGATGTGGTCATAGAGGCTGAGAGTCGGGCGTCCTTCCAGCGTTGTCCGATTCTTCGCTGCCGGCTTCCTGCTGCTCCTTCGAGAGGTGGGTGTTGTCCTCAGGCTCTTCATGCCATTTCCGATCCGGGTCATGCTTCGAAGGGTCACCGGTGGATTCAGCAGTCTCTGCTTCATGGTCTCTCGAGCTGGACGTCTCCCGAGCCTCGAAGTCTTGCTGGGTTCCAACTTCCTCGTGCTCGATCGGACTCGTCCAGTCTTTGGCCTCGGCCTTTTGGTCTTCTTGAGCTTCGCTATCCACGTGGTCCTGTTGTTCCTGGTTCTGCTCCTGTTGGCCGAAGCGCGCCTGCAGGTACTCCTCTTCATCGAAGTATCTGGTCCCAGCCCAGACCCATTCAGGATGGCCCATTCCTCGTCCAATGTCCTTGACAGTCAGGGCCGGCACAGAATCCTCCGGGAAGACGCTGACAAAATCTTCCTGCCCAGTCAGGATACGGGGAATATTCTGCCTCGTCGAGTACATGAGTCTTTCACTCCACCCTTGCTCAATGACTTGGACATTGTCTAGGCCGCGTATGTCACTTCCTCTATTCGACGCCCCCGCCGGTTTCGAGATTCCCACCACAGTGGGAAATGGGGCGATGCAGGTGAAATCAAGGGCATGTCGGTTACACATGGCCCCCATGCCGTTGTCCACAGGATCATTAAAGGGCACCATGCTCTCCGTGAAGACTACTTTCTCGGCGCCCCGGAGCGAGATGGCGTATCCCGCCGTGCAAGAATTCCAACTTGACCGGAAGTAAATCCGGGTTTGAAAGTTCAAATAATCGTCAGAGTCCTCCTCCCAGACGGACATGTCGGGTTGCACAAACTCCGAGCGCGCCCATGGTGGCAGAACTGTAGGGTCGTCCGTCACGACAAACCGCCTGTCGCTTTGAGGGTCTGTCTGGGCTGCGCAGTGCCCGAACCAAATGATATCCCAGTTGTCACCGTACGGCGACAGTGGCTTCTTATCTTCTGTCTGTGCGGTAAGAAATCGCGTCGCCTGTGCCGCTTGCATCATTTGATACTTGATAGCCAAGTCCCAGTCCGCATCGTCTTCAAACACCATGGCGGATTGGATGTTATCCCGAAGCATCTCTTGCATGACGTTCAAGTGCGCTCGCCAACACCCGGTGGCCCCGGCGTCCTGGGCAAAGCTCTGTCGAGAAAACCGAGAAGTCAGCATTTACTGATCGAATACAACGGTCTCCAGCCAGTCACGTAGGCAGGTAGGTGTTCTTACATGTGGAAGGGCCTTCACGGAGACATCCGCTCCTGCGACCCCGTCTCTCACTTCAAACGATATATTGGACAGCCTCGCTTGAAGACTGAAAGCGTCTCTCTTGTCGCTTCTCTCCGGCATGGAGATGACAAAGACCTTGGCAAAGCCCAGGGTCGAGTTCATGGTGTCGGCGATGTTGCTGCTGCTGCTCTCCTCCCCGTGCTCAGCCGCGTCTTCTTCAAAGAATAGGTCTGCGACCCGGACATCCTCGAACTGGTCGGGCGGCTGGACGTCGTCGAAGCGACTCCCACCACCATTTTGAGAAAGTGCATCGTCGCCAAAGCCCCCACTCAGCCCCGACGCATCAAAGTCCGGAAAAGAAGGCGGCTTGAATTGCGCGCCAAACAAGAACACAATCGTCAGAGTGATGGCGAAGCCGGCGATTTCAAATCGTGGAAACATGGCATGCCTCGCTCGCGCGCTCGCGCGCTCGTTGGGAAAGACGTGATATTACCTATGTAGGTTGCCGTTGCATCATACGTCCCCCCCGTATGATTATTATTACTACTACTACACTGTCGGCCCCTTCGTATTGTTATTTGTTTGAGTGGTGAGGTATCCAAGGGGTGCGTGTGGGTGGGTGAGTGCGAGGGCCTTCGCGCTGGAATGTATCAAAACTTCCCTCCCCCTTCCTTCGTACGGGGTCACCTCGCCCAGAACCTCCTCCCCTTGGTGTGTCCTGGCTCCTGCACGAGGGTTGCATGTCTGGCGGGGAGAAGCACACGTCTTCGCTTTGAAAGAACCCCCCTCCCCCCCCTTTCCCTTCCTGTTGAGCCTTGTAGGAGAGAACCGAAACCCAAAACTCAGACCTTGGAGCGTTGAAAAGCTCACGCACAAGCAACGCTGTAAGTGTATGTGATGCTGGCAGGTCGGGTGCTTCATCAATCATTCGGATTGGAACCCAATCGCGCCAATCTCCAACAGAGCTTGTCTTGTCATGCATGGACGTATCGCCTTTCCTTTCGGAATAAGTGGCATTACACTCCCTCCCTCCCTTGACTCGGCAACGCGGCGTTCTGAGACATGATTTGTATCCGCCGCAAAACAGACAGAACATCAGCAGCTCATTCGTTCCCCCTTGCATTGGGACGCTCCGCGGACTGAGAATGTCATTCTTGCTGCTCGAGTTCTGGAGCCGTGGCTCGATCGATGGGAGAAATGTGGACGGAGAGAAGCATGTCATGCGCCATCAGACTTCTAATTTCTATTGAGTGTATCGTGTGCCCCGTGATTCGACATGTATAGATAGATAGATAGATGTACAGCCAAAGCAGCCAACCCACGGGCCATGTGCCCTCTTGCAAGTTCTTCCGCCCTCTCGAACGCCAAACATAAAAGACGGCCTTCCCCCCGGCGTGGGAGAATTGATTCGAATGATGCATTTCCCATGGAGCTTCCTAAGTAAACAGACCGCTTCCATTACTGATCGGACTCGCTGACTAACTGACTGAGTGAGTGGCTGGCGGACTGACCCCTTCATAGGTCAGGGCCGCCACCGTCCTCATAGACAATGTTCTTCTGCGGCTCCTTGTCCGCATTGTCGGAGCTCGCAAAGGGCTCGGCCGCGAGTTTCTTGGCCTCCTCAACCTCATTCTCGTCCTCGGAGGGGTGCTCCATGTCCGACTCACATTTGACCGTCTTAGGCGGCGCGGCCTGCCACCGGATCCTGCTGTGCCGACCGACGTCTAGGTCCGCCTCCACGCGCTGTATGATTTCCGTGGCGAAGCCGTATTTCTTCTTGGTTTGCCGCGACTCGTCGTCGTTGTAGCCGACGTTGACGCTCGGCACTACCGCGATCCGCCCGTAGCCGTACTTCCAGAAGTCTTTACACAGCAGCGTCGGTTCCCCCATGTGGCATTCACCCGGCCGTGAGGCGCGGAAGGTGATGTTCTCCCGCAGCAGTGGCTTTGCCGTGAAGACTGCGCCGCCGTTCCAACATGAATAGACCTGGAGCACCCCGCCCACGGTCGTCAGTAACGCTGACGAAAGTTCGAATTGGCCGTGGCGGCCGGAACAAATCGAAGTGTCTGCACTGGTTGACTCACCTGGAAAGGAAGCTTCGCTTCAAATCGCGTTTTGGTTTTGGGGTCGTTGCGGAAAAGAGTGCCGTTGGTGTCGCCAGTATTTGGCGGCTTGACAAACATGTCACCAGTCAATCCCCGAGATGCCCCCACGTCGTTGAAGGTTTCTCCATGGTTGGCCCAGTCCATGCCACATGTCATGTCGGCCTTCTGATAGACCTGATGCAAATTCGTTAGTGTCCTCGACCCTCATGTTGTACGAGGTGAGGGAATACCCCCATTATCCAATGGAGACACTCACTCTTTGGTATATAAGTTCTAGAATGTCATCCGTGCAAAACGCTGCTTCGTTCAAGAAGATGACCGTCGTGTCAGGGTCATAGAGTTCCGGCTGTCGCACCAGTGGATCAAGTGCGAGGTTTCGCAGGGCGGCCCATTCCGTGATATAGTCGCTACCTTCTTTAAACGGGTCAATGTCGCTTGTGCTGAAGTAATAAGTAACATTCAAGGTCTCCATTTCATCTCGAATTTTCTCCAGAATCTCCAACGTGCCGTCATTGGAACGGCGACCAACAATCGACAAGACACAGTCTTCTGGCCGAAGGAAGCGAATGGTTTCGACAACGGACGCCAGTAGCCGCGGCAGGACGGGAGCGCATTGGTGGACGTTGAGGGCAAAAAACCACCGTCTCGGCGGCGAGTCCCATCTCGTCGCAAAGCTTCTGCGGCGTCGCAAGATTTCATACCGTTCTCTCATCGGCATGGGACATCGTAGCCGTGGGAAACGTCTGTCTTTGGGGTCGGTGATCGCTTTGATGTACGGCTCGATAATCCTCATCCTTTCTTCGTTCAGATCTGAGACCCCAGGAGGATCCCATGGCCCGGAGTAGAAATTGAAGAGCCCGTGCGTGGGACTGGTATCGTTGTCTTCGATAACATCGTCAGGTTCAAAGTCAGAAGAGCGGACGGTGCCGTTGTTGTTGGTGTTGGTGTTGGTGTTGGTGTTGTTGTTGCCAGTGGCCCGGTAGAGCAACTTTTCCACCGTCCCGACTTTTGGCTGATACGAGGTGAAGGGTCCACCGAGGTAGGAAATAAATATTATGCAGACTATCAAAATAGCCAAGTATGTCTTGTTTATCCCTCTGAACGGAAGGGCCATTTTGATCCTATGAAGCGGAGCGGTAGCGGTGGTGACTGAAGGATGCGAAGCCGCAAGGCGGGACACCGAGACTGCCTAACTCGTCCAGTCTCAAGTGATGCCACGCTGGTTCCGGATTCTGTGCATATAAGCAGACCAGGTGGGCGGATGGATCCCTGAAGGCTAGGGGCCACCACCGCTTCAGCGTCCGTGGGTTCGCCGGATTGCCTTATCACGGTCTGATAAACGCATATGATAGAAAATCATACATACATATCATGTCACTAATCCGGAAAAACAGTAGACTGTAATACTGTAGGGTCCGTACGAGGGCCATTTTGAAATTGCTCCAAGACCCCCTTTTGTTGATCAAGCCTTTGTCTCGAAAGGTACTAGGGGTTCCACTGTCGCCATACCGTATTCGAGTAGCCGGCGCTAATGGGAAGCAGGGATAGCATTTCACTATTCTGAATCCGATTGAATGAGTGAATACTCCGCACACTGTGGTTTGCATGTGGACGACTACCCTGCGTCCAACCATATATAGAATTTCTTGGAAGGACCCCCCTGAACCCAATCCTCAACTGCCTAGGTAGGTAGATCGGGACGGACTCCTGCTTGATGCGACCGATTTAGGACAAGACAACGGCGCCAGGTTATCGACAAGCTCACGATCTCCAATCTCCGGGCAGCTTGCCCATATAGAGAACCGACATGCAGGGTCCTAATTACTTGTTCATCCGGAATACCGAAACTCAAACGCGTCAGTTGCCCGCTTCCTTAGCGCTCGCTTGAAGAGGGGTCAAGGAAAAGCCGAATGCCGTCATCAAGGATGTCATAGTCCTGCTTCATCGAAAAAGTGAATTTGTTTGTCCAGCATATCATGGTGACCGAAATTCATTGCGTGATGATGTACAAGTTTCGCGAGCCACGAGCAGTGTGACTATGATTGCCCTCAGTTCAGTCCTGTTGCAAGCGCGAACAAACCTTGCCAGGGTCGTGACCTTTGCGCAAGGTTGAATGATCCATGTGAAATACTCAGCAATCGATGAGGCAACAGGAGGAAGTCCTCACAGACCAACTGGTGAGCTCAACAACGTATGTGGCTCGTCGTGACCAAAGAGTCTGCTTTCCTCCCTTTTTACGCCAAAAACTTGCTGACAGCGTCGCCGCTGTGCCTGCTGTCGTTGGGAATGTGTTTCTGTTTTCTGTGGCCAGTCCGCAGCTCCACACCACAAGATATCAATGTTTCGAAGACTGGGGTTGCACCCTCGGTCGCCCAGTCTTTCTCAATCTCTGGCGTCGTCTATCGCCTCAACTCTCTCGCAATCGGTTTGTTGAAGCTGAACGCTCTAGGACATATTGGGTGGCTCGACAGGATCTCCCCGCGGATGAGATTGAAGGTAGTCTTCCGCGGGACAATACTGGACAGTTGGCTCGCCTGGTCCGCACCATTCCATGATGGTAATGGACACCTCCGAGTCACGACGCTGTGACGGCTTTGTCGTTGTGAGTAGAGAGGTAACGTAGGTACTTGGGTCAGCGATTCAACATTCCCAGACAGGTGGTGTCTTCTTTTCAGTCCCAAACGGCCTTGTCTGAGAGAGGAAATAGGAAGCACTGCATGCACGTACATGTACCGAGTAAACTCAATAGACGTAGGAGAAGAAAAGGGCTGTCGAGATGGATGCATTATGGAATGTCATATCGGACGAGCTGTGTTCTGCCGTACGGGTAGCTTCTACGGCGGACTATAAGACAACCAAGTGCAAACTATAAATTTTTTGAAATTCGGAGATGGCACATCGTGGTGCATTGACTGATATTTCTACATTTCCAGTCCAAGCCCAGTTGGGAGCGCTACGGCCAGAGGTTGCGGTCGAAGATGGGTCTAGCAGAGCCGAGAAAGTATGTGTCTTCCCCTTCTAACCAATATACCGAAGACGAGCTATCTCGGGTGACAAAATCAGAAGAGATCTGCTCTCAGTGTTTCCGCCTGTTCTAGTCTCTGGGTCAAATCTAACTGGCATCGACAGGAGGCAAAAACTCTCCCATGACCCCCGGAACCTCGCGTGGTCGTCTCAGACCTCTGCCACCTCCTACGGCCACCGCCTTATGACCCAGCAAGGGTGGTCGCAAGGACAAGCACTCGGTAACCGCACCACGACCTCCCGTTTTGGTGCTCCCAGCGATGCAGAACGCCTCGCCGCCGCAAATGTGGGTGTCATCTTCAAAGACGACAATTTAGGGCTGGGCGCCAAGAGGAAAAGCGGGAAGGAGGCTGTTGAGGAACAGAGGACCGGTTTGGACGCATTTCAAGGTCTGTTAGGGCGGCTGAATGGTAAGAGTGATGAGGTGCTGAAGCAGGAGGAGAAGAAGGTTGAAGACAGGAAATTGGCAATGTATGCTCACGGAAGATGGGGTGGGATGATTTTCGTGAAAGGCGGGGTCTTGGTTGGGACTATTGGCAAGAAGGAAGAAGAGAAGACAATACAGGAAGGGAAGGCGAAAGATAAAGCAGGCAACAAGCTTTTGCCAGAGGGTAACACGCACCCTCCTGAGTCACCATCGCAAGGGCGAGAAAAGGGCATAATCAAAGAGCACGAAGAGCGGCGGAGAATGAAAGAGGAGAAGAGACGGCGGAAAGAAGGGAGGCGGAAACGCAGGGAAGAAAAGGCGCTGAAAAAGGCAGCGAACAGAACGAAAGACGACCCCCAAGTCCTCTCGGCGCACAAGTCGCCTTTGGCTCAACCACCTGATGAGCCTGTGTCCTCTGCTGCATCCGACGACGAGGTTGTGAAAGCATTCAAGCAACGAAACAGCGAAGAGAGACGATGGCAAAAGTCTTCCAACGACAATGCCCACGTTGGAGACAGCAGCCCGTCGGTGTCGACTTTGATATCGGCTTCGACCAGGCAGAGCGTGACGGTTATGAAGACTGGGCGACATTTGCTTAGAGGGCGCAACATCCAGGCCAAGAAGATGGTGTTGGCAGATATGAAAGGGCTCGACGAGATTTTCATGAGATGAACATCTGGAAATACTACGCTGGACGTTTTAAGCAATGGTATGCATCGACTTCGTGTGGTAGAACTCGAGTCAGTCTGTGGGTTAGAACAATATTTTACAGCCTCTTGTCCCATCTCACTTGACTTTGTCGATTTACCACCATGACCATTGTCTCTTTTCCGATTACTTTTCAAGGAGAATTAGTACTACTGCGTCGCCGTCCTCGACTGCATCAAAGTCTACCCTGATCCCCGCGGATTTCTGATGTCGCATCTGACACCCTGAGCTACATAGAAACATCCAATTCCCCTAGGCTGACGATCGACCTTATCAAGGAACCACTATTGAGATAGCAGGAGGACGGTGGTGACAGGTCGAATGTCGATCAAGTCATCTTCAACCCTGGTGATGTGACGACATGGTGCTGGAATATTCGCACCATCTCCGAGGTTGGTGTGATGTAGGTACCTCGTACTAGCCAGCTAGTTGGACACTTTCCCTTCTTTTTCTTCTTTGCCCCTCAAGCCCCTCCTGTTTTGTGTGTGCCCGACTTTCGTGCCGATGTTGATTCTATGTACTCGTACCAGGGCACATGTCAATTCTCCCACACGCAACCTCAGCCAGTTGTGACAACTACGAGTACCGAGTACATATGTGCTGTATTCGAATATCATCCCCCCGACTGTCTCATCCTGCTTTATTGATCCAATCGTGAACCATGCGAGGGACAATGACACCTAAAGGATGATTAAAATTTGGCAATCCACTTGCTGCAAGCGACTGTGGGTTGTTCAGGAGTCATCATCATCTTGACGAGGGTGGAGCGGGTAGATTTCGGGCTTTTGTGGACGAATCGTGTTCGATGTGCCTACGTACGGAGCCCGTATTTCTGCCCTGGTCCTTGCCAGGATAAGGAACGAGATAAACCCATGGTTACGAGTACCTACAAGTACATACCTACCTGTGTCGGAGTCCGTTGCTGTTGAAATATTTCGATGTGCTCTGTGGTGTGTTGATCGACGGACACACCAAACTACTTCTTGCAATGAAGCGAGGTACATAGCTGAGGGGGGAACAGCGAGCAACGGTCCGCGTAACGGCCATTCAACCTAATTGCTCTGACACACGAGTACTCCAGAACACCTGGAATTGAGTATGGATAGTCGAAGCACTGTGATTGGGACGCGTCAGTGCTTTTGCAGTCCCCCTTGGGGCCTGGTCTACCTAAAGTAGCCACGGCAGCCACCAAAGCGCCCACAACAAAAGCCCAGTACCCCGTACCAATTCGGGTAGAAACACCAACGCCTGCCTATCGGGGACAACCTGAAACACCGACAGGGCCCGCGACTACGGGCAGAGCCGCCCATGGTTGGAGGGGACATTTTCAACTTGGTCTTTGGCTTATTGCATGAGAGGCCTTGAGACTTGCTTACGAGTGCCATACTGGGGGAATGGTTACTGGCACCGCTGGTATTCGGTACGAGTTCTTGTAACAGGTACTTACAATTTACAACCGTGACAGGATTGTGTGGATCATGGTGCGAGCACTCGTACATCCGAGTGGATGAGACAGCAAGCCAGGCCTCAACACTCTGTTCTAGTAGTACCTTGTGCGTACGAGGTACCTAGCCCAAAGTCTTGTTTTTCAGCGCGCGTCGCTAAACCCTGGCGTGGCGTCCTCGCCCACCAAATTCTAGCCAGCCATCGTTATGCCATCATTCCTCCCTTTGACGCAAAAATTTTGCTGGGTCGGTCAGGAGAGCCCGAGCGTGCCGAAGAGAGTCCAGCTCTTGGCTACTGTCTCATCATCAGCCGACATTGAGCAGGCACCTTCGGCGGACCGGGGTCTTGATTGGTGTCGAGGAACTGCACTCCTGAGAAGTCGATCTGCAGCCCTATTGACTAACTTACTCAGTACTCGTACAGCCTTTAAAGTTTCTTTTTTTTTTCCCTCCTTGTGCAAAGAGACAAGAATAGAGAGACTCTTGGGACGGGCCAAATTATTCAGGGGGACAGACTGATGATTGTGACTGGTGTTTTCGGCATGGCAGAATCACCACCGAGAATATTGCAAAACGTGCTGACCGATAAGGTCTCTACCCAGTACATACACATGCATCTAAGCATGTGGTCGAGACGGCGATCAATCAAACAGATGGTCTCCTCCAGCTCTCTCATGCAGCCAAGTTCCAGACCATCCGGTACCTGCAGAAGCCTCGAAGCCTCGAAGCCTCCCCTGACGTGGGGCCCACATAATATTTGGATCCAACCTACCACAAAGGGCTAGACCAGTGCAGTTTTACTCACCGTGCGCGTGAACGGACACCGCAACAAAGGAATCCCAGGGATTGACCAGATAAAAAAAACACATGGAGCGAAAATTACAGTGACATGGGTGAAGCTTCTGTCAAGTTGATTGTCTTTCTACCCTGTGCATGGACGCAGGGGGAGCAAATGACTGGATGGGTCGATCTTCGTTGATATCTTGTCTCCTTTACCGCGCTTGCTGGCCCTAGGCCCGAACTACTCCCCGTACTCCGTCGAGTATGGTACTGAATGTTCTAAGGCCCCCTCATCTTTCACATCTGGAAAGAGTCTTACAATCATTGAAAAGTCTCAAGCTGCTTTTGGAATCTGTGGCGCTACCCACTCTCGACTTCGCTAAACTAACGGGAGCTTTTTCCCTTTCCCCTGATATTCGATCCGATCAGACTGGGTACCCGCAGGCGCTTCGGAACAACGGGTTCCACCAGCATCTTTCCCTATCAATCTCCTTGCTGCTTCTTCTGGGAGGAAATGGGGGGGTTAGCATCGAGGGCCCCCACGCCCATGCACCTTCTCGCCCTTCTACATATACACAGCTCAAGGTCAGGACGCTTCATTTGTCCCGTCTGCGCGCGCACGTGAGTGACGTGTCCGACGTTGGCCACCATGTTCTCGATGCTGACGAGTGTTGTTCGCAAAAGACCGTCGAGCATTCTTCTTGTTCTGTTCTTGCCGTTAATCACTCTCTTTTATTTTCGCTATCTTGTCGCGCAGCAACACAAAACTGAACGCCTCGTGACGGATTTACATTCCTATGTCGCCGAATACCCTCTAGATGTTGCCCTCCCAGACTTCGCCTCGGTGGCCAACCAAGTGGCTGCTCTTTCCCAGCTAGCTGGACTTTACATGCGAGAACAGACTCTCGATCGCAGTCGACTCAAAGAATCCTTAGCTCACCTTTTTCCCTGGTGGAATGAAGACAAACTCGCCTACGTGCCGTGGAAACACCAGAAACGGCAGAAACCTTGGTTGAAAGAAAAGGAGGTGCCGAAGACGGGAATAGTCGTGTGTGTCGGCGATGGAAACGTTGAAGACGCCCTCTTTTTGATCACAAACCTCAAAAAGGTCCTCAAGAACGAGCTCCCTATAGAGATCGCTTATGCTGGCGATTCGGACCTGTCGCCTCACACCCGAACATTTCTCCGTGCGACCAGCAAAGACATTCACTTCCTCGACCTCTCAAAAATCTTTGACAATTCCCTCATTGGACTCAAAGGCTGGGCCACCAAACCTTTCGCCCTGATAGCCAGTCGATTTCCCCGGACAATCCTTGTGGATGCCGATGCGGTTTTCTTCTCAGCTCCCGAGCGGGCATGGGATGACTACGAGGGCCTGCGCGACACAGGGACGCTGTTCTTCCACGACCGGGCCGTGACCATGGACAACAGCGAGAACCGCAGAAGATTTGTCGCCGAACAACTCGGCAAAGCCGGGCGGGCACCATCCGCCCACCTCAACAGCAGCTCGCTTTTCTACAAGGGTTACATCGGAGAGGAGGCAGACTCGGCGGTCGTCTATTTCGACAAGTCTCGGCCCGAGCTGTACGTCACAGCACTGTTTGCCGCCTGGATGAACGTCCAGGACGTCCGCGACGCCATTACCTGGGACACATTCTGGGGCGACAAGGAATCGTACTGGCTCGCCGCCGAGCTGACGGGGATTCCCTATGCCTTTGAGCCGTGGCAGGCGGCGCGGTTCTCGGAGGCGCTGAGCAAGCAGGAGCAGGAGGTGTTCAAGACGCCGCGGATCTGCTCGCCGCACATGGTCCACTCGGACGCGGCCGACGACGAGCCCTTCTGGACCAACATGGGCATTTGGCAGAACAAGGAGGACAAGAGCCTGGGCTTCGCCAACTGGACGCACTGGTACCTGGGCGCTCCCATCAAGCAGACCATCCAGACCACAATCGCATCGAACCTGACCCTCGAGCCCGTCGCCGACGACAGCAACGTGACGCTCTCCGTCCCCAAAAACGCCACCGAGGTTCTGGCGACCCAGGCCGCCTGGTACTGGCGCGACTGGACCGAAGACGCCCGCGGCTGTCCGCAGCACGACGAGAGCCGCTGGAGGCCCCTCAGCCGCGAGTTTTTGGATCGCCTGCGCTGCATCATCGCCGAGGCGGAGAATATTAGATATGCCTGGACGAGAAAGAAGATAGAAATGAATAATTGAAGAATAGAAAAATTTTGGTTTGGCTTTGCTTTGTTATGTCCAGTTCGGTTCAGTTCAATTCAGGGCCGGTCTTGTGTGTGTGATTTGTTTTTTTTTAGCCTCACAAATGGGTATACTGGGAAATGGGTATACTGGGACGGGATATGGGACGTTATGGTCAATGGTCAATGGTCAATGGTCAATGGCACGAAGCCTTCGGCTCCTGTGTGCTATACAAAGTATTTATTACGTCTTTCTGGCATCCTCTTGCTCTTCCATCTTCCTTTCTTTTCCGCTTTCCCTTCCACTTGCAGTATTAAACCGATCCCCCCTGCTCGGTACACCCTGGGTACTCTTCCTGTAATGAGCATGCGATATGTACGTAATGATCTCCCCCTGCTCTCCAACGAATCCCAAAGTGGTCCTGTTGAGAGATTCACAACAGGGAGGCAGGCCAGCCTCGTGGAAGTCCGCGTAAGTATGTACAAATCCAACTATGCGCGCGCGCGCGCGCGTGTGTGCTTGTGGGAGGGAGTGAGTGCGTCCATTAAGCCTGACTGTCGTTTTCTATGTCTCTCTCTCTCTCTCTCTATATATATATCCCCCGTGTATCTGATAACCCTAATGTCGGGGTCAACAGTTACATATGCTCGATGTATATATATGGCCAGACGGCGCGTGCTTAGGTCTCTGATCTGATCTGACCCCGACCCTGACCCTGACTGATGTCCTTCCTTCCAAAGGTCGATTCGTTTCGGCCTTTGCCCCTTTTCCGCGCGTCAGTTCCCCATCGAAAATCCGGGTTTCTCGGTAAAACTGGCTTGTCTGCATAGATGATTCTGTGTCGTCAGTCGCTTCAAGTCACATTTGCGTTTCATTGCATTGCATTGCATTGTTGCCACCCTGAATCAATGTCCTCATGGGGTCGACGGGGTTGTGTCGCCTTCAGACTGCCATTGGTGGTTAGGATGTTTTTCCGGTTTGGAAGGGGGGGTTCCTTTTTCGGGGCGAAACGATATCAACCAAAACGGTGGAAGGTTGCCCAAAAACAAAAACAAAAATCATTTCCCGATTATTATCTGTTGCCAGATCCTCCTCCCGTCCCTCCTGTGGTACGTATGGTGGGTTTTTAAATGGCATGATCCAATCCACCGGGTATGACCAGCGCCCTGTCGCTATAGTCGAGTAGATCTGCAAGGGGAAAAAAATGTCGTTGTCGTTCTTCGTACAGTTCCGATGAGGAGTATGCCGTCTGCCATTTCCCCTTTATTTTCTTTTTTTTTTCTCTTTCTCTCTTCTAGCTTTGAGCCAAAAATTCCACTGCGGCCACCAACGCGGGCCGTTTCATCCCTCATATGACGGCTCCGTCCTTCCACTCCCACTTTCCATTATCATAGGAGAGCTCTTCCTTGGACAGGCCCTTGTAGGGAGCAGCGATGATTTCTGAGTAGTACGAGGCGACTTCCATCGTACAGTCCAGGACGTCTTTGCCCACGGCGGTGTACCGCAGGTCCCATTCGGTCTTGTTCCGACTGGACATGTTGGAGAGCCGGACCCCATCCAGATGGGCGACATGGGGCAGCTGGCCGACAAACTTGGACAGGCTCGCCAGCTGCATGATCTGGACGGTCGAGTCGGCCACGGACAGCGTGAGCGTGAGGACGTCGTGCTTGGGCCTCCGGTCCCATTTGGCGATGCTGTTGGCGATGACGATCTTGCCCTCACCGCATGGGTCGTTGATGGCTTCGGGCGTCATGGCCGCGGTGCCGAAGTCGATCGGGCCCGACATGAAGCTGAGGTAGAAGTTCTCGCCGTGCGCCGTCATGATCATCAGCTCCGGCCGGTACATGGCCAGGTCGTCGGTGCACCCGATGTTGATGTGCGATCTCGGGAATCCGACCCACGCATTCAGGTCGGAATGGGTTTCCAGCTGCAGCGGCACCATATTTGTCCCTCCGGTCATGCGCCCGTTTGCGTTCAGACCAGACCCTTTCAACTCGTCCGGGACTTTCTGCTCGTACACAAAATGGCACCAGCCGTTCAGGGTGTGGCATTTGAGTACCCGTAGCGGGTTGAAATCGTAGATGAAATGGATGTAGTGACTGGGCCACTTGTAGCGTCCCGGCGCGATGGGTTCGTGCTCGTTGATAAAGAAGGGCGCCCAGTTCTTCTCCGCGTGCGCCCTCTCCGTCTGGCCCGTGATGGTCAAAACGGTCGTGTCGTTGGAAAAGGGTCGGAAAATGTACATGGCGCGGTCGCCCGTTTTCAGGTCAAATTGCATGTTGAAGGTGACAATGGGCTCGGCATCTTCGACTCCCTCCTCAAGAATCACTCGGGGGTCTTCAGGCCCAAAGTAGCGGTCGCCCTGCTTGAAAGGGGCAGGGATGTTGAAGACGGTGGGGAATTTGATCTCTTCGCTCTGCCACTGGATGGTGTAGTTCTTCAGCTCGTTCCAGTTTTCGTCGTGGAGCTGGCCCGCCAGGAAACTGATGACGGGCTTGTGTCGGAGGCCGTTATCGTAGAAGATGACTCTCGTGACGGTCAGGAAGACCTTGAATTTCTCAATCCACACGCTGGACCCGGACAACCTGGCCCAGGTTTTGGCCACCATTTGGCGGAATGTCAATCCCTTCTCCTGATTAGAATAGTCGATCATCGGATGGCCCGCCAACGATCGTGCAATGTGCTCCAGGTCATCTTCGAGATACAAGCTCTTGTGCACCCGGAGCTCCCCCTCGTGTCTTAAATCTTCGCAAGTGCGGCTTGAGAGGTCTCCGGTGTTGACGAAGCCGGTTATCGGTATTGGCTGAAAGCCTTCTTCGTCGAGATAGGTCTGCTGCCGGAACGCATGAGGCAACCGGGTCTGAGGGAAGAACACTTGTCAGCGCGAGACAGAGAGACCCTGCGGGCCACCTTGTATTGGATGCTAGCCATACCTGGAGGGGTTTTACATCTAGGGCTCCCAGGAAGAACCGCAAACACAGGATCCCACACAAGACTGCAATGATCCTGACTTTGCGACTGGTCCACGGGATGTTCCCAGGGATTGCATACTGCTGCAGGATTTCGAACTTCATCTTGACTGAAGAGGACATGTCTGGCATTGCTGAGAACATAGGATCGACCAAGCTCGTGACTCCCACGTCATATTTGCAACATTGACAAGCACATCGAAGCACCAGAAGAGAATTCTTGTGTCCAACGTGAGGGACTCAGGACATGGTGGGATAAACCAAAAAAGTACTCCGTTAGTCAATGCTACTTGGAAACCCTTTCCCCTGAGGGTGAAAGCCCGCCCGCAAAGGGTTTAGAAGCAGATCTGGGAGCGGGTCTGTTGAGATACGGGCCAGACGATAAGAGACCGAGACTCGTGAGTCGGTTCGACCGACAGAGGGCAGTACCTAGCCGTTGCCTCCACGGAGCCCCAGCCATTATTGGCCTTTGAGTGTCAAGAGTCCCGATCGAATGCTGAACGGAGTCCTCCAGAATCTTTTTGGGATAGGGGGCTCGGTAACGGTCAGGCTAGACTGGTGCAATTTCGGATTGAGGCAGCGGGTCCCCTGTATTTGCTGTACTGTGTTATGTATGTGGCTGTTTTCATGTATGTGCCGGCACGGACAAGTATTTTTCAGGGGCTTAAGGGCCAAGGCTGTCACTGTCAGGGCTACTTCTGAACAAGGCTCCACCCACTCCACCAGCAACGCCAGGTACCATTTTGCAGCCACTAAATTATGGCGACATGGCTGACGCCACCAAAGTATCGGGTCAGAACAGGTCTAAGTCGGCCAAGGTAGCCGCAAGGGTCAGAAGTCTTTTGGCGCGTGAAAAGACCAATACAAGACTGAGGAGAACACCTCCAGAAGCGAATGCTGTACTGTTCCAGCCGCGAGAAAGAATGCGATTCCCGAACTGTGTACGGATGTCATTGCTAAGATGTGTCGCGAGTATAATAGTCTTCATGACATCACCATTGAACTGTCACATGCGCTTGTAAACAATCCTTGATAGTCGGTGCCGGTAGATGGCGATTCCTCCCGAAGAGCCCAGAGCTGGTGAGCTTGCCCTTGCGATCGACATGATAGTACAGAGCCACCAGACCATTTATCTTTTCTTACGTGTATCAGGCCCAACTACTGGACTAGGTAGGAAATTGAAGAACATACTCGTGGAAGAGAGCGCTCCGCTCTAAGTAAGCAGAATACCTAGGCACTGAGGTGATGAGCAGTAGTGGGAACAATAACCATGTCACCACCAGAGCATTCAAGAACATGTAGCCCAGGTCCGACCGAGTTCACTAATACTCTTGGTCAGTATGCCACCACTTTCAAAATGTCAAGTACGGTCCCCAGAAGCGATATTTGCCATCCTGCATCAACGAGAATGCCCCTCTCGGAGCTGCCGGAGGTTAAAACGCCCGCCCGCCTGTTCTACAAGTGCAGAAAAAGCCCATAAGTAGGTAGAATGGCTTGCGCATTGGGCTGCCCAGGTCTCCAAAGATCGCCACGACGCGTATGCCACGACCGTGTATGAACATTCGCAGGCGATTGGCAGTGGTGAGGGACTCTCGCCCCATCTAGACAAGCACACGCAAGGGGTGATGATGGACGTTACTGGCCCTTGTGTTTTCTCTTCCCTCCCCCCATCGCAAGGTCTTCTCATTCGCCAATTGGCCCTTGTTTACTTTGTACTTGTGGGCCGCCGCCCGGGTACCTGACGATCGTGTCACAGACACTCGGCGTCAGCAGTGACGGAGAACTGCCCAGAAGATACGAGCAGGGCTCCTCTACGCGGTACCCAGTAATCCTTTGATCTCCGCACGGTCATCGATATCAGGGATTGGAACAGGAGGGGAGTTGTTCTGAATTGGGGTTTGAAGTCGGCATAGCACTCCACCGATGCCCCCTATCATCCTACATACATACTACGATTACACAGGTAGACCGTCTTCACCCAAGGGGAAAATCCAAGCCAAATGATAAAAGCAGCCAAACTTTCAGGGGTACGTCCGTACCTGGCGCCCTGCTCCCCACGCTATGCTGGTTTTACTCTCGCTGACGACTCCAGAAGTTTGGTCTCTAAACGTTCCTTTCTGACTTCATGACTGAAGGCGGCGGCAAGGCCTTTGCGAATTCCCGCTCGATGAATAACGGAAGATTAAACTTTGCAGTCCTCGGAAATGGCGGTAAGAACAGGCCTGCCGAATAAATAATCGGGCTGATTGGTACTGATCACTGTACCATATAGCTCAACCGTTTATTATGGCTGCCCACAGGGTCCTGCTATGGTTGACCCCGAGTTTTGCCTCGAGAACCAAATCCACAAAAACATCGCCAACAACCTCGCCCGACAAGATTTCCGCTCTCGACGGCCTTCGAGGCATTGCGTGTCTTATTGTTTTGCACGAGCATTGGACGTGCGCGGTCGATGATCCCTGGCAGCCATACGCTATCAATGAACTCGCCGCTGGTTTCATGTGGAAGCCTTTTGTTATCCTCTTGTGGGGTGGAGAGGCGATGGTGAACCTGTTCTTCGTGATTTCAGGCTACGTCCTCTCGTATAAACCGCTTGGGATGCTGTACTCGTCCAATCCTCAAATGATGTATGAATGCATCGCGTCCTCGATTTTCCGCAGGGCCTTCCGCCTCCTCCTTCCGACGATGGCGGCCGTGGTGATCATTGCAACGTTGACGCAGATGCGAGCTTTCGAACCGGCAAGGTACGTATGCAGCGACCTCAATACGGCGCAGATCGAGGCATTTGACGCAAGGAACAACGTGACTCAAATGATCGAGGACGGCCTTTTGCTGGAGAGCCCACAGCCTCGTCTAATGCGCGAAGAGCCCCCGCCGTTGGCCGAGACGTTTTCTGCGCAGGCCTCGGACGTTCTTACTGAATTCTACATGCTGGCTAGAGGTTCAGTGCCTGGAGAAGCAAGCCAGCATGACTACTTTGTCTACGATGCGCATGTCTGGACAATTCCAGTTGAATTGAAGTCGAGCATGGCCATCTTCATCCTCATAATGGGAACATCGATGCTCGCCTGTGGATGGCGGCTTTTCGTCCTCGCAATTATCGCACTGTATTGTGCCTCGCAAGAATATCGCAGCATTTGTCTCTTTATAGGAGGAATGATAATCGCCGAGATCGATCTGGTCCGGATGCATCTTGGGCATGTAGCACAGTCACAGGAACGCGGCCCGATACTTGGGAATCAGTCGCCGCCGCCGCCGCCGTCGCCGTCGCCATCACCCTACAAGAGTTTACAGTGGTTCCAACAACCGGACGTGGCGTCAGCTGCTTGGGGTCTCTGCTTTGTCGTCGGCTTGTACATCCTCTCCATCCCCCTTGTCGAGCCGGTCACAGCTCCATCGTATGTATTCCTGGCCCGCCTCCTCCCGGCATACATCGTCGACAAGAACAGGCTGATCCGGCTGCTCGGCGCCGTCATAACGACATGGTCGTGCGTCAACGCCGACATCGTCTCGCCCATCTTCAACAACGACGTCGCCCAATACCTGGGCCAGATCTCCTTTGCTCTCTACCTCACGCACGGCATGATGATCCGGTCGCTGGGGTACGTGGTCATCGGGCGGCTGCGGTCTCTGACGGGGGCGTATGTCCGCGAGGACACGTCGTTGGCCCAGTTCGTCTTCATCTGGCTGTTTGGCTACGTCATGATGCTGCCCTTCTTCTTGTGCGTCGCCGACCTGTTCTGGAGATCGATCGACGTGCCCTCGGTGAAACTGGCGCGGCAAATCGAACGGCGTCTGAGACGGCAGGGCCAACAGCAGCAACAGCAGCACCAGCCGGACTGGTGGCCGCGGAACAAAGTCCCTTGACAGATCGATCCCCAAAGATTTGGGTTCTTATTGTTGTGGTTGTGTCGCTGATATGGATATTGATATTGATGAAATGTGAAAAATCTTAGAATGGCAGTCAGTCAGTATGTGCCTGTCTATGTGCGTGTCCGTCAGCCAGTCCGTCGCCTGAAGCCCGGGCCACAAATTTAATTTTCTGAATCTTTCTACTAGAAACAGGCGTCCTCTTCCCTAGAACCACCTAGAACTAATCGTACAACTGCGTACTGGTTGCATTGACCTTGCAAACGAGGAGGCAAGTGTGGAAGTAAGCAAGCATTAAGCCTCACGTATCGTCACGTTTACATCTACATCCGCACGTAAATGCAAACATAGTGTATCATAGCAGGGACCACCCGACCGGCTGACTGGCTGGCTGGATGGCAAAGAATGTAATCTGCAAATGAGAACGTCTTATGACCCTTCAAGCCTGGAACACGTAAACTTGATTGATGAAAGAATGAATACCAGTTCCCATTGATTATGTAGACAGCAGCAGCTCTTCTCATACCACACCATAATACGCGATGCCTCAATGATAAGAAAGAGAAAGACTTTTCCAGCTTTTCGGACATGGCGCCACACAGCCCAGCCGCATGAACATATTTATACTCCGCAAGTACCCTCGCACACCAGAACCATATGCACAATAAACTGCCATGGAGCTATTCGCTCGTCACTCATGCCCCGCGACAGTAGAGAACAGAGTCCAACATGTTCGCTGAGGAGTCATACGCAGCGTTGGTTGCTCTGCGTCGTTTCATTCTCATATCATCACATCCAATCGTTCCGTGTCCTTTCGCCGTCGCTGGTGAGCTCCAGCAAAGTCCAGACTCGAGTCTGGGAGAAAATCACAAACAAGTCGAGTATCATCTAATCCAACCTCAGGCGCAAGGATTGAGCGAGCAACAGCGTCGTCCGGTTCAAGTATCCCAATCATTGTTTGCAGACAAGGCCGTCAAGCACATGCCGACCCCCCCTGTTGTTCACTTTTTCTTCCCCTTGGGCACCTCTTCGGGCAAATATCTCGAGGAGACATCGTCCCCAAACAAAGGCATATCTCCTTTGCCGCCCATCTGCATGAATTCCTCTTGCTGCCGGTTGGCGGCAGGATGTTCCTCTCTTTTGTTGTCCCCTTCGTTCTTTTCAGCACCCTTTGGCTTTTTACCCTTGCTGTCCTTGGGTGGGCTCATCCTAATATTCTTTCCACCAGGGTTCTTGTCCCACACCTTCACATGAGCGGGTGAACCAGGAATGTGGGTTTGTTGACCGCGGATCTGCTGGCCTCCGTTGAGATCTACTACTTTGCTCACTTTAACGTCGTTGATGTTGGCCAGCAAAGTACGTTCCCTTTGGACTTTTCGCTTGGAGAAGTCAAACGCACTCATCTGGCCGGTGAGACCGTCAAGCGAATCAGCAGGGTTGACGTAGCCTGCGTTCCTTGTCCAGGGATGTTCGAGGCACTGATCAATGGTAATCCGCTTCTCGACATCGACTGTGAGCATACGGTCGATGAGATCAAGTGCAGGGTCGCCAATCGAGTCCCAATATGGTGATGGATAGTCAAACCGGCCCATTTTGATCTGTTGGGCTAGGGTGTATGGGTTCTCCCGTGAATAGAGCTCGTCGGAGAACGGTGGAAACCCGCAGAGACAGATGTACAAGACCACGCCGAGAGACCAGACGTCAACAGCTTTGGTGTATTTTCGATGACGTGTATTCTCCAATATTTCGGGCGCTACATCTGCGGAATGTCAGTCATAACAATTTGAGAAGCAGTGGTTGGCACTTACAACTTGGTGTCCCACACAACGTAGTTGTGAAGGACTCCTCTCCTATGATCTTTGCTAGCCCGAAATCTGCCAACTTGACCGACAAATTCTTGTCCGTTAGCAAGATATTCTCTGGTTTGATATCGCGATGAACGATATTCCGTTCGTGCAGATACTTCGTTCCCTGGAACAACTGAATGAAGATTTTCCTGGTCTCGGCCTCTGTCAACTTCTGTTTCGTCACAATCAAGTTGAACAATTCGCCTTCAGCGGCAAGTTCCAGGACAAGGTAAACTCCGTCCGGTTCGTCGAACGTCTCTTTCAGGCAAAGCACATTGGGATGGCTGACACTCATCAATACGGCAATTTCTTGTTCGAGTCCCTCTGTCTGTGATCGTTGAGACTCTCCCATACGACGTTCGAACTTCTTGACGGCGAACTTGAACCCGGTCGACCTTTCCACACACAGGTACACAGTGGCAAAATGGCCCTTCCCCAGCTGTTGTAGTATTCGGTAGCGCGAGTTGAAAGCACTCGAGTCCCGGCTTCTTGGGTAACGGAAGACAAATCTGGCCTCATCCAAGATGGTAATCTCATCCCCATCTTCCAATTCCCTTCGCTTGTTCCGACCCAGGAATGCCTCATTGACAAAGGTGCCGTTGCTCGACAAGTCTTCGAGAATAGCCACCGTATCGCCATTTCGAGTTTCGTTGAAGATCAAGCAATGGCGGTTCGAGACGGTTGGAATATCAAGTATCATGTCACATTCTGGATGTCGACCGATTAGATACCCGCTTGCCGGAAATCCTTTGCTTGTTTTGTCCTGCTCATATTCTGCCTCGGCTTCAACCAATTCCTTCTTCCCTCGCTTCTTACTCTTGACAGTAGGTCTCGAAACCTCGAGTGGCTTAGCGGGAGCGGGACAGAATGCCCTTCGTTTCATCTGCAGCCTGTGACCGTTCTCTGCCATAGGGAACAGATAGCCCCAAGTCCCGTCCTCATCGTTCAGGTCAGGCTCGATGTCTCTAGGAGGATAGACGAACTGGGATAGAGGTTGGGTGTCTTGAGGAGGTGAAGACTGTGGAAGAAGTGGTGGAGAGGTTATGGGAGTGATATGGCGGATCTGGCTGGGGCGGCCTTCTGGAGGAGTAGCCGTGTGTTCCTTGAACGTTTCCGTAGCGGTAGACTCATGGTTCGTCAGAGGAGAAGGCAGATATTGGTTCTTGAGAGGCGTGTGCTGGGCATCCTGTTGAGACTGCGAAGAGATTCTCTGGGACCTCCGCGGTTTCTTGATTTCCTGGTCGTCGCCGGTGCTATGCTGTTCGGCCAGTCAGAGTTGATGGTGAAACAAACAACGCGTTATATCTCACCCGATTCCGCTTCAAACTGCTCTTCTCCTTCTTGGGACCCATAACTCCCACACCCCCACAGAGGCTCGGGCGCAGTTGAGCCTACGTTTATCAATTGGACGAAGGTCCTTTCCGCGATGAAGAGGCTAGAGTGGCTGCCTATGGTAGGGTCCGCTGGAAGGATCTTCTTGAGAAATAATTATATACTCTCAGACATTGGAGTAAGAAAAGTGACTCGTGGTAGATACAAATACGGTACAATGAGAACCGGGGAGACGTGCCCATCGCAGAGCTGCAATTGGGCGACAAATCAGCATCACGTGCTGAGAGGCTGGGAAATTGGCACGTTTCCATGTTTGCCTAGTTTGCCTGGTTTACCTGTGCCACGAGAAATGCTGGCCATTGAAATGATCACAACCAGATCTGTGGAGTGGTTCGGGGTGGAGTGAAGACGAGTCTTCGAAGAAATGAACAAGTGCAACGGGCGAAGATCAGTTGCTGTTGTGGCCGCAATCAAAACTCAACAATCGATCCCAATGCATATCTGAGCTTCGCGCCCTGGTTGAGGGTAGGTAGCCAAATTCATCCTGGATTTCTTGATCTCGCTGCTCCCAACCGTCATAACTGCGGTGATATGGTCAATTTCTGGACCCTTTCCCAGCTCCCCGTCATAGTGTCCGCCGAACATTCCGATCACGACATCAAGACATTTCCAAAAACGCATGCTGATGAATCCATTTAGATTGAGAAAGGAAGGAAATGCAAACCAGTTTCCTGCTTCCATTAGAGCCCGATTCATCCTGTGAAAGGGCGAATTTACCATTTTCTCGCTCCTCAATACCTCCTGATTGTAATCCCAGGTGCAATCGCACTCTCCAGGCAAATCCTTGAACACGCACCCAACCGCGCATGTGCACTCGTAACTCTCTTAGACAATCCTCCGTATTTGAAACCATGTTGCATTGGGCCCATAAGTTGAGATCAAGCTTGGTGGGGCGGCGATACCATGAGAGCTCTGATCTTCGGTAATCCCCAGTAAACAAGGCTGATGGCCACGTAAAAGCCTGGTGGTATAACTAGAAACAGCCAACCCAAGTTCTCACCTAGTCCAGGATAGCTGGCGCCATAAGCCAGGAAGGCATTCGACAAACAGATGCAACAGATGTTGATAACCCCAACATAAATTTCAGGAAGAACCGGTCTCGGTGCCGCTTTGGTTCTGGCGTTCGCGGTCCAAGTAAGGGTGAAAATGGTTAGAAGAACCGATGACAACGAGGTTACCATGGCAAGCGAAGACTGAGACCAATCAAGATCTACAGACGGTAGTCCAGTACCAAAAATCAGATACATGGAACTACAGGAACTGTAAAGAAGACTTTTTGCTGTGGTTAATAGTAAGCTGCTCAGAATTGGGCGATCTGAGAACTGAAGCCTGATGTCTTCGATTTAACAAGGAACAACGCGAAACATAGCAGGGCCCAAAAGATAACGAGCGGAGTCCATTCCCAGAGAAGTTCAGGCGTTGTGTCGAGGAAGTAGCCGCGATGCCGAAGCTGAATGCCATCCACAGGAATTAAATGACCATGCGTCTAAACCAAAAAGACTCTTTGTAAAAAGTCGAAGTCGGGGTCGTCTCAGACTCCGCTGGAGGTGCATTGGATAGTTGATCGGCTATCTCTAACGTTTGAATACGCGATTGACTCGGTTGTAGTGCTGGCTCTGCCGCTTGGTCCGTGCCGGACGGTCCAGTTGTAGGTGTTTCGGCCGATCCAGCAGCCTCGAACGGTTCCGTTGTGCCCAGAATGGTCTCCTGTAACTTGGGTATCCGTTCATCTCTTGGAGAGACTTCAGACCATAACAA